CGTATCTCGCATCGCTTCCAACTCATGCATATGTAATTTCAAGCTGATCTTTTGTTGTCGCGAGCGAATCTGTCATATAACATCGCGTCGGATACGATCCGACTCTGGGTTTGTTGCGCCCGTATTATATAGCTCGAGCGAGCACTTGTCTTTGGCTGCGCCGGCAGTTTAGGGTCAACGTACCTTAGATATAGAAAACTAAGCGGTAAATATGCGCGCTGCCAAGTAGCTGCCTAGGCTGGTGTCTGCACACCTACATGCCAGCCAGACTTATACACTCGAACGCGGCTGCAACTGGCCGAAATGAAATTATATCTCGGCGAGAGAGCGAAAAACCGGGGGGTAAAAAGCAATCGAATCGATATACTTTGTAACGGTGTTTTGCTAATAACTAGAAACCACCATAATTTCCTCTCTCTCTACGGTTCTCGAGGTTCAATATTTATCGCGCTATTAACCGGCGCGATATCTCCTACAGCATCCGGCTAAATCTCATTTAGCAGAGTGCGGCCGATAAGCTGTGGAGTCTAGGTGTAGGAAATTATTATTCTCGTATGTATATGGACGAGTACGGCATAGAGCTGCACGTAACGTTTTATCGCACTGGGTCAAGAACGTGACCGGTGAGCGCAAGAGCGTAGGTATTCATTCATTAAATCGCCGAGTGCATCCGAAATGTGACGAGTTGCGCCGCTGCTGGCCTGCCAGGCGGCGTGCTTTAAAAAGGATGTACTCGAGACGGCGAATCCAGTGCCGCAGGCTTAGAATCAGTGCCGCGCTAATTCACGTAGCAAAAAATTTCGCTGGGCTGCTCGGCAAAATCGTGCTGTCTTTTTGCGCCGTTCGCTCCCTATATATACGCGCTGCGCATTGCCGAGCGAGAGTGAACTGCCAAAGCTATAAAAGCTTGGAGAGCGTCGGGCGCTGCGCAGCGAACGAGAAGCAAGAAGCGAAGGTGGACGAGCAAGTTCTCCCTTCGTGCTTAAAGATTTTTTCTCTTCGCTGCTGTACTTGTATATATACGTATATACGTAGCTGAATCGTCTCTTGGTCACGCTCTGAAGGTCTCCGCACACCTCGCGAGAGTCGCGGTGCAACGAACTCCTCTCGACTTAATAGTCCGACTCTCTTACTTTCTGATGTTTCTTTCTTTCTCTTGCGGCCGTGTATAAGCGCGCACTGCACACTGCGCCATACTGCCCAGTCAATATCAAGGCCGGAAAGGGTATTTATATATAACGCAGCGCGCAACGAGCTCCTCCGCAACCAAGAGACTTGCGAAACGGTATGCGCGCATCAATGACTCGAATTGTCGTGTAAAATCACCGATGCGACGTCTGATTTTGCTCTTCCAGCCGATCCCGAGTCTCTCTCTCTCTCTCTGTCTCGTTGTTGCTCTAGATGGAAAAATCTCGACTAGCGGAATGCCTCTTTCTCCTTGCGTCTTCGATCGGATGTGTATGTAACGACGATGATTGATGGATTGCAACGATTCTGTACAAGGCCTAATTGCCTATCTAACAACTCGTTAACCTTTGACTTCCGTATAGCCGGCAACAGGCAGCGAGCAGCAACGACCAATTATTGACTCGTACACAGCCGAATCTACGATCGACGAAAAAGATAATCGGCCCCAAAACGTCGACGTTATTTAATTCCCCTGCGAGATTGAATTACATAGCAGCCCGGCGTCTCGGATATGCGGGCGGCTAACGAATCAATTTCATGGTGTCAAAAGTATATATGAATTGTATAGCACTGCTGTACATTCGAGGGGATACCGATGTGTCGTTGCTCGATGCAATATCGCAAGGAGGAGCCTCGCGTGACTATCGTCCAAATTATCGTAAGAATAAAACGTCGTCCTAGATACGTGGAATTGATCAAAGCCGCGCGCCACACGTATGAACGCGAGTCGGAGAAAAAAAACATATAAACGATCGACGCGTCAATTCTGCAGCTCGTTACGCGCGCATGCATATTGGCAATTCTCGTTTTACGGCCGCCTGTGCGAACAATATAAAACTAGAAATAGCGTCGCGAGCCGTTATCTGCTCATTGATGTATCTGTGTCACTCTCGTTGTTCATTCCACTATTTTTCCTGCCCGAGCTTGAGCCTCGAGGGCTGCACTTTTTTATCGCATCAACTTGCTACGTATTATGTCTTTGGCGCGGCACGTAAAGGGACGAGAGAATTAAACGCGACAATTGCATAGAACATTGACGTCACTGCAGGGCTGCGTGCGTTGAGATTACGAAGGCAGTAAACTCGCACCCGTACGAGCCGGTCCAATAGTAAATTCTATTGCTGCGCGAGGAAAAACATATCCTGACGTGACCGCGTCTGTGCATGTTTCTTCGACCTTGGCCTAATTACCTTTTTTTTTTCGTCCGTTTCTTAGACACGATAAGAAACACCCAATTATTAACGTGCGTGTGAATACTTTTTTAAATGCTTCAGCTGTTGTGGCTCTAATATTAGATTCGATCGCGCACAAAACATCGATATTTGTTTTCGAGGCGAAAAACCTCTTGGCGTACGTGTCGAGCTTTCAGAGGAAATATACAAAATTGCCTCGCATCATTTGCTGCAGGCAAATTTTCTCATACTCTAGAGAAAGAAAGAGTGAGAGAGCGAGAGAGGGAGAAATAAAGACAGAGGGCTTTATAAATAGTTCGTTTTCGCCAAGTGCTTCGAATTCGTGGCATAAGCTCAATTGTTGTAGCTGCACGAAACATTTTTAGCTCCTTACCCAGTGCATCGCAGAAAAGAAATGATGTCAATCCTCGAAAAGCATCGATTCGTCATGTTTATATTCAGTGTCACGAGGAGAGAAAAAAAAGTGTGGCAGCAAACGTTGGCGTGCAAAATTTCACGCAGTCATCTGAGATGAATTCATAATTCACAAGTATTCGTCTCTCGAGCCGTCATCGTTCGTCCATATACAGGCGCCACTAAGATAAGGAAGGCCATAAAAAAATTGTTTCCTTTTTCTCTTTCTCTCTCTCTCTCTCTCTTCCTTGGCATACAGTTATATACTATCGGAGGCGTCACGCGCACTTTTTTTCACACTCGATCGTTTCATTCGAATTATTACGCAAGTCAAGTTGTGCACGCTCGCAAGGTCAAAGTAAGAATGAACCGTAATGCGTAGGTGTATAAAAGGTACGGCGCTTCCGCTTCTGAATCATTATTATAAAATAAGCATCTCGCAAGTGCGCGCGAGTAAAGTTCAAGAATTTCCCGCGCCTCGGTAATGATTATGACGTGCCGAGGTCGTTGACCTCGCGAGCGAGCAATGAGAGCGCGCGAGTACGTGAATTTTTTACAAGTCGGTCGAGCAGCGCCTAGTCGCAAAGGTAAACGTCGACAGCGATACACCTAGCTATACGGCCCCGCGTGCACCTCGAGACTCGATGAAAAGAGACTCGCTAACCGCGCTACAAGATGCGTTCGTCTAAGCGAGATGCTTATATTGATTTTTTTGCCTCCCGCTCGTTTCGAGAATTCGCGTGCACACTTACACTCTGATTGTACAAGACGTTTCCAAGACTGTTTCAGCAACTAAAATATACGAAAGAATCAACCGAATTAGCGTTAAATAATACACGCGATGAAAGTATTAATCGTAAGTGGCCAAGGGCCAGAATAAAAATACACATACTCAAATGCGTGCTAGTGCGATTGATCTCCTCCTAACTGAAATAGCTTTTTATATCAACACTGCTCGATGCTCGCAAGCTGCAGATTTCATGTTTGTTTTCATTTGAACTTGCAAAGTACAAGTGCTCGCTAGCTCGAGCGTTGAATAATGTAGTTTTTACTTACGTACACTCGAGAGATTTCTTCTGGCAGAGAGAGAGAGAGAAAGTTTTTTTCGCTTACAGCTCGTGACCGAGTTTTGAGCTAAAACTCGAAATCTAACGAGCTCGCCTCGTATCTTTTCTTTGTAACTGTTGTATCGCTGAACTGTCATTCATTTATTATCGACAGGAGACTAAGTAGAGTCTCTTTCTCTCTTATAAGGAGATACAAAAAAGATAAAAGCGATGTATTGCACGGCAACTAGCAGACTCACGAGCCATCCTGCTCAATAGCTGCATATGTCGGGGGAAAAGGAAAGAAAAGCACATGTAGGGGATATCGATTACCCACAATTTACCGGCGATACCCGCAGGATATGCGTCCGATCTGTGTACAAGTTACACACCGTGTACGCCTTCTGCGGCTTCTTCCTTTCTTGGCACGAGCTACATAATATGCTTAGCCTTTTCACCCTCGCTTTCGTGCGTCAACCCTTCGTAAAGGCCTATCTTTTCTGGGCTCGTTTCTTTTGTCACGAATTTTGTATAATTATCGATTTTAATTCATTTTATGTATAGAAAAGCTGTACGATTCGACTTAATGCCAACAAATATTGACCATCCGACTCTCGTATAGAATAATCATTTGATTTTCGTTCGTTCACCAATACCTTTTAATGAAAAGTCAGTCATCGATACGCTTCCGAGCTAATATTTACCGTTACTTTTGCGTTCGGTAAAGTCGCGTGCCAAATCGCTATTATATTTCTCTCTTTCTTCCGCTTATCGTGCAAAAGGAATGAAAATAATAATAAAAAATAATAAGAACAATCTTTATATATGTTGCTATAGTATATATACTTTGCGGACATTTTATCGTGACACGGTATGCCTTATACATTTTCTCTGCAGTGTAATGCAGGCACAGAGAGTAATAAAGTGTACGACTTTAAAGTCTCTGTGGCTGCGGACATGGCTATGATGAATGGCTCGTGCGCGTGTCTACTCGAGCAATTTCAAAATAAAAATAGCTCAAACGAGTGCAGCATCAACGCACGTGATATCTAGGCGGCTCGGCGTATTAAGCAATTATCGACCGGCACTTAATGACAATTATAAAATATATCAATCACCTGAGCATGATCGATCGGCAAAATTAAATCACTAACGCATGTTAATTGCTTCTGTGTTGCAGGGAGAACCGAGCACATTATTCTTGCGCGCGGCCCGAGCTGGTCAGCTGGAAAAAGTCCTCGAGTATCTGGATTCCGGGGTGGACATCAACACCTCTAATGCGGTAAGCTCATTACATGGCAATTCTGAAAGGTCTCGACCCCTCCCGGTCTGTAGGTATATGTAGATAAAAGCTGCGTGACTGATGGTTTGAAAGAGGCTGAAAGAGGCTGAAAGAGAAAAAAAATGGATACTTTAAAGCTCTTTTGTCGTGTAGATAACCTGAACGGGGGTGCGCGCATTATCAAAGCCGTCTGAGTGTCTTGTAGCACTTTTGTGCGTAAAATCATGTGCTTCATGCATTTGTATAGCACGCAAAGGCCTTAAGAGAGGGTAAAAAGTTTGCTCAACCCAGCCGGCGAAAGGGGAGATAAAGTTTCAAGGATACATTGTGTGTATCGTTGACTCTTTATATTTCTAGATGCGCGTCCTGGAGTGCGTGCGAAGCTTTTTTCTTCATAATAAAATAACATCCTGTGTACGTTGCAGAATGGACTGAACGCCTTGCACTTGGCGGCCAAGGACGGACACTTGGAAATCGTGAAGGAGCTGCTGCTGCGCGGAGCGATCGTCGATGCGGCCACAAAAAAGGGAAATACCGCTCTTCACATCGCCTCTCTTGGTTAGCTATCTTTCTATGATACCTTACATTTGCTTTACGAGCCTTTAAACATTTACGACGGACCGACGATTCTGATATCGAAAAATTATTATTTCCAGCCGGACAAGAGGAGGTTGTACACTTGCTCGTGCAGAGAGGAGCGTCGGTCAATGCGCAATCCCAGAATGGATTCACTCCGCTTTACATGGCAGCGCAAGAAAATCACGATTCGGTCGTTAAATTTCTCCTCAACAAAGGAGCCAACCAGACACTTGCCACCGAGGTATGTAATTACTTGATCGACCTTTTGTTCAATGCGCTCCATGTCGGAAAATAAAGCTAAGCTATTTACGTGTTGCAGGACGGCTTTACACCTTTGGCAGTCGCTATGCAACAGGGCCACGATAAGGTAGTGGCCGTGCTTTTGGAAAACGATACGAGAGGCAAAGTTCGATTGCCCGCCTTGCACATTGCGGCCAAGAAGGACGACTGCAAAGCGGCAGCATTGCTTTTACAAGTGTGTATTATAATGCATTTATTAAATCTCGAATTCGAAAAAAACTATTGAAACAATTATTTAATTGAAATTCAGAATGACCACAATCCAGATGTGACTTCGAAAAGTGGCTTCACACCGCTTCACATCGCCGCACACTATGGCAACGATCGAATCGCTTCGTTGCTCTACGATAAAGGAGCAGATATTAATTTTGCAGCTAAGGTATTTTTTAAACGCTTTTAAAACTATTCAAATTGAATAATTAAATTTTTACAACATGCCATTCCTTTTCAGCACAATATCACTCCTATGCACGTGGCAGCTAAATGGGGAAAGATAAAAATGGTCAATCTACTGATGAGCAAAGGAGCCAACATAGAAGCTAAAACTAGAGACGGACTCACACCTCTGCACTGCGCCGCTCGCTCTGGACACCATGAAGTCGTCGATATACTCATTGAAAAGGGAGCCCCTATTGGTTCGAAAACCAAAGTAAGTCCACTGCATTACTCATAGAATAAATTTCGAATACGCAACTAATTTCAAACAATAAATTTCACAGAATGGACTGGCACCACTGCACATGGCCTCCCAGGGTGACCATGTCGATGCTGCCCGAATCTTATTATATCACCGAGCTCCTGTTGACGAAGTCACGGTCGACTATCTCACGGCTTTACACGTAGCTGCTCATTGTGGACACGTTAGAGTAGCTAAATTGCTTTTGGATCGTAATGCCGATCCCAACGCCAGGGCATTGAATGGCTTTACTCCACTTCACATCGCTTGCAAAAAAAATAGGATTAAAGTCGTTGAATTGCTGTTAAAACATAAAGCCAGTATTGAAGCAACTACCGAAGTAAATACATTTTTTTCTGTACATTGTCGAGATATTTCATTATTGTGTCAAATACAATAATTGTTTTTTTTCATTAATCTAGTCCGGTTTGACGCCTCTTCATGTCGCGAGTTTCATGGGCTGTATGAATATTGTCATTTACCTGCTGCAACACGAAGCTAGTCCAGACATACCAACGGTTAGAGGTGAAACACCTTTGCATTTAGCAGCCAGAGCGAATCAGACTGACATTATTAGAATACTCCTGAGGAATGGGGCACAGGTTGATGCCCGTGCTAGGGTAGGTTCCTACTTTTACTCTGTCCTATGAACAATAGTTTGATTGTCATTTCCACATTTGCAGGAGGAGCAAACGCCACTACACGTCGCTTCGCGCCTCGGTAACGTAGATATCGTCATGCTGTTACTTCAGCATGGCGCAAGTGTCGATGTAACAACTAAAGATTTGTACACGCCATTGCATATAGCTGCCAAAGAAGGCCAAGAAGAAGTAAGATTATGATTATAGATTTTTATAAATCTTCTTGAATCGGAGCTGAGTGTTATTTTTCAAATTTTAGGTAGCATCGGTTTTATTGGAGAATGGTGCCTCTCTCACATCAGTCACCAAAAAAGGATTCACGCCTTTGCATTTAGCCGCTAAATACGGCAACATGAACGTTGCTAGGCTTCTACTGCAAAAGAATGCCCCGGTTGACGCTCAAGGAAAGGTAATACATTGTGAAAATAAAAGCGAAGAGAGTTTTTGACTTACGGCGCGTGTCTAAATTTTTTCTTGCAGAACGGAGTTACTCCACTGCACGTAGCTTCTCACTACGATCATCAAAATGTGGCTCTACTTTTACTAGATAAGGGTGCTTCACCGCACGCAATGGCCAAAAATGGTCATACTCCTCTTCACATCGCAGCGCGCAAGAATCAGGTGAGATACAAAAACCTAGTCAAGGTCCATGATATTGCTTTTTTTCATGCTTTTATTGATGCTCTCAACGTTGATTTTTTTGCTTCTCAATAGATGGACATTGCCACAACGCTACTGGAATACGGTGCAAGAGCTAATGCCGACTCCAAAGCCGGCTTCACGCCGCTTCATTTGAGTGCCCAAGAAGGACATACCGATATGTCGACTTTGCTCATCGAGCATAAAGCCGATACCAATCAGAACGCCAAGGTTTGTTGAATTTTTGCCAAGCCTTATGCGAAGCAAGTTTTTTTTCTTGCGATATTTACCAAATGATGTATTTTTCACAGAACGGACTTACACCGCTACATTTGTGCGCACAAGAAGACAAAGTCAATGTAGCTTCAATTCTGGTTAAAAACGGCGCCCAAGTCAATGCAAAAACCAAAGTAAGCGATTTTTTTCTCTGGTCATTTCAGTTGATTACGTGGTGCTGATAAACAAAAGCGCGTCTTTCAATCGAACTCAGCATCATAATTGAATTACAAAAGAGAGTACGCATACTAATTTAACGAGCTGATGTTAATCGCCCTTGCTCTGCTCTACTTGCTTTTATACGTGCCCTCTATGCATACATATTGCGCGCCTCACAGTGTACTTTTAGTACGCGTTTAAACAAAGGCTGGATTGTCGTGCGCGTGCACGTACATACCACGCTGCTTCGAAAAATGTAAAAAAGTGAAAAACGATAAAAATTAATGTGTGAATTAATTTTTTTTTTGCTGCGTACCTACTTCAGGCCGGTTACACTCCGCTGCACGTCGCTTCTCACTTTGGTCAAGCTGCGATGGTCCGATTTCTACTGAGCTCCGGAGCTACGGTGGAAAAGCGCACCAATGCCGGATACACTCCTCTTCATCAGGCCGCTCAGCAAGGACACACATTGGTTATCAATCTTCTTCTTGAGAGCAAGGCTCAACCTAATTCCGTCACCAATGTAAGTACACGAATTGTTAAAGTGCCAAAGTAATGTTTCGTGTAGCGTTAAATATTTTACATGTATACTTACTTGTATCCGTGTTTGCACATGTAAATGTTCGTCTAATCTCTGTTTTCTCTTTTTACCCGTGCCTCGCGAAATTTGCATATCGCTCTTGAGGCCAAGCAGTTGCTTAATTTTCTCTTTTTATTGTAGAATGGCCAAACAGCCCTGGACATCGCACAAAAACTCGGATACATAACGGTCGTGGAAACATTAAAAATTGTCACGGAGACCGTTATCACTACCACTCATACCGTGACCATCGAAGAGAAGTACAAAGTGCAAGCGCCTGAATCAATGCAAGAAACATTCATGAGTGATAGCGAGGATGAAGGTGGTAAGTCAATTCGAGGGGCACGTAGATGCCGTTTGTTCGCTTACACTTAGGATTTCAATATGATGTTGCTTACGTTAAATTATGTGCGCTCAGAGTTTTAACGACCGTTAAAAGCATGCGATTTCTTTGACGAAAATTGGCATTAATTCGGATCAACTAATGTAATTTTACTCAAGCCATATATTTTGTGACTAACAGCGGGAAATGAAGTCGTTAGATTAACTCGAATATGTTAGTTTTTTGTGGTGATTTGAAATATTTTTTGCATGACTAATATAATAAATGTCCTTTTCTAAAGCATTTATTCACATCAAAGTTACGTTAGGTCTTGTTAGCCATTAAGTCACTGCTCCACTCATATTGAATGATATAGCCATCCCATTAGAAGTCTATATTCGGCCGCGTAGTTATTTTCGGCGTCCTATTTTGCAAAAAAAAAAAAAAATTCGATATCAAAACTCAAAAAGATGTTGCGCGCGTTGCACGACTTGTTTCGCGTATACTCGACTGAGAGCATCGTACTTGCATAGGATTTGTTTTTAATTTTGATGAATCGCCGGGGTATATCAATACAAATGTGCATATAATGAATGTCAGGTGGCGACGAAATCGGCACAACGGCCATGAATGTGTACGCGGGTAAAGCGCCTCATGCGCAACACGTGTACCTACCTTCCTACTACCAGGGCCAAATGACTTATACTCGTAAGTTTGCCATAATCTCTCTCTCTCTCTCTTTCTCTTTTTCATTCTCTGTTTTTTGTGGCTGCTTTTGCGATGTTTTTTTTGTTTTCTCATTGTCATTCATATTATAAACATACATGTAACGATCGACTGCATCTATCAATAGATCAAAAATAATCTGGTTACGTGCGCGGTCGTTATGGTTGCGCGACGCTCGGCGTATATAATTACTCGATCGCGCTTGCTCGCTTCGTACATCGATTCTCAATAATTCATCTCTTATGATTGTTATGAGCTTATCATCGTCATCGTCGTTCTCCTTGTTCTTCTGGTCATGCATTTATCATTGTTATGTTTTATTTTTGTACGGCTAACCGCTTCTGGTATGATTCGCTGCGCTTCTTTTACAATTTAGATGTGTGAATATATATTTCTCATGTAGGCTAGATCAAGTAGTCACACGTAGCTGTTCTGGTTGTATGCGTTAATGTTTGTTTTAAAAATTACTCGTTACATGCGACCAATGGCGCATGCGGCACAGATATAACACACGATCGTGTCAATTCTGGTCATTTGACCTCCGCTGCACAAGTGTATACGTGATACTCGTCGATGCAGCTGCAGCAAATAGGTGAAAACTAATCAGCCTCGGCAGCATCCAAAGACGTGCGTAACGTCGATGCACGAGCACATACACGCACGTATACACGAACAGCTCAAGTTAGATAATCAACGCCGCGCAACAAAGAAGGAAATGAAAAATAATAGGATAGACACCGCAAGAGTACGGCTCGAGTTGTAACGACTCGTAGCCTTGCTTTACATCAAAAATAAGAATATTTTCGCCTCGATCGGCATGTAAGGCAGCAATTTTCGTTGTTTGCCTATTCATTACGTTCTTCCGAGAACGTCTGCTGCAATTAATCGCTCGTCGCCGATGATCCCGATCTGCCTTACAGGCTGTATGGACTGCAGCAGTGCTAGCGTCGAGCCAACAGTTGGCTTCTATTATTGCGCTCTGGAATAAATTTTCGATCCACATCGGAATTTTCACTTTTTATGAATAGGCCTGCGAGTACATATTGTGCATCTGCGAAGCAACACGGCCGAATAGTAAATTCACGACTCGAGTTTAATACGCACAATATGTTAATTCGAATGAGGAAATCTGTTGCTCGCGGGTATTGGATAAGACAGAAGAGTCGAACGATGACGACGTACACGAGGAGGATGATGAAGTAGGTGCTTCTAAAGTAGACAATATGGAGTTGTATTGCCTTGGGCCAACACCCATCGAGCGGCACGAGTGGCACGCTCCGTGTTTGTTTATCATCATCGTTACAATTTCTGCTCTCTCTATGCTCTACTTGGAGAAGTAGACGCGCTTGCACGTTCGATTGCGTTTTCTTTTTGTAAATTTTAATTAATGACGATGATTATAGACGTAAGAGCGGGCGGGCGATTTGGCGCCGCTACAGACACTGAGCGAAAGAGAGCTGAAAATATTTACTTGTAGTCATATTTGTGCAACACGCGTATATACGCTTGCATATATCGTGAAATAATAAACGGCATATCGACTGGTTAGTCATCGTTTTAAAATAATCCCAAGCCCAGATGAGCGCGGTATATCGAGATTTTTTCTTACTCCCGCTCGAGTCCATTAAACTCGCGTAAAAGAGCGAAGAGAAAAAGAATCGATATTTGGCCGCGCGCGCGCGCTTGTGTGCGGATCGTTAAATAGGCCAGAGCATTATCCTGCACAATATGCCAGATTCATAGTTGCCACTGCATCACATGTGCGCGCCTTCGGAGAAAAGAGAGCGCGAGATCTGTATTTTATCAACAATGGACTTCGATGGGCTATAATATCGGAAACAAGTGTGCGTGCAGCTAGTTTTTGGCTCTTTTCCTGGATTCGCGCGCGCGTCTCGCGGATAAATATACACTTAAACGCGCGCCCGCGAGACTATTTTACCGGACTTTTGTTGATATTATAATGCCCCTAAACATTCGTTCGTACGTGTATATTTCGAGGTATATTTTATCATTGTTCCTTGTACAATCTATTTTCGTAATCGTTACTTTTTTGGCCCCTTTTGATTTACAGGTGTTGTTGTACAGGCGAATATTCGAGTATTGAAATTCGCGCGTAACATAATAATGAGAAAAAATCGTTATCAAAAGACTGACAAAGAAAAATGAGGGCCTCGCTGTATTGTGTGTGTATTTGTCGTAACACGATCGAAAAATGAACAAATTACAACTTCCTTACGTCGGCGAGCTCTTTTATGTAACGAACGCACCGCTCTTTGAAATACGCCAGTAGAATATAATTAAATTTTGAATTACTTTGTAAGATTAATGCACGACCGATGAGCGTTGAATCGTAATCCTAGTCGAAGGAAAATATCGCGATCGCGACCGACTGCTAATTTGTCGAGCAAACGAAAAAATAGCGCGCACAGGCTTGAGCACTATAAAAGATGAAAAATCCGTGTCAGGGGCTCATTATACACACAAACTGCGCTTAGACCAGTGCTCGAAACAGTTGAGCTACGCGTAGCAAAAATTCGCACGCGACCACTAAAAAGCCGAAGAAAAAAAATAGGAAAAAAAAAAATATTTTCCGCGACGATCAGCGATGCACATAACGTCGCGCTTGCACGTGCTTCTTTTTCTTACATGTGTGTATACATAAAATCCCCTACCTCTGCATTGTATACCTGCCATGAATGGTTACGCAATGCTCGTGTGTGTGTGTGTGTGTGTGCCTGTGTGTCTGTGTGCACGAATGCATATAGCAGTTAAAGGCATAGCGCGCACCAAGTGCAGCGCGCGACGAAGAGCCGAGCTGCTACAGCCTTACGGTCTTTATGGTTTCAGTTCTAAGCGAGATGTAGTTCGCTTCGGTGGCTCTAATGTAAGCTTATATACCTACATGTGTATACCGAAAGTCTCGCAGACTGATCCACGGCGAGCAAGCAAAAGATAGACGCTCGCGGTGGCTTTCGGCCAAAACCAATGTCTTTTGTATTTTTACGCGTAAGAAATTGTGCGCTTTGTTTATGTAACGTGCGTAAACGCGACAATCCGTGAGAAAATTTAATTTTCCGATTTAACAGGGTGCCTCGGTAAGCAGCGACTCCGGCGCAGACTCGCGAATTCGAGGCCGATGTCGTGCGGCGTGCACTTATCGCGCGTACATCATAAGGTGTTGCTCTCGTGCGCGATAAGAATCCTCGTGTGTGCGAGCAAAGAGTTGGCAAAAGACTTGGCTGAAAAAACTTTGCACCTGCCGTGACGAGTATCGCGAGTCGAACAAGCTCGGCTTTTTTTGTCGCTTCGCCTACCTTTTTTCCACCGAAGCTTTTCCGACGCGTCCAATTGCAGCAGCTCGTCGACGTTGAGGTAGAGGGGCGACTCGGCTCGTTCCCGCGCGCGCGATTCTCTATACGTACGTTTCCGACGTAGCTTTTTCGCGTGCGCTATGATAAAATTAGTATAATAGTCGTGTCTGAGTTGCCGAACTGATCGTCGCTGTGCGTTGTCGTCGAGTTCCTGCCGCGCGTCGACGCATCCGTCGAGGCTCTCCTCCTCGATTTCTTACACGATATAGTTTTACATCGTTGTGCCGTTCTTCTTTATTTTCTTCTCGTTGCGAATAAAATTATTGCGCGTTACGTAAATAATCAACGACGTCCAGTGTGTGCGAGAGAGATGTGTGGAAAAAAATTAGTCTGCGCGTAATGCGATCTCTAAGTGCGTTGTAACTATTCCCGCAGTGCATAGCAGTTGGATGCAAATGTTACAAGGTGTTTTTGCTCGGTTGGCTTTCGCGTAAATAAGAGTATTGTGCAGTATGCCGAAAGCACAGGAGGATAAAAAAATGAAGAAGAAGCTGCAAGTGGGCGCAGTCGTTAGCAACGACGAGCCAGAAATTAAGAAAAGAAAGAAAAAGAAGAAGAGCAAGGATAGAATGCCTTGCTGTGGATGCACTAGTCGACGAAACCACAGGAACAGCGACGTCATGAGTATGAGAGATTATATTGAACGAAAATCATCATCGCGCTCATCATCGCACGCCTCTATAATCCAAAAGTGCACTGAACTTTCTCACACTTCATTTAATAAAAAAGCAAAAGAAAAATACTCGCTGCAGCACAGCTGCATAATATTTGGCTTGAACTACCGTTCGTCGCCTCCGCCGCCGCTGCTAATTAAGTTCAAGTTCGCTCGCTCGCAGCCACATCTGCAGCATCCAATACACACACACACCTAACTTGTTTATTCTTAAATAAAAAATAGATATTAATTTTGCATGTGCTGATTGCTTTATAAGCCCGAGTTTTGACGTTCGCCCTGTGACTGCATGTCTATGTGCTAATATTAATTAAATACAATCTTTCTCTATTTGCGCACATTTGACACACTAAAAAGTAGAGCGAGCCGAGCTTCGGATTCGCGGAACTTTCAAAAGGCCCGAGCTTTTCGTCGCTCGCGATTGAGCAACATTCGCGCGCTCTTTATCGATATGATACATTGATGCAAGCCCATAGACACGTGGCCATTTAAGAGCAGGATGTGGCGTTACGCATCTTAATGGCCGCGCAAAGAATTCGGCGCCAGCAACGGCACTCGAGTCCAGGCGATCGAGGCACATGATTTATAATTGCGCCGCTATGGCCACAAGCGCAAAAGTAGGTCGCTCATCATCGGCTCGGGCGCGCGCGTGCTTTTTGTTGTCGCCCCGACGACGGCTGACTTATATCCGAGGTAGGGGGGAAATCCTCTTGGGCGTGTGAATATTTTCTTGCCGTTCGGTCGTGAAAAACTATTTTGGTCGCGCGCGCGCGCGCAAAGGCGATCCGCGTATATTTGGAAAACGCTATGCTTTTTTGCGAACGCGCCTGTGCCGAGATTAATTAGATATATTTACGTATCGATGCGGTACGCGACGACCAACGGTACACACCTATAGCTATATAGCACGCGGCACGCTTCATAACGGGAAATATTATATTCGCATTGTTATGCATAAGCTGACAAAACGGATGCAAATTTATACGCGCGCATATGTGAATGAAATTTTGTATTAGTTCCAACCTGTTGAAGATTTCGTTTGAGAAAACACGATGCTCGTGGTAGCCGTTACATAAGTTCGAGGCATGGAAAAAATAGCTTCTAGAAAAGCGCGCGACGATACAATGTGCTCGAGGAAATATTGATTTTAATGCATTTATAATGTCTCTCCTCAGTCGCGCAACTGCATCTCCAAGACATTTCGCAAATATAAAATAAGGTTTTATTAGGCAGGCTTTATTAACTCGCGGCGCGCGAAAGAAAATACATAATTGACGTAGTGCATAGCGATAAAGCTCAAAAAAACATGGCTGCGAGTAAAATAGGAAGGTCAAGCGAGCAGTATAAATTCGAAAATTGCTTAATGTGCGTGGCTAGCACGGAAAACTATCGACATTTCGCGCCGCGAAACCGATCGAGTAACGCAGCGAGATTTCGTCTTTATAATAGTTCTTAATGATTTTTATAACGCCCGCTGCACATTCGTGTATGCATGCGCCAACGGATGCTCGTAAAGCAGCAGCGTTGCTTTGGGATGAAAGAACACGTTTTTGCCATTTAACATCTCTTGCAAATAAATACAAGTAATAATTGCGGTGACGCATCGCTCAATTTAAACGTGTCGTGTACATGCATGCGCGATAAAAGCTACCCGTTTGGTTCTCACGTACGTACGTATCGTATGTATGTACTAACGTCGACGACGAGCAGCTTTACATTATACATTTACCGGACGCCAATAATTCGGTAGTTCGCAGCTCCGAAGTACATAGATATCGACCGAGTTGTGCACGCTCGCGGTTTAGTTTACGATTGTGTCCGCGAGTCGCTTATCTCTTATCAATTTTCGACTCATTATATCTTCCATAAATAGACTTTTCACTACCACAGGCGCTGCACACGTATGACAGAAAATCGAAACGACACAGCGAGCTCGAAGTAGCTCGTACATGCTTTTCGTGTAATTGTTATGACATACCGCAGGAATCTTCGCCGTAATTTGATTAGAGCGAATGAAAAAATAAACAACTAATCTCGTCTGCCTGTCAATCGTTGAACTATAAAAGGAGAAAATTGAAGAGGCGATTGCGCCGAGCGTAGCAGAGCATAGACCGCGCGCGTCTAGCCGAGCTTTCAATTAGGCAATTGGCAGATCGTCGTTGCGTGTAGGCGCGTAGACGCATTCTTCGATATGGTATAGGCTGGCCATAAGTCCGTCCTATTGTAAGGTTGAACTAGGCTGCGGTGATTTTCGACGCGTTGCATACATTCGCTGCATTATCATCGGTTGCAAGAACAGACGTTCTTCGTGATAATAACTCATTATGCATGCCGCAGCGCGCCAATCTTCGTTTCTCTCTTGCCTCTCTTTCTTTTCGTTTGCAAAAAAGCAGCAGCAACGACGACGACGACGACGACGAGTAACAACAACAAAAAAAGACATAAAACCCGCCAATGTAATGCTCGCTCACTGTCGCTCTTTGAGCGCGAGCATCGCTTGGGCCACCTCTCTGCTTCTCTCTTTCTTCGCGTCTCTTTCTCTCTCTCGCTCGTGTGTAGTCGGTATATCTGCACTTTTAATCGCGCACGATTTTCGAGGGAAGCGAAAGCAGCCTCTCTGTCTCTCTCGCTCACTCTTGGAGAGCGGCTCACACTCCCATGAGGCTGCACAAGAGCAGCAGGGCAACGCACACGGCTGTATATTATACACAGAGAGGCTCGCGCGCGCAAACGTACACGACGGCGTTGACTGAAAATATCTTCAAGGATTATCATTGCGGATTAACAGAGTGCGTATTATACGTGTGTTGTTTGAGTCGCCAACGCTCTTGCACTCTATTTCTCCCTCGAGCTCGTGCTTGTGAATCTCTACGCGTTTTCCATTTTGTCGATTGCACTCGATATTATCGCCGAATTAAATTGTGCGCCGCATCGAAGAAAAAAACCGGTTGGACCGGAGCTCGTGAAGACGGTGCCGCGCAACTAGTGACTCGCTACATACCTTAGTCTACGTACATTGCATATATTCGTACATGTATACATACTTGCGTACTTTGCGGTGGGTACATCTGTGTGTGTTCTTTAAATGGACCGCTTGATACTTACACCTATGTTTCGTGCATTATTATTCATCTGTGCTGTGCATCTGTGTATCTACGCGAGTGTGTGCGTGTGTGCGCTTCTGTTTTGACTACTCCAATACTCGTATACACGCACACCACTGTACAGCGATTATATTTGCGTGAATCGACACGTGCTTTTTTGGCTCAATGAAACTTGCTCGGCTTCTTTTTCACACTGTATAAACCGTGCGGCACTTCTTATCTCGGTGTTTGCTTTTTTTCCCCTTTCAGTCGACCGAGGCCTTTTCGTTGTGTATAATCATAAAGATAATAATTTTAATTTCGTTATCGGCAAGTCGAATCGATTCGGGTAGCGGCATTAGTGTCAAATTTTGTGCCCGCTTGTGTACGCGTATGTTTTTGCGACCAGTGAATTTCTATTAATACACGATTGCTTTACTCGTGTACCTACTACCGTGGCCTATAAGCAAGCTCTTGATTGAATTTGGTGCGTTTTTAATGTACCGCTCTCTCTCTGTCTCTCTCTTTTTTGTCGATACTGCACTGCTATTCGTCTGTGTATATATTTATTTACATCCGCGTATTTTGCAATTCAAATGAGCTGGAGACAAACTTTTTTGTCGATGAAAGAAAAAGACAAATTCAGAGTTGGCCTACATTTGACGCATTAAAAAAAAAGTTATAATTTATCGAAACGGCCCGAAAGAGAATAGAGTAGTTTTGCGTTGACCTCGATCTCATGGGCGAATGATGTATTTAATGCGATTGCGTCACTTGTCGTCGTCGTCATCGTTGTCGGCCACCGCGGCAACGTGTTGCTGTATGCTCTGCTATACGCACACGCACACATTCAATACAGAAACTGCAAAGACGTATTATGCAAAGAATATTGAATTGAATGAAAATATACGCGTAGCGAGGTTTGAGAAATTTAAAACAATTGGATAACAAGGATGATAATGTACATAATATACAAGAGCCGCCAGACACATGCAATTGTGTAAGGAAGTGGCGCGTCAAGAAGGAATTTAACACTCACGCACGTGCGACTAAGTGTACTCGATGGTTTTGTCATTAACTGCATTGTAATCATTTTAACGATAAAATTATTTATTTTTACATTAATTATTAGATCGTCTAAAGTACATGTACAATTATCATACACTAGAAAATATGATTTCTTTGTTTACATAATAATGTTTATTATCATCAAAATGGTCCCATCACACAGGTGAAGATCCTATGCTCAGTGATCAACAGCAGTATCGGTACATGACCGTCGACGACATGAAATCTATGGGGGATGACTCGATGCGAGTCAACGTAACCGACGACGAACGCGACAATCGGCACTCCGGAGGTGAATAATTCTTGACTAGTTCGAAAGATATGCATTTTTTCTATCTGTTGAAATACATAATTTGTTGATATTCTCTTTTGCAGCACCGACAATTACCGAAATGATAACCAAAGAGAGTTACAATCGACAAAATGCGGCGAATCATAAACCTGATAACGTTGATATCAATCGTGGCCATCCAGTTCATGTTGGGTATGTTTATCATACTTGCTGGTATCGATCTTTCTTTTTTTCTAACTGGCTACATTCAGTAAATAATTTTTTTTTCTTTTTTTAAACGCGTCTTATTGAACTATGCATATTTATGTATAAAAGTATATTACTAATAATGGTTTCATTCCTATTATTACATAAGTGCTTATAATGTATGTATTTCGAATTAATCAATAATTGAGAAATAATTTTTACACGCTTCATGAAAAAATTACCTCGAGAATATTAATATTTGCCAGCCTTGGAGTGATAGCTAATTACTTTATTTGCTAAAAATTAAAAAACAGCAATTTTTCTTCATAAGAAAAAAGTAAAAAGTAATTTTATCTTTGTGAATAATTTTGTTGAACTTTAAAAATTAATCTTGGAACAATAATGTTGTGTATTATAGTATTATTTTCGAAAATTGTATGGGTGTTGGTGAAAAACGGAATGCTTGTGACTAAAAAAATGGTTCATTACCTAAAATCGTAGATACGTTTTTTTATGTAGTGACAAATATTAGTATTTTACTATTAACAATTTGGTATTGTGAAGATCTCTTGTAGTAGGTTATGAAGTTGGTATAATAATCCGTACTTATGTAGGAAATAATATATTCTAGTAGCTCTTTTCTGTACTCTTTTCTTCTATTATTGCATTCCAATTATGTATATATAATATTTATATAATTTATTTAAGGCATGCTTGCCCACTCCCTCTCGTTAATGTATCTATCGTAAAAATTGTATTATGCTCAAGTAGTTTATTAAGCAGTTGATTGTTTTCAAAGAAGAACAGTGATTGATAATAATTAATCGTCTTTACAAAAAAAAAACCCCACGAAAACTAAAATTACACTGTAAATAGGACTAACGAGTGTTTTAATTCATTATTAAAACTTCTTCAATCGATTCTTCTTTATATTCTTCTTGTTGTAATTTTACAAACTCTCTTTTGTTGCTGAAAGTCTAGAATAAAAATGTGTTTTCGTAGTTTAATTTTTCAATCTCGCATCATATTTATCTGTGTAGGCATATTTTTTTTCTTTTATTACAAAATATATATCCAGTTTTAACAACGACCCAAACATTTCATCAATAAATTGTATAATCTGCACGAAAAAAATAACGAATTAAAAATTAAAATAAAATTCAAAGCAATCCAAATAGCATGTGAGTGAGTAAAAAGCACGGTTTAGACAGATGAATTTTGTATAATCATACACTAAGGTGTTCTCTTCCAATTATTAGTGCCTCCATAGAATCCCTAAATGAATCGCTGGCAGCTCTTGGCGCTGTGCCAAAAGGACAAGGAATGTGGAGGGACAGGTACATACATACCTATAACGTTATTTTTTAAATTATTTAAATAAAAATTGAAATTTAAAATATAATCTCTAAAGCTTACTTAATTTCGGTGAAATATAGAGGCCTTAATTGATATTAATGACACTTTAACTATTCATGTAAAATTGCCTAAGCTTAAGCGCTCTTACGAAAATTTCTCTTAATATCATAATTACTAAACCTTCAAAAAATGATACTCAAATAGATTTTACACACAGTTTAGCGAAAATTATAAAATCTAAAATTTGTTAATTTTATTAAAGTTTTCCCTCTAGACTATAGATAATTTTGATTGAAATGATTCTTCTCATTTATTGGTTGAATTTCCTGCTGTTTCGTTCGATTAGCCTATTGTCTAAACTTAGCCATTGTCTAAGTAAACAATCTCTGAAATGTTTTTTACTTTGTATGTAATTCAATGTCGCATCTATGATAAAATTTTCTCGACTAGGGTAAATAAAGTGCAGTTGGCAATAATCAATGTTAGGTCAATGCTTACAGATTTACTTTTATTCAACATCTTTTTTGTATAGTTCTCAAATCATTCTGTTATTTAATCCTAGGTATTTCGCAGCATCTTCGTCATGTCCGCTAAAGGAATATTACAATGTACACAGTAAATATATCATATATAAAGATGAGATCATGAATATTTCGTGTGAATGGATTTCAGTGTCGTACGTAAATTCGATACTATAATACATAATGATTATTGGAGTATATAATCCTCTACAAAAAATAAACGATAATAAAATAAGATTAAAATTTAGACTCATCATCTCATGATCGTCATTGTATAATTTTTTATGTTTTTTACTTTGCCGATAGCGTATATCTTTTATATTTTTACATGTGTATCAAGCATAAATAATTAAACATTACTAACGCGTAATTATTATTTTGTTTTGGATCCTTTACGTTCTTATTTTCTTTGCGCTACTCGCAGAATTCCATCATGGAAAAAGTAAGTGGAAGCCTCTTCTTCTTCATCAAAAGTATAGCTTTTTTTACTGCTAAAAATGATCTGCTTGCGTAAATTATTATTTTTCGTTCTGCTGATACTGCCACGTACATAAGTACTCCAGTATATATTGTTTATACGCATCGTTATTTTCTTTGCGCCAGTGTCATTTTTTAGTTTTCTTATACATCTTATTTTTCTCTTCTTCTCTCATTATTCATTCACCAAATGAATCATTTCACAAATTTCATACAGTTAGCAATGTATCATAATTCGATATTTTAGCCTTGACACAAAATTTTTGTATTATCTACTCTGCGGAATTATGATTTTTCTATATTCAAGACATTGGCATTTATATTTCATTCTGCTATTATTATAAATTATATCATATTTTCTATAATTCTTATCTCACTAGTTCTGTTAGATACAGAACAAAAAAAATCGCTTCATATTATCACACATTCACAAGGAATGGGATTACATGAAAGCTCAAGGCTTATCTCGAGATTATGCATCTCTAATATAATACTCAATGTCGAAGCTATGGTAAAAAATATTTTTCTTTTGCTTTGTCTTCGAGATAAGGAATTAAGAAATGCATAAGCCCGATATTTTTGGCTAAACGTTACCTTTAAATTTTAAAATTCACAAATTATAAGATATTTCATTTGCATTTGTTTTCTGTAGATTTGCAAAAATATTGAAATGTTTATTTTTCTAGATTCAATTTAAAAACTTCTTTCAAATGTAACGTTCGATGAAGTAAATAGTTGTAGAAATGTACCGTAGAAAAACAATTCGCTCTTGAGTATCTATTTTAAGTTTTTATTATAAACAAAATGAAAACGTCAAATGTATAGTTGACCTTTAGAAATTTACAATTTCTATGAGTGACGTATGCACAGTACGCATACACACAAAACATACAACATGCACAGTCGATAAAATAATTTTGAAATTACGGTTTGGTTACAAAATTTATTTTTATTGCCATCTGACGATGCCGCACTAAAGACAGAATCTTTTATTTTTAAAATCATCTCAACGGCGTAATACATTTAGCTCAGAAATTTTTCAGTTGCTTTTTTTTAACTCAATGCCATTATCATCGATTCATTAACATTGTCATCAATTCATTTCATATACAAAATCAGGATTCATTTGTAAGAAAATCATTTATCATCATTCATCAATAATCCATTCATATTTAGAAGAGTCTTGGGAATTGAAATAACGAAAAAAATTTGTTGTAGATATGTTCTACAAACTTGCTATTAATTTTCGAAGGGTTTGTTAACTTTTTAGCAAAAAATTCTAAAAATATTCAAGAGTATAAAACAAATATATCTAAGGCTGCAGTTTCGAATTGTTGAAGCGTTTTCAAATGGGGTTTGGCTGTTAGGGGAAAATTCGCACACATAATTTTTTCATTTTATGTACAAAACTCTAAATAACCCTAGAAATCCCTAGAAAATGATGATTTTCTAGAAATTTTTGAGTTTCATGAAGGAATTTTCCCCTGAATGAACACTTTGTTCTAAAAATACTAAAATTTATAAGCTTTAGCTTGCAGCGAGTAAAAATTTTAAAACATGAGTTACTATTGAAACCACATAGAAAGTTTTTGAATGTGAACATATACAAATAAGTAATTTTACTATTGGACTCAACTTATCAGATCATATATATGTGTAAAATAAATTCGAAACATTGTCATTTTCTGTATATATTTATCGATTCGAGCTTATCTCTTTATAATTATGTATACACATTCGGTCACGCTTTAAAATACAAATGAGCTTTTGCAGCAGTACAAAAGCAGTTTAGTAATCATAGACATAAATTATTTATAATTACTAACACTAATTTAATATGGTCTGGAAAGTTATTAACTGATTCTTATTAGATATTAGTCACATGAAGTATCTATTTTTTATAACCTGTAATATATAGTATTTTTCATTTCCCATTGGTATTTTTAACAGAAAAAAAAAACACTTACAAATGTATATACTAGACATATGCATAATTATATTTCGTCCATACAGCACATTAATATACTTCAATATTTGGTAAAGCACACATTTGTCAATAAACTTTTCTAATTATGACAACGGAAAAGTTATCATAACACAGCAACGCGCTTAAAGTGTATACACACCGAGACAATCAATTCAAATAATGCAACACCTAGCTTGTACTTTTTCAAGAAAAGATAATAATTTTGTATCTCTCTCTCTCTCTCCCGTTCTTGTTGCTCGCGAATCAACAGCTTCCTGGTTTCTTTTCTGGTGGACGCCCGAGGCGGTGCCATGCGAGGATGTCGCCACAGCGGAGTACGCGTCATTGTGCCACCGCGAAAAGCCACAATGCCCATGAGAGTGACGTGCCGTTACCTCAAGAGAGACAAACTGACGAATCCACCACCGTTGATGGAGGGTGAGGCACTGGCAAGTCGCATACTCGAGCTTGGACCTGTTGGAGCTAAATTTTTAGGGTAAAAAAATATGACAATTTTCTCTCAACAATTAAACATAATCCTTTTAATTATACTATTGACTCAGTCGTGATTATCGTTATGTCTTTTTTATTCAAAGCAATAAAAATGTTGATTTTATTTCAAGTTCAAATTTATTATAAAAGAGCTATAAATACGATATATTCCTTTGTGATTGACCGCTTCTTTGCATTCTTCAATAATTACTGCTTCTGTTTCCGTCCACGTGTTTGACTTTTTTTCTCGCTGTATTTCTCATTAATGATTTTTTTATGTAAATATTCAGACCTGTAATCATCGAAGTGCCACACTTTGCCTCTTTACGTGGAAAAGAGCGTGAAATCGTTATACTGAGATCTGACAATGGAGAAACTTGGCGCGAGCACACCTTGGAAGCTAGTGAAGAGGCTGTTCAGGATGTTCTTAACGAGAGTTTTGAAGGAGAAGGTACGTTTTGTATGAAATCCATATTGATTAAGCTAATATATCAAAAATTAAAATACACTCACTGATTTCCGCTCATTTGTCTCGCAGAATTAAGCCAGTTGGAAGACCTTCAAACTTCACGTATAGTCAGGATATTGACTGTTGACTTTCCACACTATTTCGCTGTTGTTTCTCGCATAAGACAAGAAGTTCACGCTGTTGGTCCAGAAGGAGGTACGGTGTCCTCCACAGCTGTTCCGCAAGTGCAAGCTATCTTTCCAGCAGCAGCTCTTACCAAGAAAATTCGAGTTGGCTTACAGGTATAAACGAAACCATGCTGCATCAATTAATTTTTGCAATCGAAAGAGTTTTAATTGAATATTAATAACAGGCTCATCCGATACCGGCCGAGCTCGTTGCTAAATTACTTGGCAACAGGGTGGCCGTTTCTCCGATTGTTACGGTCGAGCCCAGAAGAAGAAAGTTTCACAAGCCTATCATTTTAACCATACCTGTACCTCAAGCTGCAAATAAGGGGATGATAAATCAATATTCAGGAGATGCTCCGACACTTAGACTGCTTTGCAGCATTACTGGTAATGTTTTATTTGTTTAATTTACTTTATAATGATTACAACTATCAAAGAGCCACTTCGTTTTTTACTACTATATATTTTAGTGTTAAAATACATTATAATCTTATTTTGTTTAGAAAATTCCCATAAATGACAAAAATTTTGATTTTAATGAATTTCTCAGATTTTTCAAAGATACTTTTTAGCGTTAAAGCGTTGAATTTCTATATACATTATTATTGAAACAATTACGAGTATTATTAGATTTTGTGGTGGCACAGACTCTGTAAACTTAAATTTTATTATTCAAAACAAAAAAAAAAACATTTTGTTGATTATCATTGTTGTTATACATATATTCTTGTTGTGATTCATTGTTAATGCTTGCGTATTATTAGGATTGAGTCATTTAGGTATGGATCATTACTTACCAACGTAGTTTACAAATTTATTACATTACATATAAAATATAATATAAATCTATAAATATGTCCATAATATCATTATATATTTTTCGCATTATATATCAATACATTTTTGTTCAGCACATAGTTATGCGACTTCAACATGTTATTATTGTATCAAAAAAGATTTTTTATTAATAATTGTTAGATGATTTAGATATTTTTTTTTAAATTTATAGTAGTGTTTATATATGCTCTTAAGTGCTTAGCTTTTGCCATAAATATGACTCACTAGTTTGCTAGTAATCAAAGTATAAAATCGAATTTAACTATTGTCAAGTAATTTTTTTCATAGAATTTTGATTTACACATGATATATGGGCCAAATCATGTCAACTTGTGTGGCCAAAAAATGATATTGCTCCCTTTCAACATATACACACATATAAAAAAAATAAGAAGCTTCTCCAATTCTTTAGATCTATTTCTCATAGATCAAGAGATTTAATATTGAATTTTTATAAACTAAATATTGATGTGGTTTTAGGTCATTAAAAAAAAAATAAAAACAGTTTAATATAGGCCTGGTTTTTGGATGAGCCATTCATGAAAATAATAAAAATATTAAATTTTCATGATTTATCCTACATGCCTCAAAACAAACAGTCTTCATAAAACAATTAAAATATTAGGTCGAAAATAAATATTTTTGTATACTTTGATTTGATTCATGTTAAAGTACACTAGTGGAATGACAAATTTAAAATGTGCATTAAAATTTGGAAATTTGCAGAGTAAAACAACAGTTTCTACGCCACATGAAAAACCTATTATAATACCTATTACAGGCATCCCTCGTTATACGCGGCTTACTCTTATACGCGGATTGCCAAATGCCATATACATAGAAAGAATCAAAAAACAAAATCTGAATGTGTTCGATCATGACTTTCATTTCCAAAAGTATTTACAAAGCTTCTTCAGAATGTCTACTACTACCTGCTAAATTTTTGTAATAGGCTTTCTAGTTGAACGGTCTGGAGATATCAAAGTGTGTCGAAAAACGTGTAAAAAAATTCGAAAAATGGCTGTTTTGGCGATATTACGCTTATTGCGCCATTTTTCCGAAAAGTTCCAATAAAATTTCATATTTATAGAATAAAATTTTTTATTGGCCTTTAGACTCCACTGAGAATCGATCAGTTTTGAATATTTTATTTTAATAATTGGTAATACATAACGTTTTGAGACTTTAATATTGTTGCATATTCGATTTAGTTACTATGGTTTTCAGTTTACATTTCTTCTAAATTTCTTCTAAAAATTTTTCCTGACTACATAAACCCCCACACAAAGGTTCCTCATAGAGAAGCAAATTTTAAAAATTTGAAAAAAAGTTTCAAATTGTGAAACTATCATTTTTCATTAAGTTTTCTTTTTATTCACTTAAACACGTGAAAAACAAAAAAAAAAACAATTTTTCACCATTAATCACAAAAATGTTTCGACCTTCATCTTAGATAAAATCGACAGTAAATTTGGTTTGTATAGATAGAAATGAAATCCCATTTACGAGATAAAGCTTTGCACTTGTCACTCATACAATTCAATATTTTTTTCCCCCATTCAAAAACTATATTAAACGGTTTTCTGTATGACCTAAACCCACAATATTTAATTTATAAAAATCCAATATTGATTTTCCATCAATATGTACATGAGAATATATACTTTAGATCACAAATTTTGTGGTTTTCATTTTTTAATGTATTTTATATGAGTTTATTTTAACATTGTATACCATTTTTTGACCTTTTACGTTTAACGTGGAACAGGTCATATACGTGAATAGCAGATATTGCAATGTGAATACATAATATGACATTATATTCAGATGAACATTGTGTATTAACTATTACACATAAATTTCTTGAGATTTACTTTATTGTTTTTTTTTCGCATACATTATAAACAATGTCTCTTGTACTGTTTTTAACATTGGCTTGTTTAAATAATTTTCTATTCATAATTATGTTAAAAAATGTACAGAGTATTCCTCCGACTTTCACTTTAAGTTTTTATTTGTAAAATATACGAACTTGCTAAATGTCAAATTATTTTCAGTTACTTCGCAAGCATTATCAGTCGAATTCCATTTATAAACTCGATCATGTGTTTTTGACATTTGATTATCGTCATAAATTGTACACTCTCATTCAAATACACACCCTAAAACAAAAATGTATACATTTCTTTGGAATGTGGAAAAAAGTTATACTTTTTGAGCTCTTGCTTGCAAAACATGCTCGATTATGCGGCATTTAAATCGAATCTCATAAATTAAAACACAGTTAAATTGAATTAAAAAAAAACTTTGAGTAAATAATTCATGAGGTGAATTTTTGGCATTTTTTTCTACTTCATAGGCGGCCAATTAAGAGCAGTTTGGGAAGACGTAACAGGGTCAACGCCCTTATCATTTGTCAAGGACTGTGTATCGTTCACGACCACAGTATCAGCGAGGTTTTGGCTCATGGATTGCCGCAACGTTTCCGAAGCTACAAAAATGGCAACTGAATTGTATACTCACGCTACGCATGTGCCGTTTATGGCCAAGTATGACAATGCATTCCTCACTTACACATAATTCGCGCGTCATAAATATTTAATCGCCAGCTTACAACACATAAATGATAATGTATTTAGTTAAAAATAACGCTTGTCTTGTGTTTCACAATAGATTCGTTGTATTTGCGAAGCGCACCGATCCTCTGGAAGCAAGACTGCGGGTATTTTGTATGACCGATGACAAGGAGGATAAAACGTTAGAGCATCAAGAGCACTTTACTGAAGTGGCTAAGAGCCGAGACGTCGAGGTAAAAAATCGCATGTTTTGACTTACTCGTCAATGCTTCAATTTAATAATCTCAATTGACTGTTATACTGTACTAGGTTCTTGAGGGTAAAACGCAGTTTATGGAGTTTGCTGGTAATCTCGTACCTGTGCTCAAAAGTGGCGAACAATTGCAACTTCCTTTCCGAGGTTTTAAAGAAAATCGCGTTCCTTTCACTGTAAGGGTAAGAGATCCTGATGCGCAAGACACAATGGGCCGCATCATGTTTATGAGCGAGCCGAAAAAAGCTAAAGGTGAACCACCTCAAACGCCGATTTGTACCCTCAATATTATGCTTCCTGAAAAAATCATACCGGATGGAGGCAGTTCAGAGCTCGACTTGCTTGAACTATCTAAAAACTATAGCTTCCTTAGAGATGGAGGTTTAAGTAAGTTTATTTTAATATTCATACAAAAAGTTACAATAAGTTGAATAACATTCATGATTGTATTTGAATAAATTATTTCAGGCAGGCCAGATGCTATTCATAGAGCGACGATCCGTTTGACCGATATCGCCAACCTACTCGACAAGGATTGGGAAAAATTAGCACAAGAGTTGAATATTACGCCAAATGAAATAGCTCAAATCAAAGAAAATCATCCAGACTTGCCGGCTCAGCAAGCCACCGCTATGTTCAAAGCCTGGCAAGCCAATGGTAACAAAGCCACTGGTAAGATTTGTGTTTTATGAAATATTTGTGAAAAATTACTTAATTTGACTCGAATAAGCTATATTTGCGGAACGTGCAAAACGTACAAAAAACCAGTTTCTTTTGCGTATGAAATGCGCATCGCGCGCGCGCAAGGTGAAGTAAACATCAGGTAAAGAGAGACAGATACACACAAAGATGATTCAGTCCTGATGGAATCTGTGCAAAAACGACTGCTACCTATACATGATGTCATTCTTCATTATAATTCTCGGCGTATGAGGCCCATGGAAGTGTTACTCCCCCACTCCCGACTCTCTCACGCGTATTATAGCATTCACACGCGCCAAGCTATCTCACATGGTCATATATATATATATATTTATATTGCTGATGATGATAGCTCTTGAGCTCCGCGTACATTCCAATATACTCATAATTGGTGAGTGCAATCGACCATAGTCTCATCAGTAGCGAGCCAGGCTGTGCGCGAGCATGACGTGTTTTTTTTTCGAGATTAAGAAATAAGAAAAAAAGGTACATAATTCATTTGGGCGATATACTTATCTTAATATCAAGAAAATTAGAGAGGCATTGCAACTTCACAGAAGTGATCTGACGATATTATTTAAAAATCTATTGAGTTTCGAAACAGTGCTTTTACAACGAAAAATTTTACTCAACAATTTGAAAGTGTTACTCTCGGTATCAATTGAAAAATTTTTTTATAATAATAATCGCAATTTGGTGACTCAAATGTGTCAGGTGTTGTAAATTGTGTTTGTCCATTGTTGTATGTGCAGGTAATACATTGGAAAAGGCGCTTAACAAAATCGGCCGTGAGGATATAGTGAAAACGTGCATATTCAACGTCGAGCTGGTTACGGACGACGTCGAGAAAGCCGTAGCTCGCGTCAGACTAGATCAACCTGGTTTCGACACCTTCAAAGATGAGCTAGGTCCATCGAGAAACACGTCTCTTCAGCGAGACGCTACTCTGGAACCTAAAGCTGAGCTTGAATATGAAGAGCCGGATCGCATGAAGGTAAGTCGCGGGCATATATATGTGTGCTCTGTGTATTTTTTAAAAAAGTATAAGAAATACCTCAAGGTTAATTTTAATTGGCCAGTGTAAAAGTCTCGTCTCGAGCGAGAGCGCGCCTAGCACAGGAATCTTGAGAGCTCGTTACTTGCGGCTAACTATGCGCGATCGCATTGAAAATTATCTTAAATAATAATAAACTTGCTCTACTTATAGTGCACTTTGACTTTTTGAGTCACGTCGATGGTATTTTCCCTCTCTTCGCTTGCCCAATGTTTGTCCCTCTCTTGATCTCATCGTTTAACACCGCGTTGACTTAACGATTAATTAAGTTTGTTTCTTTCTTTCTTTGTTTTAGGACTCGGAATCCGTCGAAGATCTCAGTACTACTGGAGGAAGCCAAAAGACGAGTAAGTTAAAAAGTGCATTAAATACATCTTTTTTTCTCTTTGTAATAAAATATACCACTAATAATACTTCTTATGCAGTCCCATTTTGTGAGAATGCTCCCGTGTTTATTTATTATTATTTCTATTCTTCTTTTTCGTTATAATGAAATTTACAAGTTTGTTACACAATGTTTATTACGTATGAATCATATTATTCATTGTCGATGCGTTTGTCATTGTGCGCCTACGCGTTGAAGAGTGAGTTGTAACGCGCATCATTTCAATACTGTTCGGCAAACGCACGTATAAATCACTTCTACTTTTTTTACACTTTTTACAGTTCAGCGAAAAGTAGCTTTAATCATTTGTCAATTCGTGATCGTGATTTGTTAACCTCGTTCGCTTACAGTAAACACGTTGCAAAAAAAACAATATATTAAAGTTTTGCAAAGGCAAGACGGCCTTTTTCCCTTCGTTAGCACTAAGCTTACACACCTAGTTGTTGTTGAATTTTTTTTCTTTCATTCGCACTTTCAACAGCAGCCAAACAGCACGGCACGATAACGAATGGCACTATTTACAACGCTACATCAACCCCTATCAAAGATAAATACGCTAGTGACGAAAAAGAGCTGGGTGATATGATGGCTGATTTTATCGAGCATAAGTTGCACGCATCTGAAACAATGGTGAAAAATTCCCGTGAGGATATCGACGACGATAATAAAAAACGTCAAAGAGTCTTGGAGGATGCTAACAGAATAGTCTCTGGTGAGTAATTGAGCACGTGCAAGATCATTATTATATTAACTTTTTAATTGAGATAATTGGGACAAGGGTTGCGGAGCTTTGTAGAATAAATATGCAGCTACTATTAAAAAATATAAACCTAGTTCTAGCGATTAAAAGCTCAACATAATCTACTATTTAATGCATATACTTGACAATGAATTCCGCTTTACTGCACAATAATTTTCTCGTGCATTTCCCTATGGCCTCGAATCAATAATGTAACCAAATAATTTTTCCACTATACAATAAACAGGTTCTGGAAGCTGGTGCCGTTTTCTACGAACTTGTAGCAGCTTGCTTTTTTACAATACTTCATAATATTAATACATAATAATTTCTATTATTTTCGACGATTAGACTATATTTACACAGCATATAATTTTTTCATTTCTTTTAATTTTATATGTTTTTTTTTAAATCTGAGCATTATTCATTGATAAATTTGCAACTTTTGTATAAAGTAATAAACATATTTCAGCGTTCTCAATTACACTCAACAATCATTTGGCGTTGCATGCGTTAATTTTAATTTCTATCGTACAGCATACCTGCGTGGGCGCACGGAGCAGCTATCGATTTGAGTCAATTTTTAATAAAATAATAATTAATGTATCTTTGGTTTGATTATAATTTAACAGAATAAATTAATTTTTCACCATTTCCATGCAAGTTTTGTATACTTTCTATGAATTTATTGATAAATACTTGGAAGAGCTTTGCTCTATTTGTTACCCGTAGTATTTTAGAATTCAGTAGTAAAAAAAAATTAATACAATTGTAAATATAATCGATCGATTCTATTACGGAATACTATTTGAAAACATAAAATCAGCTAATAATTTACGAGTTTAATAATTCAATTGTGATGGCTGCTCCTCTGCACATACTTTGCACAATTATTCGCTGTATGGAAGTTTAACAGCCGTTATCAATGTATTAATATGCAAGACAAAGAGAATAAGAAGATTATATGCAATGATTAATAACCATAACAAAGATTTATCAATGAATATGATTTATTTAATGCAGCTAAATTTAAAAAAAAAATTCATTAACAGGTGTAAAACAGGATGCTGAGAAAGAGATGAACAAGTTAGCGAAAGAAGGGTGGTCGGTTGTTAGTGACGATGAAGAGAAAAAATTGAACGAGGTTCAGAATGCATTAAGTCTAAAGAAATCTGATGCCCTCGAGGGCGCTGCGAGTAATATACTTGAGCCTCCTATAATTCAACAAAAGTGTATCATAGGAACCGATGGAGATCGAACGATAACTACGATTACTACTAAAACTATTATCACTACTGGTCGTGATGTTAAGACAGAAAAAGATGCAGATACCGGTTACGATACAACTGATTTCACTAGACCATTAGGTATTGTAAGCATTCAAGAAATAGAAGTTGAAGCAGGTGAAAAATTTAAGCCTGTTGTCTCCAAAATAGAGAACACAAAATCCGACGATGATCGTAGAATACATACTTTACCAGGCAATAAAGAGAAAGTATCTAACGAGCGAAAAGAAGAAGATGAAACATTGCAAGACAATGAATCAAAATTTCCAGATGATTTAAATGACGGTAAAAAAACAAAAGACAAATCTAGCAAAATATTTGCTGGCATTTTTAAATCTCCCAAAAATAAAAAAGATAAACCAAAAGATTCATCGGAAATCTCTTTTGATATTGTGGACAAGAGTACTAAAGCTTCGACGATTCAATTACTAGACGAAATGAAAAAATCAGCTGATGCAACGATTGAAGATGACATTAAATATGCATCAACTTTACAAGATGTAGAATTAAATAAAGATGATATGGCAAGTAAAGAATCTGAAAAAAATATATCGAACGAAAAACTAAGTAAGGATAATTCTAGATTGTTTGGTATATTAAAGAGTCCCAAATCAAAAAATAAAACAAAAAAATTAAGTAAAACAGAAAGTTCCGCTGACGCTCCGTTTACCAGTAGTGAAGAAAATGATCGAAAAACAAAATCGCACAGTACACATCAAACAGTAAATTCAGATAATTCCTTTTACGAAATAGATCTCATAGATGCTGATGGACCAAACGAAAAGGAAACGAACCGAGACGATGAAGTGGTGCTAAAAAAAGAAATTGAAATAAACAAAAATGAAAGTCACAACGCTAAACAAGAAAAAATTGGAGTATTTTCAAAAATGTTCCAGAAATCTCCCAAAACAAAGGATAAAAAGTCATCAACTTCTAGAGAATCTAGTGTCACCAAAGACGTACCAGTTGCTAGCGGTGATGAATCAAAAATGAGTCCTAATGTTATAGAAAAATCATCGATATTTGTAGAAACAGATTTGAAAAAAGTGACTCAACAATTTCTAGAAGACAGCATAAATACTGCTGGTATTATTGATGCATGTCCTTACAAATCAGAATATTTGTATAAAACAACTACTTCGACTACAGCAAACATTGATGAGGAAGTTCATGCTGAGAAGTCATTAAAAATAGAAATGAAAAACGAAGAACCGAGTAAAGGAAAAGATAAGACGGACGGCTTTCTATCGGGGATATTTAAAGGTGCAAAACATGCATCTGACGAAGTTGTTGATGAAGTAAAAAAATTTGTAAAGGACACAAAAAAAGAGGCTATGGAGGAAGAAGAAAAAGCTAAAAACCTAACTTCGAAAATGAAAAAGAATATTGATGATGCCGAATTAAATATTTTGCATAAAACTAATGAAGTGAAAAAAGACGTTAAAGATGATGTTAATGAAACTAAACAGAAATTGGAAAAAATTACAATTGAAACTACTACAGAACTTGTTGATGGTATTCATGAAAAAATGGATGATGACACAGCTAAAGCAAAAGAAATCACAAAAGAGAGTCTTAAAGATGAAATTATTAAAATCGAAACGAACGTTACAAAAAGCAAGGAAAAAAAGAGCAAATTTCTCACGGGTATATTTAAGGGTTCAAAAAGTGTATCTGAAGATGAAGAAAAAACTGAATATGAACTAAACAAAGACGCCAAGAAAAAAAAAGAAGAATCGTCAGTAATCATAGATGAGAAAAGAAAAAATATTAATCTTGAAAGTGAAGCTTCGAATGATGGTCCAACAGTCTCAACTACTGAAGTTATAAAAACAGAAAAAGAATTGAATGTCAGAGATTCTATTGAAACCCCTGAAAAGTCTAAACAAAAAACCAGTCGATTTTTTTCAGGTGTTTTTTCCACACCAAACACTTCAAATGAGGAAGCAGCAAAAGACGTTAAAGAATACATTGGTGAATCAAAACGTTCGTTTAAAAAACAAAAAAATAAATTACATAAAAAGCCTGCGAAAGATGATGTAAAACTTCAATCTCATGAAGCTAATACGAATATTAATGAAACAATCGATGATCTTGATAAAGTAGTTCAAAATGAAGGACTAATAGTAAAGATTGTTGATGGAAATGATAGCAATTTAACTGTCAAAGATGAAAAATTAAAAAAGGACAGTGAGGAAGAAATGACACCAAGTAGAGATCATGTCAGTGAGCCTACTAAAAAGAGCAAAGATAAAGCAGGAGGATTTCTATCAGGTATTTTCAAAGGAGCTAAACACGCTACTGACGAAATAACGGATGAACTCAAAGAGTTTGTCGAAGAAACTAAAAAAGAAGCGATCGAAGAAGAAGAAAAGGTAAAGAAATCATCTGAAAAAGTAAAGAAAGATGTTAAGGACCACGCTGATGCTATCTCACAAGAAATGGACAAACTGACTGCTCAAGTCGTGGTAAAAACTGAGGCATCGGTAGATAGTGTTCAGCAAGTCATTGACGAAACATCAAACGAAAAAGAAAAATTGGAAAAAAAAGTTGATAGTGATGCAAAGACAGCAGTAGATCATGCAGATGTAGCAGTGAAAAAAAGTAAAGACAAGGTTTCTGGATTTTTATCAGGTATATTGAAAAGTTCGAAACATACATCAAATGAAGTTGTCGAAGAGGTTGAAGAGTTTTTGGAAAAAACCAAAAAAGAGGCAGATGAAGAAAAGCAAAATTCGAAAAATAAAATTGACGATATAAATGAAGAACTATCTTCTAGAAAAATCCTGAATATAACTGATGGCTCTGAAAATATTTCGGAAAATACAAGTAATTTCGATAGTGAAATGACACCCACTAAAACTTCAGCAAAAATTCAAAAAAGTAAAGAAAAAACTGGTGGATTCTTATCTGGTATTTTTAAACATACTAAACATTCAGGAAATGAGCTCTCTGAAAATAAATCAGAGTTAGTCAAAGAAGTACAGGGTAAATCTTTCGACGAAAATGAAAAGTTAAAAGAAGCATCATCTGATATCAAACAAGAATCTAAAAAATTAGTGGACACTGCGTCTGAGAATGAGAACAAAACACTTCTTTTAGGTCAACAAAAAACTGGTGACTTGGAAAAAGAGACTACTCAAATCAGTATACCAGCTAATGCAGCCCCGCAAGTAAATCTTGATAAAGTACATGATACGATTCAAGAAAAAATCGAGTCAATAAAAAAACCAACTGAAGAAGTTGAAACGATAATGAATTCTGCGGAAACCGCTGCCAAAAAAGGAAAGGAAAAAACGGGGGGATTCTTATCAGGATTTTTCAAAGGAAATACAAGTACAGAAGCATCTGGCGATGTAAAAGCAGTGGTATCGAAACAACCTACTGAAGAAATTGAAGAAATAAGACAATTATCGCACGATGTAGAAAAGGAAGCTGATTTTTTGATAGAGGATTCAGATAAAGTTTTGGATTCGGTTATAATGAGTTTCACTGAAACCACTACTACATCCAATAATACTAATAATCCATCAACAAGTATTGACAATTATGAGGAACTGAGTGAAAAATTATATTTTGAAGGTAAAGGCATTGTCAATTTATCTGCTGTCAAGGTAGAAAAAACAACTGTGATTGTATCCGAAGGTATAAAAAATGTTGAAAATGTAACATCAAAAGAGACTAAAACTGCTAAGCTAAAGGCTGAAAGCGATGTGAAAAATGCAATCGATCCTTCTGCAGATTCAATAAAGAAAAATAAAGATAAAGTCAGTGGGTTTTTATCTGGAATGTTCAAAAACTCGAAGAGTACATCAGATCAAGTTGCTGAAGACGTTCAACAATTTTTGGATACTACTAAGCGGGAGATTCAAGAAGAAAGAAAAATTATGATACAAACAATTGATGAGACAAAAGTCGATTCTCAAATCTCTAGCACCGATTTGAAAATGAAAACTGAGCCTCGCGAAGATCTCGAAACTAAGACCGAAAAGGAAATTTCCGAAAAGCAGAAAAAAAGTAAAGAAAAAGTTGGAGGATTTTTCTCAGGAATATTCAAAGGCACTAAGTCTTCTTCCGAAGACCCTACCAATCAAATGAAAGAGTTAATTGAAGAAAAAATACTGACAGAAACGAAAATTGAGAACGAATCAGATAATGCTACGCAAAATACTGATGTTATTTCCAATCTAAACAAAGACGAGTTAAATGAACATACAATTTCTATCACAACTGTACCTCAAATAATTTCTGTGACTGATAATGAACAAGAAACCGGTCACTTATCTGACAATGAAAAATCAAAAAAAGTGACAAAAGATGAGTCAGCTAAAAAAGGAAAGAACAAAAGTGGTTTCCTTACCGGCATATTAAAAAGTGCAAAAGATGCTGCCGATGATGTTGTAGAAGATGTAAAGGAATTTTTTGAAGAAACTAAATCTGAAGCAATAAATGAAGAAGCCGATAAAAGTGAAGGAAAGAAAAACTTGAATACTCCGAATCTTAGCGATTCTGCGTCAGAAAATTTGATTTCCAAGGATGATGCAGAAAAAACAAATGAAACGAAAAAGAAAAAAGAAAAAGTGGGATTGCTTGGTGGAATTTTGAAGAAAAGTGAGGAATCAAATAAAAGTACTCGACATGTTTCAAAAAATAAAAAAAATGATTCTAGAGATATGGATTCTACAGAAGATAAAGAAGACCAAGTAACAGAAATATCAGATTGTGAGGAAAAATCTATGAAAACAGCCGAAGAAAAACCTAGCTTTTTAGGCAATATATTCAAAAATTCCAAGAAGTCTACAAAAGAAGTTTTAGACCACGAAAAAGAGTCATCAGACAAAATGAATGAGGTCGTCTTAAAAGAAATAGAAATGGATCCAAAACAATTTGAAGAAATGAAAAAAGATTCTAAAACGATGTTACCTACTGTGACGATAAATTTATCGAGCACTAAGAGTTCAAATGTAGATCGACCCGCAAAAGAAAAAAATGATGCGGAAGTAATAACTCAAGATCCATCTGATAAAAGTACAAAGTTCACCGAAGAATCATCAATAAAATCGAAAAATAAGTCTGGTGGTTTTCTATCGGGTATTTTCAAAGGAGCTAAACACGCTACCGACGAAATAACGGATGAACTCAAAGAGTTTGTCGAAGAAACTAAAAAAGAAGCAATCGAAGAAGAAGAAAAGGTAAAGAAATCATCTGAAAAAGTAAAGAAAGATGTTAAGGACCACGCTGATGCTATCTCACAAGAAATAGACAAACTGACTGCTCAAGTCGTGGTAAAAACTGAGGCATCGGTAGATAGTGTTCAGCAAGTCATTGACGAAACATCAAACGAAAAAGAAAAATTGGAAAAAAAAGTTGATAGTGATGCAAAGACAGCAGTAGATCATGCAGATGTAGCAGTGAAAAAAAGTAAAGACAAGGTCGCTGGATTTTTATCAGGTATATTGAAAAGTTCGAAACATACATCAAATGAAGTTGTCGAAGAGGTTGAAGAGTTTTTGGAAAAAACCAAAAAAGAGGCAGATGAAGAAAAGCAAAACAAGCTTGAAGAAACCAGTAAAACTAAGAAAGAGTTGGAGAGAACAACTCTTCCGCATATTGCCAGTTCTGACAAAAAAATTTCCTCCATCACTGCAGACGTAAGCTCTAATGTTGAAAGTATTCCTCAAGAAATTCAAGACCTAAAAAATGATGACTTGACAGTTGCATCAGTTAAAAAAAGCAAAGATAAGACAGCTGGATTTTTTTCGGGGATATTCAAAGGTGGAAAGCACGCTGCGGATGAGTTAACGAGCGAAACCAAGGGATACACCAAAGAAATCGAAATTGAAGCATTGAACGAAGAGGAAAAAGCCAAAAGATTAGAAACAAAAGTGACAAAAAATACTGATGCTCTCGTTTCCGCTTCGAAGAATGTGGATAAAACTCTTTCTAATATATCAGATTCAACTGCTATAATCGAAGATGATACAAAAAAAGAGGAAATCGAAACTTCCAAAGAAATTAAAGACCCTAAACGTGAAGATTCGATAAAAAAAAGCAAAGATAAGACAGGCGGATTTCTTTCAGGTATTTTCAAAGGAGCTAAACGTGCTGCCGATGATTTAGCAGGTGAAATGCAGGAATTTGTCGAAGAGACGGAAAAGGAAGCATTAGATGAAGAAGAAAAAGCAAAAAGATCGGCAACAAATATAAAAAAAGAAGCCGGTGATCTTGTTGTTTCTGCTTCAAAACACGTGGATAAAGTTGCTACAGATATGTTAGAGACAACTACTGAAATAGTAGATGATGTCAAACAATTAGACATTGAAACGTCTGAAAAAATTGATAAATTAAAGAAAAAAACCTCAAGTGATTTAAAATCTGCTGGCGATTCAATTAATGCAACTGCTAAAAAAAGTAAAGATAAATCCAGTGGCTTTTTTTCTGGCATTTTGAAGGGTTCCAAACATGTATCGGATGAAGTTGTTGAAGATGTGCAAACATTTATCGAAAAAACAAAAAAAGAAACTGAAGAAGAAAAACAAAATATACTCAAAGAAACCCATGAGGCAGCTTGTGAATTAGAAAAGAATGTTACAAAAACAAGCGATAATGTAGCTGAGAAATCATCTTTTCTAATAAAAGATGTCAGTCGAGCTAAGGACACCATATCTAAAGAAATTGATGATACTGAAGACAAAATCAACAAACAAACCGAGAAAGTTACAGAATCAGTTAATGAGTCTACCAAGAAAGCCAAAGATAAAACAACCGGATTTTTTTCGGGAATATTTAAGGGCGTGAAGCATGCAGCTGATACAGTAGCTGATGAAGAAAAGGAATTAGTCGAGGAGATAGAAAAAAAAGGTTTAGAAGAAAAAGAAAAGGCAATAAATGTAACCGAAAAATATCAAAAAGAAGTCACTGATTTAACTATAGCATCGTCCAAAAGCCAAGAAAAAACTCTTGATTATCTTACTGATACAGCCATCGACGTAGCAGATAATATTGAAAAAGTATACAGCGAGACTTTAGCAGACACGCAAAAATTGCGTAAGAAAACTAAAAGCGAAAAGAAATTGGCTTCGGATTCATTTGATGGCATGTCTAAAAAAGGAAAAGACAAGGTTAGCGGATTTCTATCTGGCATTCTAAAAACTTCGAAAGACGCGCCACAGGTTATTAGCAGCGATGTTGAAGGAACGATGGCGAAGAAGATGATCGGAGAATCAAATAAAAATGAAAATCCATCGGAAATATCAAAAGTTGATGAAACTGATGAAGAAAACCCCGATCTTTCAAAACATGATAAATCAAGTGAAAAATCTTCACTGATTGAAATAAAAAATCAAAGTGGTAAAGAAATGGCTGACTCAATCGAAAGCACAAAAAATGCAAACGATGATTCGTTCGAAACCAGTAATAATGCTTCAGTTAGTGACTCATCGAAAAGGGGCAAAGATAAGACTGGAGGATTCCTTTCGGGTATTTTCAAAGGAGCTAAACGTGCTGCTGATGATTTAGCAGGTGAAATGCATGAATTTATCGAAGAGACGGAAAGGGAAGCATTAGATGAAGAAGAAAAAGCAAAAAGATCGGCAACAAATGTGAAAAAAGAAGCCGGTGATCTTGTTGTTTCTGCTTCAAAACACGTGGATAAAGCTGCTACAGATATGTTAGAGGCAACTACCGAAATAGTAGATGATGCCAAACAATTAGACATTGAAACGTCTGAAAAAATTGATAAATTAAAGAAAAAAACCTCAAGTGATTTAAAATCTGCTGGTGATTCAATTAATACAACTGCTAAAAAAAGTAAAGATAAATCCAGTGGCTTTTTTTCTGGCATTTTGAAGGGTTCCAAACATGTATCGGATGAAGTTGTTGAAGACGTGCAAACATTCATCGAAAAAACAAAAAAAGAAACTGAAGAAGAAAAACAAAATATACTCAAAGAAACCCATGAGGCAGCTTGTGAATTAGAAAAGAATGTTACAAAAACAAGCGATAATGTAGCTGAGAAAACATCTTCACTAATAAAAGATGTCAGTCGAGCTAAGGACACCATATCTAAAGAAATTGATGATACCGAAGACAAAATCAACAAACAAACCGAGAAAGTTACAGAATCAGTTAATGAGTCTACCAAGAAAGCCAAAGATAAAACAACCGGATTTTTTTCGGGAATTTTCAAGAGTTCAAAACATTCAACCGATGAGGTGGCTGATGAGGCTAAGGAATTATTAAAGGAAACTGATAAAGAGGCTCATGAAATCGAATCAAAAATTGAAAAAAGCCTGGGGGAGATTGAGAATCCGTTCTTAACTGTAGAAAATGTTAATACCTCAGAAATAATACCCGATGATGGAGATTTGAAGCTTAAGTTTTGCGATACGGAAAAACCTAAGAACGAAATTTTCACTGACGCCAAATACACACAAAGTGAAGGCCAAAAGGTTTCTCAAGCATCTGTCGATTCAGTTAAGACATTAACAAAAAATGAAAAACCAAAAGCTGGTCGATTTTTCTCTGGTATGTTTAAAAGTAATGCAAATGAAGAAATTGAAAAATCAAAAGAAGTAACATTGGAAACACAAGACAAATCAGAACAACTGACAGATTCTGCAGTTACTTCATCACACCTTGACCAAACTCTGGAAGATTTAGAGCAAAAAGTTAATCCCGATGAAAACATAAAAGCAGATGTTTCAATAATGACCACAAGTTCTACTGACATGATGCCCAAAAAACGAAAGGAAAAGACAGTTGGTTTCTTATCTGGGCTTTTCAAAGGGGCTAAACATGCCGTAGACGAGGTTGCCGATGAAATGAAAGAGTTCGTCGAGGAAACGAAACTTAATGAATTAGAAGAGGAAAAAAAAATGAAAAAAGATGTAGCAAAATCTATTGATGCTACTTCAGAACTAGTTCATTCAGTTTCTAAAAATGCTGAAGAAACGTCCTCACTTGTTATAGAGAAAATGGATTCAGCAGAGGGTAACATACGCAAAATGACTGAGGAAATATCAACCAACGCTAATGATTTGAATAATAAATTAGAGTCAGATGTTAAAACTGTTACTCATTCCGCTAATTCATCAATAAATAAAAGTAAAGATAAAGCTAGTGGACTTTTATCTGGTATTTTTAAAGGCTCTAAACGAGCATCAGAAGAATCTTCTGATAATTCGAAAGTAAATATTTCAGGAGAAAAAAATAAGTCACAAAAAGAAATCGATTCAGTGGTAGAAAATGTTGGGCAAAGTTCAGTTCCTCGTACGACTGAAGTAAAAACAATATTATCTGAGAGCGTTAGTGATACCTTATCCTCACCAGAAGTATCAGAACCTTCAAGCAGAAAAAGTTCAAGTAAAACTGGAGGCTTTTTATCGAGCATTTTAAAAGGACCAAAACAAGAAAAATCATCAACCCAACAAATCGATGAAAAAGAAAAAACTACAACTAGTCAAAATGTACAATCTTTATCCAAAATCGACGAAGATACTTTGATACACACGAAAAAAGAAGTTTCAGAAGAATCTAAGCAAGTTGATTCGTCAACGATTTTTAAAAAAAGTATTGTTGAAGTTACAACTATTATCACAGAATCAGAAACTGTTTTAGAAAAAAATGTTTATGAAAAAAGCAGCGAAATAAGTTCTGTAATACCACAATTAAAACATTCATCCGAAAGTGAGTCGAGTAGAGTGATAAGTTCATCAAAAACTGAATCTTCTGAAATAATCCGGAAATCTCCAGCAGATGAAGAGAAAACCACAATCGATGAATCCAAAATTGATGCCCCGAACGCATATAAGACTGATAGATTTAATGCAGATGATGTCAAAGCAGTTACTTCAGATTTTCTTCAAGATTCTCGCGATTTCGCATTGAAAATAGATGATAAAATGCCAGAAAGCTCACTAGAACCAGTAGATTCGTCAAGCTCTGAGCCAAGTTCAGCCAGGAATTCTTTGGAAAGAGACACAACGTCAAAAGACAAAAGTAAAAAGAATAAAAAATCAAAAAAACCCGGAGTAATATCCAATTTAATCAAAAAGACAAAAGGCGCTACTCACAAAATAGCGAAAGAAGTTGATCATGCCACAGATAGTATTAAAGACGCCACCGGCAAATTCTGGGAAGATACAAAGAGAGAATCTAAAGACTCTAAGCCATTTGGTAGCTACGATGTTAACCCAAGTACCGAAAATCGAGAGAAAGTTAGAGATGAAGTCGCATTAGAATCAGACATTATGTTGGGATCGTCGAGTCCTATAGACAATACAAAACCCGTTACGAGTATTAATATAGAAGAATCACGCCTTCCACATGAAGTAGTATCGTACCAGGAAAAAGATAATTCCAGCGTGCAAATAACGCAAAAATCAGTGACGGTAATCGCTAGTGAAGTTTCGAGCAACTTAATGCATTCTGACCCAGTCTCTCATCAGACCGTCACCACAGTCATTACAAAGTCTGTGTGTACGGGCACGACACCACCACCCGATCCAGCCGATTTCAGTAACAATAAAAGTAAAGGTATATTCAAATAATTGTATTCTACATGCGTATATTTATTTATACATGAATAAGCGTAAAACTCATAAATATTAAATTCCAGCTGTATGTAACACAATTAATTAATTTAATGCTTTTTTTAACCTTAGTTTTTTCACATTTTGTTAATATCGATTATGATTAGCTCCATCGAAATGATACTTTTATAACTGATAATTTCTAGTAGGTTGATAATTATTGAATTTACAGTAAAAAAATTTAAGTGCTTGAATGAATAATTTGTCGACCGAGCTAATAATCAACTATGTCATATATTCACATAATAGATCGTTCAACGTGTAAGAAACCATTCATTTTTATACAAATAAGCCATTTATAACATCGTACCCAATAACTTTTTTAATCTTGATCACCATCCTTTATTTAGGATTAACAAATCAGAGACGTACAATTTGTCTAAGAAAAAAGACTTTTGGATAAAAAAATGCCCAGATGAAAATTAATTAACTATTAAATTATTTAAATTCGTACAATCCATGAAGTGTCTTTTCAACTTGATTTCTACATGTGCCATAAGAATCAACACATTTCTTTGTGACCATATTGTGTCTGAATTTGATTTTGATAGTTTTTTTACCTCAGTTTGATGCATGATTCCAGGATTTTTGCGCTGCTTCGCATTTCTGGACGACTTTTGGATACACAGAGAAATGAAAAGACATGCCTTAATCGCAATTTTTATTTGTCACCCTTCATCTCTTATTTATTTAAACCTTAATTTTGTATCATTACTGTTGTCATTTTGATCTTTTACTATAATTATTATTAATGTTTATTATTATTTAGCCAATCATGAGAATTCACTGTCTAATAAAAATGATTGATTATTAAGTAAGTGATCTATCGCATTGAATTAACAGGAACTCCTCAGTCTTTATAGTGAAGCATGTTCCGAGGTAAAACATGCAGGGAAAATACATCATTCATCCTAATCTTTGTTATATCACTGCTTTGAATGTTTCTTTGAACAAAAATTGAATCAATCTAATGCGACCCTTTTTGTGCATTTGCAGATATAACCGAGGAGGCAACTAAACGAGCCCAAATTCTTGCTGATATGAAACAAGCAGGTATGTCGAAATTTCTCATTTTCTCATCTCATCATTCATCATGATGAAAACACTTACACATCTTATTAAAATCGAAGGATCAATAATTTTATAATAATCATAGGGTTAATGATGTACACAATGGTATATAAACGGTGCCCTCAATTATATTTAGCTTTATCTTATATAGTTAGCACATGCTGATGCTTTCTACACAGACTTTTGTGGTTTAAACATTTTTTTATAAACTGAGAGGTACTTTTCTCATTCATGGTTTGAGAATTTTCTCCATTATCAAAAAGTTTATTCAACCTTTTCTGCATTTTCTCCTCACTATCACTGCACGAAAAATCGTTCATTCTGTCAATTCAAGGCTCAATTAAGTATCTTTCAAAGATTCTTTCTAGCAGAATATTAGAATGTTTTTGCATAGGTGTTATTCAATTCCTCATTTTTAACGCAATAATACCACATACTAACCGAAAAATTAATTTTAACTGTGTTTACGGTTTGTATTGACTTGATATTATTGTTGTAATCATTATTATTGTTGTTATTATTATTATTATTATTATTAACACACCGTGCAATAAATCAAGTTAGATCGGAAGTTTTTGCAAAAAATACCTTTGGTTGAATTTTGAGTCCCATTGCTACAGTTGGGCTAGAAATAAGAATTACTAAGTTTGTATCAATGTGCTTTAATTTCCTTGCTCCTGTTCTCATGCGTGATACCTTGGATGGGTTAGTCTTTATCACTGACAAAGAGAACCACGAAATTTGCGTATCCACAAAACAACACGAGACAAGATCGAAAAAATCATCGTTCGACAACGAAAACGCTATCGACACGAAAGATTTAAAGGATTTGCAAAATACCGCCGATTCCTTGGAAAATCAAGATTCTTCCCGCAGTGTTTTTACAAAAAAAAATTTATCCGAAAAATGCAACAAATATGCCAAGGATATGGTCAACACAGAAAATTTAGTACTGAAATTCGACGAGCCCGAGAAGCAAAAAGTCATGAATGAGAACTATTATCCTGAACATAACGATACGGTTGCCGAAGTTTCATCATTTTTGAAGAACACAATGACGGTGAACATAGACACTGCCCTAAAAAATCTCGAGTTCAATGAAATGAATGACGCGACGACCAGTCAACCCGACGATAAAGCCGAGTTCTGGCGAGGAATCATGGGTGGCAGCAGCTCGGGCGAAGCGAGCGTGCCCAGCGAGCATTGGGATACGCAATTTAGCATTGACATATCGCCTGTATCGGGTAACGACGACTCGCTCATCAAGACGACTTCGAGGCAAGGTACAATTAGCGATACCGACAGCGACGGTTCACCAAATCGCCGGCGTAGATCGCCCAACAGACGAGGTCGAACTTTGGGCAGCTCGAGCGGCTCGGACGTGGCGCTTCACGAAGGCGCTGAACTGTCTCCTATGGAGGATGACCAAGGTATCCCTCTAACTAACAGCTTATTTTAATGAGTAATATTTTGAACATAACTCGCTGAATCTTATTTTGATAGTAAATTTAAAAATATTTTTTCTGTGAATATCGATGTCTGTAATACGATTGTGTTTCGATGTTTAAATGACCTACGCTGTTTTAATTACACCTTCATTATAATAATATTATATGTATGCGTTCATAAAAGTGAAAACCAAGGGCTTTGAATGGTGTATTCAAATTTTAATTCAATGCTGATTTTCAATGTGTTTTATGCGCTTATGCTTGATAATTGTTTTGCACGATATTTTTATGATAAATCTATATTTATATATTATATGTGGTAAGAGGCGTGTCTGTTACTCGTAAAACCTTTTTGTTTCCTTACTTTTCAATGAGTGATCTGTCAAGTGTATTATAATCATTCAAAAATTTATTGGTGCTGGTTGTAACATTGGTTGTAACTCAGAAAAATAAAGCTTGTGCCAGTGGATATTTACAATTTATCAAATCTAATTATCTCACAATGGTTCGAAAGAATGTGGTGTTTACTCGGAATGATGGTGAAAAATTAATTCAATGCGTTGGGGCACATGATTCATGCGATAAAAAAAAACCTGCTAAATCGCCGTCATCTTTGTATGATGTGTAATACCCGAAGTGACAATGAGAGCATCAATGATTCCTCGCAGCTAATAAAATGGTAGCTCTCTTCTTTAGTACAAGTAAGGCTTTCATATGGTGTGCGGTCTTCAATTAAGAATTTCCAGCTACTTTTAGATTGACCACTTTATTTAATAATTGGTCAATTTGAAAGAGAAGAATAATCGAGATTTAAATTCGATTAAAATATTCAAGTGACAGCAATGGAAGAAACTACCGATTGTTGTGTCGATAGCAAACAATCGACTGAGAATGGTGATGTGAAAATGGATGCAAAAACAAATAGTAAAAGGTCCAAATCTGCCGTTTTTGTGACGTGTGCGGCGATCACGATCTTGGTTGCATTACTCGCTGTAATGTTTGCACTGGAGCCTGATGATTTTAAGAGTGTTGCCAGCTCTCTTTCTAGTCACTCGATTCGAGAGACTGGGTACGTTTAAAACCTTTTTCTTAAAAAAAAATAAATAAATAAATAAATGAAAAAATTATCGTTGTATTAAGTATCCGATAGATTCATACATTGCGAGGTAAGATTCACGACGCAAGCTCTCTTTTTCTGATCTGACAAAATTTAATCACGGCGAATCGTATGCATGCTAACTAGAACATATTTTATGTATGCTCATGAGTACTTTTTTTATTTATCATTGTAATTTTGTTTTGTAGTATTTGTAGTTGCATAATTTATTCAGTCAATTAATCAATAACCCCAAATAGGGCATGGCATATTAGAAGATCATATTAGAAGTAAATACGTAGCCATTCTTAATCCAATCTTATTTAATCTTACTTTTTCATGCTTCCTACCTAAAATCTTTACGTAACACTTGATTATCAATAAATAGGCCTTCACATAATACATTTCAAATTAAGTTTCAAGATAAAGCTAAAGTGTAGAGAGGGCGAATAACTTAACGATTTGTATTTTAAATAATTTATTTATATAGGTAGGTTTACTTGCAGGAGTTGAGAAGTAAAGTAGTACTTCTAAAGTTAAATAAAGTCAAATAAATTTGAACAAAGTATTACCTCTAAAGTAGGAGGGTTATAATACTACATTTTTTCGAAAGAGGTCTGTATTAGAAAATTTTTTCAAGAAATATTATCGACCGCTTAATCACAAGCTCGCTAAGTTTAGCACTGATGTAATTTAAATTATTTTTTGTTATTATATGTGTTATATGTTATGCAGTCAAAAGGCCTGAAAATGTATATAGTTGATGAAAATATATGCTTGCATCAAGAGTAACGAGTGTATTTTTGGTGCCTGAGTAATTAATTTTTTTTTATCATGTTTGAACTTATTGCAATGGACGGATAGACTAAAAGTCAATATAAAATTATAGAAAACAGATTGAGAGCTTATAATTGTATAATAACTCTGATATTTGAAAATAAAAGATCGGTACTTAAAATTTAAGCGATCCTTCGAGCAAAGCACGATTCTCCGAAAAATGGGAGATTTGACTATGATATTACGATTCATTATCATACATATTCATTTCATAATCATCTGAATCATTTATTTATAAGATGTATTTATATTTAAATTTATAGAATATTTTTTATCGAATTACGAATTATAAATTTAAAATAATAACTAAATCACTTATCCATAATATAGAAGGACTGTTTTGATACTCGCAGTTTACATTTATTTTTGTATTTTTTCTCGTACTTCAATAATTACAATCAAATGATAGCTTATTTCAATTTTATTAGTATTTAATCAACACTACACAGCGCGTTTTAAAAACTTTTTTTATTTGCGTCTAGTCCAGTAAATTTTATTGTACATTAATGAGCATGATAATTTATTCAACTGTAACGTAATGATAAATGTCGCCCTTATTATACAAAAACACATTTGCTCATAGTCGGAATTTTAAATCAATTTTCTGCAAAGTATAATTCGGTATTGAGAAAACAATAATTAACAAAGTTTATAAAAACGATGAATTTCTTTTTTATGACAGAAAATGACTTTTTGCAACAAGGTGACCCAACCTACATAGAGACAACCACAACTGAGATAAATCCTGACACGAGCGAAAGGTAAAAAAGATTCATCATTTATTGTTAGTTAGAGATTTTAATTTTTGCTATACATTTTGAAATTTTTCAGGATCACTAAAGTAACGCAAACAATAACAACTTCAGTTGCTGAAGATGGTAGTAGCAGCGGCGGTGATGGGCTCCAAAAAATCGTCGATCAATTCATGTCAGAGGAACGAAAGGGCAATCAATGAAGGAATGATCATTAACAAAAAAATTTTTGAACAACGATCAGATAAAAATCAATTGACTTTTTTCTAATATGCACCTTGGTATATATGAATAAAAGCAATTGCAAAAGTGATCGAGAGAAAACTTACGAAGCTTCTCGTTAAGATAGTGTAAAATAAAAACCCATATACTTCCGCTTCAATGATTGTACGCGCAATCACTTCATAAATTATACATAAAGACAAGTAATTATTCACATTTTTGGCCTAGAGTGTCGTTTGTATACGTACTTTCATAACAGAAAAATAAGAAAAGATATATATCATATCTGACAAAAAAATTAAGGAAAAAGCTTTTGAAAATCTCGTTGCCTCCCTCTTTTTCCATTCAATGATCGAAACCTTTTTCTTACAAATTATAATGACAAATCTTTTCTTACTAAAAGTCGTGTATACATTATATATCGGTAATAGTGTTTAGTTTGTTGACGAATGTTTGAAAAAAAATATATCAGCGCCGCGCGCCCGTCCATGGCAAAGTTGAAATTTGTTGGTCACATATAGAAAGAAAACTATGAAAACAATGGCAATATATTACAAACGGAAAATACTTGAAAAATATCGCTATGGGCAAATAAAGATACAATAAATTGTAGTACCTAGTGGAAGACGATAAAAAAATCAAATTCAAGCATATATTATATAGTATGAAACAAAAAATATTTTAAAACATGCATATAATATATTAGTAGATGTGTCATCAGCTGAAAAAGTAAAAAAAAATTGAGCACATAAAACTACTAATATAACTATTATTACACATTCTAAGAAACGATCGTTGTTAATTTGTATTTATAAACATTTTTGAGATTCTATATACATTTGAGCTTCGGCTTTCGATGGACGATTATAATTATAAATATATGAGAAATGTAAAATGGAGATATTAAATATGAAAATATAAAAAATATATATTATTATATGCTTTCCTGCGCTCTACATTATATTCTATTAATTATTGTGAGAAAAAAGATATACGTTTATAAACGATTATAATATTGTATTACTAAGAGAATATTGTATATGCTGATGAAAATTTGCCATTCCAAAAAAAACCAAGTTGATGTTTCTTAATTTAACTACGATTTTGGAGGAAATGGCGAAAAGCATCGTGTGTTTTTAAAGAGAATAAGCGATCAATATAGTGACGAAATATTATATTGTATTAGAATTATGTATATTTGAAGCAAATTTTATTTGAGAATTTATAATATAAATATATTATACATGTATAACAATCTTTTTAATTTGTGTATATTTATATAATTATTAATTTGTAGACATACGGATTATATTTGAAACATGAAATGTACGATTACTATACACGATATAAATATATAAATAAATATGGTAATGAATTTTTAATTTATTTATTAATAATTTGAGTAATTGAGATAGTCTTTTTATAACCCAATGCTTGATTGTATTTGCTTTGCAGAATGAGCTGAACTAAAATCGGCTAATTTATGCTATTTTGAAAAATTATCCAACTGTGCATTAGTGAATATGAGGATTAAAAAAACATACAATTTTAATAAAACGACAAGTTATTTAATAGAGAAAAAATGTATAAGAATTATATAAAATAAAAATCATGTACGTCTAGTTACTTTGTTATCTAGTATTGCTTAATGAAAGTATAGTCATTATAATTTCAACATCTATTGGTAGAACAAGTGTTGTGATTAAAATTCTTGAATTTCCACGCCATTCCTTTTTATTTTAATAATTTTTTTATCTGTTTTACAAACTAAAATCAAACAGTTTTTGTCCAGTACATTTATTCAAATTCATTTTCATATTACTCCAAGAGTAAACCATGGAGTTGGTAAATTGGTTACTAATGGTTCGAGTAAAACATAGTTCAACTTTTTTATCAGATGTAGTATTTGCGCTATGCTTCATTTATAATGAAACAATCATTAGATCTGAAAAATGAACAAATTTAATTAAATTTTGGTCTTACAACAACATTTTAAATTATAGTGGAGCAGCATAATTAATACTCACATTATCAACGTCATCTTCATCATCATCACTGATTTCATCACCAAATTCAATATCTTCATCAAGACCATCTTCAACAAAGGTAACAGTGTCATTGATTCTGACTGTTTCTGGGAATTCACCATATGTTTTCAGATTTCTTGCCTCATCAGCAGTGTATTTGAGAATAACATCAGCTTTGGCATCTTGATAATCTCTGAGACCAATCAATATAATATCACCCTGATTAATCCAAACTTTCTTCCTGAGCTTTCCTCTGATGTGACATAATCGTTTTACTCCATCAAAACACATGGCTTCAAGGCGACCATTGCCAAGCATTTTTGTGACCTGAGCATATTCTGAAATAAGCAAATGTAATGATTGATTATATTAATCAAGTAGAAAAATACTTTAAAATCATAATATTTATTAAGAAAAAGTTGGATATAAAAAATTCAAGGAAAAAAGATTATTTTGTACTGAAGAAAAGAAGTGGCAATTTTTTGACAAATAGGCTTAATGAAAATCCTATTGATAAAGGGTTACTCAGAATCAAGTATGTAAAATTTAAAAAACTTTGTATAGTTAAAAGCCAGTAAATAACAAACACATGATAAATTCTATTATTAATGTGCTAGTTTCAAAAACCTGATTTCAATATAAAATGATTAAATTACTTGAGTAAAATTTATACATTATTTACCTTGTCCATCCTCTTTGAAAACCAATTCTCTTTTCTCGGTTTCATTTTCGTTCTTTCCTCTCCTCCTGTTTTTACCTCCCTTTCCTAAAACAATGCAATGAAGAATTTAATAACCAAGAAAAATATGTTGTGAATTAGTAATTAGTAATAGAATAAATGTTAGTATTCTGTAATTGCTTGTTGTGTACATCGTGCATTTCACGTATCAATAGGTTATGTCTTAAAGTGACTAAGAAAGTGTAATGTTATCATACACTTAGGATGGTTTGCATTTTTCCATAAATCTAATGTATAATTATATATTTAATATGTTAGAAGCTTGACTTATAAATATTTTATAAAACTTACCCTTATTTTTAGGCATGGTGTTTTTGAAGGCTGAAGTTACTTAGATAAAAGGGTACTTGTCGTGTATCACTTTCACGTAGCGAGAAACTCAGTTGGAAGTTGGAACGAACGTGTTTGCTGCTGCTGGCTGGCTGCAGTTTCAAGATAAACTGCGCAGTAGTTGGCGCCACCATCGGCCGTCCATAATAACATTAGATTGGTTCTTGCGAGTGACTTTATTGAGTATGTACAGTATGTCTGCCTGCATCATATGTACATAAACCAGCTACGTGAGTCAGATTGACGCTTACTGATCGATGTACGGTACCGCGGTCTTTTCGAATATGTGTATTGAATTTTTTCCAAATTACATTTAAAACGCCATTACTTTCATCGAATAATTTCATTTTTTTTATTATGCCACTTGGAAGTTTTGAACTTTTCAAGTATACCGTTCAAAAGCTCGTTTGCTCACTTACAAATAGAACCTATATAATTTTACGATATTGTGATCCAAATAAGAGAAGGAGCCTCGCTTGTCAAGCTTGGTATTTTGCTCTGAAGAAATGTGTTTGTCGTGACCGCTCGTGCATAAACGTCAGGTGTGCAGGTATATCTATACGCAAACATGAACGTTGCACAAAGCAGACGACTGCTCAACTATTACATGTAACAAAATAATAAAAAAAAAAGGAAACCGCTGTGTCTAGTGCAGCTGTGGTGTTTTTGCACTCAACAACTAGAGAAATGGACTCTTCTGGACGAAATAAGAAAATAATTGAATAATGCAACATTCGCATTGAGGGATAAATTCGTCGTACTGATTATACATTTCTAATAGTTATACAATTTCAAGGATGGATCGTTATCGTTATAGGATTTATTGTACAACTTCCACATTACTAAGTACCTAAGTTATTGTCTGTCAAAAAAGTGTTTTTTTATATGTGTGCGTCAATTTTCCAATTTTGTGACTACTGAATAAAAGTTATGATCATTACTAAAAGTTGTGCTAAATCTGTATTTGTCAATTAACCAAGTAGGTCATTATGAGTCACTTGAAGTTGAAAATTGTTTATGTTTATTTTTTTATGCTGTGACTTTTTCAGACATGGAAGACATAGAAGAAAATATCAAGTGCGAAGGATTTCTGTTTGTAAATAATTTTGACTCTGCCAATCTTGCTAAGGTTGAAAATGTTGAAATTAAGGATAAAAAAATTTCTGACAAATCTGATAAATCTGAAAATGGTGGGTGCAATTTTTTTTTTTTTTTAAATTAACTAAGTTAATTTCTATTTCTCTTTCAGATAAAAGTGACATTTCTAAAACAGAAATTAAAAATGAAAACAATAAAAATGAAAATAATAAAGCATTGAAGAATTCTCTAGCGCAAGAACCTCCCAGTTATGAATTTAATCTTTGGACAAAACAAGACTGCCAAGGAACTGAATACCAAAATAATAATAAAACATGGTTTTACTTTGGTATCAGGGCTGCTGAACCAGGTGTTGTTGTTAAACTGAATTTAGTCAATTTAAATAAACAAGTTAAAATGTTTAGTCAAGGAATGTCACCGGTATATAAAGTTGTACCAGGACATCCACAATGGGATCGAATAAGAGATAAACCTTTGTTTATTGTAATATATGATTGTAATTATCACAATTAAAATTTATCTTATTCAATTAAAAAATTTTTTTCAGGCGGATGATAAGAACAATCAATTTATATTATCATTTAACTTCCGTACACCTGAAAATCGAAATGCTGTTACTTATTTTGCATTCACGTATCCATTCTCTTACACCGATCTTCAGACCTATCTTAAAAAAATAGATACAAAAATGACTAAACAAAGTACAAAATTTCCAGACGATATTTATTATCATAGAGAATGTGCAATAAAATCTTTGGAAGGAAGGAGACTGGATGTTTTGACAATAAGTTCATTCTATAATATACTTCAAGATAGAGAGGCCAAAATAAAAGACTTATTTCCAGAGGTTCATGAAAAACGACCATTTAAGTTCAGAGATAAAAAGGTAATTTCATATTCTTATATAAAAGATTTAAATTATTATTGAAGGCATTATGACAAATTTTTTTTAGATTATTTTCATGAGTGCAAGAGTACATCCAGGAGAAACACCATCTAGTTTTGTTTTAAATGGTTTTATACAATTTTTGCTAAACCGTGATGATCAAATTGCTATCACACTGCGTAGACTCTACGTTTTCAAATTCATTCCAATGTTAAACCCTGATGGAGTGGCACAAGGATATTATCGCATGGACACAAGAGGAATTAATTTAAATCGTTTATATCTTAATCCCTCTAAAACTGATCATCCAACAATATATGCTGCAAGAGCATTGCTCAGGTTAATATTTAAAATCATAAGCCTTCAAACAATTTCTCTAACTTTAACTTTTTTTATAGATATTATCATAATTCTTATAAATTATTAGATGACCAAGTTTTTGAAACAAAAAAAAGTATTAGTACTAATACAGTTAGTATTCCTAACATAACAATTAACTCTTCAGTATCTAGGGAAACAAATAAATTATTACGGAAGGTAAAAAAATTGATTCAAATTGTTCATTGATAAAATGTAGCTTTATATTCTAAAGTATTTTTCAACAGGTTACTCAAATGTCGGTTGATGAAAAGAATAAATTCATTGAGAAAGGTGGTCAAGTGCGCAACGCTCTAACCCAAGCTTCAGAAAAATCTAGTGAGTTTTTCATAATTGTATATTTTCTGAATATCAATTTTAAAATCTTCATAAAAATCGTAAATTTTTCAGCAGTTAATCAGAATAGTTTAGAAAATGTGTCTGGAACTGAAACAGAGAGTAACAAATCAACTCCACGAAGTGAATCGGTTCAGTCAGGATTATTTTTGTACATCGATTTTCACGGCCACGCATCGAAGAAAGGAATTTTCATATACGGAAATCATTTTGATGATCCAGAAGATGCCGCTGAATGCATGCTATTTCCGAAATTGATGTCAATCAACAATTCAAACTTTCACTTTACTTCATGTAATTTTGCCGAAAAAAATATGTACTGTGTGTAAGTATCGATTTGCAATATCGTTTCTCTTTAAATTTTATCAAAATACTTACGTAAAACAACTTGAAATTATTTTTCGAAAGTAATTTTCAATATCATTTATTAATTTTAAAAAACAATAGTTGATTTATCTAAAGGTTTTTTATTATTTCAGAGATAAACGAGATGGAATGTCCAGAGAAGGCTCTGGACGTGTAGCCGTGTATAAATTAACTGGCTTAGTTCATAGCTATACTTTAGAGTGCAATTATAATACTGGACGTTTAGTCAACACAGTTCCTGCCAGAATCAAAGAAACTTCCAACAAGTTGCAAGGGCAAGTATTTGTCCCTCCGAAGTATAGTCCTGTGATTTATGAGGAGGTAAGCATAGATTGCTACTTTTATTGACATCATTCTTACAAGGTATGCTTTTGTTGAAGGTTGGAGCAGCGCTTGGTCCCTCTATTCTGGATTTGAATGGAAGTAATCCAAATAGTCGATTACCGAACAGTCAATATCGTTCTTTGAAAGCTTTAAAAACCTATTTGAAGTTGATATCCACGAATCATTATCAAACCCAGGGTAAACCTTTAAATAAGGTAAATCTTTCTAATAATGAAAACGATATTTTAGTAGCTAACGACGACGTTGATACGGAAATACAACAGTGCCGTCTTTGCTGACATTGAACGTTTGCTTTTAACAAGTGACTAAGCCATTTATTGCGCCTTAAACAGTAATAACTAAAATGTATTATATTTTAAAATTGTTGGTCTTCCATGGACTTGATTATGCATTTAATTGTATATAGTATTGAAAAATTTCAAACGGGCTTTCAGCACTTGTTCAAAAACAAATTAATCGAGCTTAAAGAATTTTTTCATTCCATATTAAGCACTTAACTTATATCTGTACTTTAGTTTATTATATGATTATATAATTTAAATTTAGAATAGACTGAGACAAGAGTTTTATAAATCATATATTGCAATCATTCTTGTCGTGATCTTTTCTTTGACTTTCAAGAACATTTTAGATTTATACAATGTACACGTATGAATTCGTAAGGACAAAAAGTATCTTTATTATTTTACATTGCGTTTAAAATGTAATTAAATTACGAAATGATTTGATGAAATATGACAAAATGGTATATTTTAAGATACTTTTTAAATCAATAGCTTATCACTTATGTTGTGTGAGCACGAGCAATTTTTCGTTGAATTTTCTGTGCCTCGTTTTTGCATGTTAATGTGTAAAAGTGTTATAAATTAGAAGAACAGACATTTATTTTACAATATTATTTTTTATTTATAGATAGCCAGAAATAGCGTAGCATAACAGTCCAAAAACAGGCATAATAGTGCTTACGTTGGATTAACTCTTTAATCATGTTGATAAAAAATTTATATAAATACTCGACACTGCTTCTGCTCGAAGTGAAATTAATTAATTTTAAATACCTTAATCGACTGAAATAATTCAAAGCGTGATTAGCGAATCAACACAATATTATAATTATTCCTCGCGAATTATGGTTGTATATTTTAATGTTTTTCATAATCACATGCGCATATGTGTATAAAAATGTATATTATGTCAGAATTTGTATATTTTTGGTCGAATTATATATAAAACATGTTTACTTTAGATCTATATTTATGAAAAAAATCATATACATATATGTATGTATGACTATGCGCAAGTTGATTACGTAATAATTTATAGTGTTTTTGTTGATAAAGCGTTAAAAAAATATATATCAATTTTATATACACTATTATAAAATTTAAATTATTTCTAATCACTCAACAATCCTCGTCACTTTTAGCATTAAAGCAAAAGCACTAAAACGCAATCATTAAAAAAAATTGTATTCCACATTTCCGATCCCATCATCATATTTATTTTCAGAACGGTAGTTTCCAAAATGGAACTTTTCAAGAATTCGAATTTACCGATATCGCGGCACTCGAAAAATCATTGTCGTCTCCTGCCTCTACTAACAAATCCGAGCGCAAGGCATCGAGACAGCAAAACTCGAAGGCGGGGAGAAAAAAAACGAAAAAATCACGACAACTCGCGAAGAGCTCGGTGACCAACGGTAATCCAGATAAAAGCTCAAAAAATAAAGTCATCGTTTCCAAGATCATTTCGACACACGTTAAATTGAGAAATAAGCCCATTTACGTGCGGAAGCAAACGTCTAATTCGGCCGAAGTCGCGGGAAAGAAAGAGAAAAAAGTTAAAAGCGTCGCGAAGAAAATAGTTGTGCATCAGTTGAACAAGTTCAAAGCTCATTCTAATTCGTCGAGGGTACCGAAGAAGAACAATCATCAGAACCGAAAATCAGCGGCTTCGTCTTTAGAAGGGAGCAAAACTAAATTAGCAATAGGCAATAGTTCGCAAAGTGGAAAAGGCAAAAATTCGGCTAAGTCTCAAGAAACGCGTAAAAAAAAATTTAAGTCTTCGAAACGTTAAAGCAGATACACGCGATGAAGAAGAAGGTTTGACCATTCTATATCATACAATGTAATGTAGAATTTCTAAAATGTTGAGATAATTATTTGAGATATTTAAAATTAAAGTTGTAGCTTCAACTTTTTTACTACCGCCGACTGATATTAAATTTTGCTGCATAAACCACATACTTGTAATGAAAAAAAACTTTTATATTTTGCCTTTTCTCTATGCAAACAATAAATAAAATGTATGGAATATGAGGCAGCATAGATTTTTTTATGCATAAAAGCAAAAAGCAATAATGATATTTTGAGTGCAATTTAGGAAGTTGAAGAATTTCCAATACTGCGGCAGAAATTCTAAAAGCCCATCGCATGCAGGCTGGAGCTTTATCGAATGAAGCATCGTGGCGCGTTTAGTTTGCGTTTGATGCAATTTACCGTGCACATGCTCAGCTTTTTTAGCTGCCATATAAGTTTGTAAATTCCGAAACAAGTGCGCTTCGATCTCGATTTCTTGCATCGTGTGTGTCTGCATGAGAGTTGACAAGTACTTTCGTCCTTGGAAAACATTTTTCCGGGTAAAATTGACCGTGAAAGTTTTAATATTCGATGCATCGCTGGAGCACTCGAAGCCACTCGCTCGCTCGTTTTGACGATAATTTCAAGGGGCCAATCGATCGGCTTTTTTGTATCGAGGGAAGCGTCCTTCGAGTTGAGCGATTCATTTTCTTGAAGCATCTTCCTCTCGTAAGCTCGTGCAGGCCTCTTATTGGCCTCTTGCATCGTGCACAGCACAAGAAGCTTTCAACGACGATCGAGCCGCGCGCAAGTCTAAAAGGCTGCATCGCCTCGAGTCGCCTTTTGGCAGCGCGAAGGTACAACACGAGAGTTTCGCTCGTAAAGGTCGCTCTAAGGGATGCCCCTCATACATACGCACACGCTCGCATGTGCCGCCGATAGGCCTACAGCTGCACAAGAAAGTACATTAATTTTCATTAGAGCGAAACACGCAACATCGGCGGCGTGGCGTTGTCTGGGCGGCTCTGCCCCAGCCCGTGTCCGTTTCGATCCCCCACCGCTCGCGAGGCACCTTTATACATGTAATGTCTGCCTGTAGGTATAGATCGGATGGTGGAGTCGTGGACTCTGCGTTCTCCAGTGCGAGCCGTGAGTCGTGCCTCCTTCTCCTGTGCAGTATTATTCGCTAGCTCGGGCACTCCGCTACATTGACGGTTTCGCGTTTTTATAACCTGAAAGTGAGTCTAGCTCGGCGATTAAATCGTTTGCCTTGATTTTCACTCGCCGTCTGGCTTGTATACAAAATGAGAAGCACCGTGCGACTCGTGTTCTGCGCTTTTCTAGCCTTAAGCTTGAGATCAGGTGAGTACCCTCTGAACAAAGCATCGCCTTAGAGTCGTTGACAACGTCGAACGTCCTTTGCACTTGGGTGGGGTCATTGTAATCGGTATAACGAGCATCGGGCCTGCGACTCTTTTCATTTTTGTCCATAAAGATCAATTAGGATGTTCGATTATCAGATCGTAAAAATTATCTCAGATTCTTTCATTTTTGCTTGAACGATCGTTTGGACGAAAGATCTTGAACGTGAGTGGGAGACGGCGGCATGGGTCGCTTGTTTTCCTCCTCTCGTGCGCGTTGCTACCTACCTGTGATCATCCTCATCGACGACTTGCCAACTTTCAAAAGTCGAATTCTTCTCAAATACCGTTCAATATCAATTGATTTGAAATTATAAATATATTTTCACGAAACAAACTAATCGATTTCATGAGCTTTTTCTGAAATGTGCAACACATGATGTTTAAAAGCTTATTCCTCGCGTAACATCGATTTTATTTTTGATTGAATAGTTTTAAAACTTTATCAGAGTTATTATTTATTCACCGTTTATTGACCACAACCACTAAAACATCACTTTAAACGAACTTACGAATTAATATTTTTCATACTACTTATATATTTTATTGAATCATTTGAAAATGTTATTTAAACAATTTTCCCGGTTTCATTATCGAACTTGAAAGAAAAAATTTAAATATTAAGTTCAAAATACGAATGCGTGCTTCATTTCTTGAAATTTATCATTGTTCTGACTTAAGTTTCAAGTGATTTTTCATTAAATTTTCATACTTAATTTTGTGAAAAAAGAAATTATTTGTGTGAGATGTTTTTGTATTAAACTTCCCCGCGAATATGATTACTATTTTATGTTCTTATCTGGTTAAGGAAGAGGCACTTGAGAGCAAACCTAATTGATTCTATAGATTTCCATTTATTCTCTTGTTTTTTACGTTCAGAGTAATTTAAAAAAAATCTTTTATGTGAAAGTAAATCGAAATTGACGATTTAATTGCATGACTTATTCAATAATCGGAAAAATGCAAAATCAGGATGAGAAGAGTAGAGCGATTATTCCGTTATCTGTGCATTCACTATTGACTGACTCTCACGCTTAGTTTACCTCAACCTTTCTCCCTTCTATATTTTACTCGTTCATTATTATAGTATGTAAAGAATTTTGTTTTCAATTTATTATTATTTAATTTGTTTTTATTTAGTTAGCGGTCTTGAGTGCTACCGATGCGTAAGTACCAATAGTTCGAGGCCGTTTTTGTGCAACGAATTTCTCACGGATTCTGAGGCCATCGAGCCGGATTCATGTGACGATGTTTACGGCGCTAAATATTGTATCAAGCACGTTGGACGCTTCGAGGGTAAAACATGATTCCAGCGAATTAATATTTCGCTTGACTATTAATACGGTGCAGGGTACAATACGCGTTGTCAATAACAAAGTCTTCTAATCTTTCATAATTATAATCTAATGAAATTAATCAATATTAGTTAGATAAATAAAACAGAAGGATTAACAAATTGAGGTTGATAAATGATTAACACATAATAAAAATGAAAAGAAAAAAATTAACTACATTAATTTACATGGTGTCTGGAGTACTAACACTCAAGTGCTATCAATGCACATCAGCTGACGAGTGGATGTGCGAGAATCCGGCTTTAGTCATCACTTATCTTGAACCAAAGAGCTGCGATCATGTTTTTGAGGCGCAATACTGCATCAAAACTATTGGCCGTTATGGAGGTTTATTCATGCACTAACTTTTATTAACATTTTCATTTGCATTTATTTGCTTTAACTAATTCATGATTATTATTACCACTCGATTAAGACTAATCGATCAATTTGATTTTGTAGGAGGTATTGGCACCAAGAGATTCTGCTCATCCGTAGATTTAGGTAATTACTGCGAGTACGTCCAGCAGCCTGGCGACAAACTGGAGTATCGTACTTGCGTCTACACGTGTGGCTCGGACGGATGTAATCCAGCAACGTCGATATCGGCTTCGAAATTGATTATCGTCCTGCTCTCGGCCCTGCCACCGATAACTTACCTGCTGCTAAGATAAATTATGCAATTATTGATGCTGTTTATACGTATACGATTCCGTCCAATTGAACAACTGTGAATTTTCATTTTGTCAGCTGTGTGTCATGAGTTCGTGTAGTTTTAACAAATTAAGCGTAGAATAAGAATAGCTTGTAAACTTAAAGATCTGATGCATCACGATAATATGTATAGGTTTAAGGAATGGACAACACAGGTTTGAAATAGTCAAATCTTTTATTGAAAAACTTTTTCAATGATGTATATTTCTGTTAAATATATAATCATGCTACAATAATTCATAATTTCTTTTCTATGTCTTTGGCATAATCGCAATATATGTTTTTCCCGATATATTTATGAAATCTATTATTATATCATTTTTAATCGCTTTCCTCACATTCTATACAATGATTATTTTAATATCAAAGCCAATACACATTTTAACATGCTTGGCCCATGCTTTTTCAAGTCTTCAAAGAGAATTAGTACAAAATATCATCATCTATATTTTTTCGCTCTATTTAATTGAACATGTAAAAGTTGCTTTCGTCAAAAACTAATCGTACAGCTCTGACAAAGAATACAACAAACGGCAGTCTCGTTTCTTTTTGGTTGCTCTGCAAAGGCACGCTGCGCAACTTTGAGTCATAATTTTCAACTACACGCATCGAGATTTTATTCCTCGAGCATTGGTATATTTATTTTCCTTTAACTCACATGGGCTAAGCCTTTGTTTAACAATCAAACTTGGATTAAATATGTCTCAATATCGTGTTCATAATAAACGACATCGTAATAATCTTGTTTCGCATGTTACAACTACAATTAACGTTTCACAACAGATGATCATTTTTGTCCAGATCAAGTCTACTTTTCTTTTAGAAAGGTATTAAAAATAATTTTAGATAAACCGTTGGTTTATGCTTTTTCACTTTTATTCTTTTAGAATGATGAATTTATTACTGACAGGTGTATAGTATTTTTTACTTGATTTAAAATACTTTTTTATTCTTTTTTACTTTATTCACTTGACATGCAGTACATTATTCTAAAGTAAAAAGATGAATATTTTGAAAGTTATTCGATTTAATGTACATATTAATTTAAATTAAACGAACTTTCTTGAGTTTACATTCTACTAATTGCGTAGAAAAATTCAAGATTTCATTAGTTAGCGAAATTGATAATCGATTTAATTGAGAACATTGATAAATAATACAATAATTGTAATATTTTTACGCCAATTTATCCTCGCTTGTTTTTTATTCAAACGAATAATACAGTTTGAAAAGTAAACAGTATACTTAGTTTGACCTTTAATGGTATTTTTACGAAGGTCCTAGCTAATGACTACTAAAATGATTATAGAATTAATTTGTGTACTTCGATATACGAAAAAGCGATTCATGTCCAAGTTAAAGAAGGAATGGAAAAAATGAGTAAATGTAAGTAAATCACAGATTTGCACATCTTGTAGCTGATGCGCACATAATACCAAAATCCTAAAATGCTATTAGGTATTTCAACTGTGCAATCGTTTCGTTTGATATCATAAGTCGTTATTTGTTTCGTAGCGTTAGGGAATAAAATTATAGATTAAACTCTGTATTATACAGACGTTGTTAAATACGAATCGAACTGATTTGCATTTTTCGACGATGTTATACATCGTCTCAAACTAGAATAAAAATCCTAAATTTTTTCGGCATGCTAAAATTCAAGTGTGTTCACTCAATATAGTAACATTGAGCCGAGTCAAAATTAGTTTCATTTTCGTGTTCTGTTAGTTACAAAAATAATTTACAAGCCTTTCTGCTGATACTTTCGTATTTGCTCCTCCAATTCTTTCACGCGCAGTTGACTGTTGGCAAGTTGGCGCCTGATTAGCCTTAATTCCTCGCCCTGGCGCACGTAAGCTACTTTAAGATCAGCCTCATCGTTTGGTACATCCGAGGATTCCAACGATTTATTGTCATTTAGTGAGGACGTCACTATGTTATTCTGTATCAAAAAGAAGCTATTTATTATCGAGTCTCATACATTTTGAAAAAAATATGCAAAAATGGCTAGAAATATAAGTTAAAAAATTAAATGTTAAATTTAAACTACACGTAGCAAGCATAATTTAATACAAGTACGTAGATACTTTTTGAATGTACTATGATTAATGTATATAAGTTTAATGAAGATTGCTAATTTAGTTACGTTAATTCTCAAAGCAACTAAATTTCTTCGTACAATAAAGTAGAAAATAGATGGGGATGCATAGCAGGTAAAAGAATTAAGAAAGAGATATTCAAAGTACTAAAACCTACCTTATCAATATAACGAGATAGACTCTCAAACTTGCTAATGAGCTCATAGAATTTCTCGCTACGTCTCGGTGTCTTCAAAGTTGGTCATGCAAAGTGTTGCGTTAGTGCATTAGACAAAAGGCTCTTTTTTTTTTTATTATCAGAATGGTTCTTTCAGGAAAATGGATTTTTTTCGGCAATATTATATATGCTACTAAATCTAATCAACGAAATTCAAGCAAAGGCTATCGGAAATTAAAAGCGAGCAGACAAAATTCAAAAAAGCATTTAAAATTAATACAGTCGCTAATTATGCACAAAAAAGCTGGAAAATACAGTTTTGTTTAAGGTTAAGGCAAAAAAGCTAATTGTAGCGTTTATTAAGGTGTAAGAACGCTCGATACTATAAATATGTATATGGGTTCCTACAGTTACATAGCAAGAATTGCAACGAAATAAACATACCGATAAGGTGACACTATTGAATTTTTGCTGCAACTGATGAAATTTCGTGCTCTGATTATTTGATGTTTTCTGGCTCTTTTCGTTGATCTCGGTGAATTCCTTTGGTCGATAATCGGGCACCGTAGGCGTCGAGAGAAATGCAAATTTGTTCCTTATGTTCAAGTCAGCCGTCGTCGCTATATGCGATGGCTTGTACACTCTCGGCTTGTGAGTTGTTATACTGCCACCTACGGTTGTCATATATATTTAAATTTATATAGCACGAGCAATCGTGAGAATGCAATAAAGTATGCCGTACCAGTCTTGAGGGATATCAAAATCGGCGGACTGTTGCTTCCACTAATCCAGTCTTTGGCCGTTAAAGCAGGTGTCGTGCCTGCAGTGTCTGGGTACAGGTCTTCTTGAAACTGGTCGCTCTGCGAGGATAAAAAAGCAAAAAAGGTGAGCGAGTATGCAGAAAAAGAGGCAAAAAATGAGAAAAATATGGAAGAAAGGTTACTTTGCGAGGCACGATCATAGAGATGGGCTCGCACATGCCTCGAGTAGCGTGCAGCTTGAAGAAGCGGAAAACTTCGCAGGTCGACGTGGTGACGCCTCGTTTCGGCATGATACCCAGGCCTCGTTGAGGATTGCCCGATATAAACTGACTGAGATAGTGTATCCAAGGCGCCTCGTTGACGATCTCGTAATACCTAATGTTGCCGTCGCCCTGCAAGATGAAAAGACAGCCTCGAGTAAAACAGGGAGCCCGAGTACGAGAGTATAGGAAAGCTCGAGTCGCACCTTTCCAGCTAAATAAACCATGTTGGTGTCGTGATCGTAGAAAGGAAAAACGATGCCGCTGCTGGAGTCGATGGTCTCGCAGGTGAGCGGAGCGCCGAGATCGTGCTGACTCCAAACGGCGTATTGGCGATCCGAGTGCCTGCTGAAGCCCGTGGTCAGCAATCTGCCGGACGAGCCGAGAAAGACGACTTTGCTGGCCTTGGTGCCGGCGTGGCAGATGCCCTCCGACACGACGATGCCCGATCTCGGCTCGAACACCCTGAGCTTCTTGTCCTTGCAGGTGGTGGCCAGCAGGCTGCCGTCTCTGTTGAGCGACATGCTGTAGATGACGTCGGGATGCGAGTCGATGACGTTGATGGCTTCGCCCTTGCCGATGTCCCAGACGATGACCGAGTGATCGAAGCCAGCGCTAAAGAGGATGTTCTCGGCGGTCGGATGCCACTCGATGTATCCGACTCGGCGCTTGTGGCCCTGCAGCTCGACCAGCCACTCGGTGAGATTGCGCGACAGGCCGCCGTCCGGTATGTGCCACAGCTTGATGGTGCAGTCGTCCGACGACGAGGCGATCACGTTGTCGTTGAAGGGGTTCCACTTGATATCGAGCACGGGCCCTTTGTGGCCGGTCACCCGATTGGCGTTGAAATCCAAACGTCCGGTCTGCGGGCACGAACGCAAAATTTGCCATCGTTACGGCTTGTTGCTGCGCGCGCCTTCCCGCGAGTACAGTACAACGAATGCTAATCCTTGCCGGCGGCGGCGAGAGGCAATTAGCATCGGCAAAAAAAGATGCTGCACGAGGCTTCTAGCTTGTGTGCTCTTCCATTCTGGCGTTTAGCAGTGAAAGTACGAGCGAGGCGTTGCAAGTGTAATTAGAAGAAAATGCGAGGAAAAAAAGCTACACAGTTCAGAAACGCCAGTTCGTGATGGCATTTCGCGAGATTTTTATCGCACAGACGCCCGCCAGCGATTCAAACGTCTTTCGCGGCATATATCACTTTCTTTATTCGGGCACGTTCGCGGCGCATCGCTCGAGCGTGAGTCGTTTTCTAATTTGTATTTTTAGGGAAATAAGTTTAACGAACTCGCTCGTGGCTTTTTCAAATTCAAATGCATTAGAATGCAGCAGCTATGCTCGAAGGCCATAGTTAATGTGCTAGGAATATACTTACGTTGTCGAGCGGCAACACGAGGAAAGCACCACCGCCAGCGACTTCGGTGACGATGGCGAGAAATTTCGGATTGACCGCGCAGAACTGCGAGTCGTGGGCATTTTTTGTGATTTTGATGTTGTCGTAACATTTTTCCCGCTTCGCTGGAGCCCCGTAGACGTGACGGAACTTGCTGCTCCTGACACCTTTGAACCATGCCTGAGAACACCAAGGAGAGGAGCGATGACGATGTTTTCGTTTTGTTGTTGCAACCATGTGCGAGAGCATAACATACACATGGGTGAGTCAAGAGTCGCCGAGGCTCGAGATGTTTTTTCTCGCGTGCGCGCGTTTGTGGCATTGCGTCATTAATAGCCAGCGTGTCTATGCTATACGCGTTAATAATAAAGTGTGGAAACAAGTTGAAGCGCTCGTATGTTTGCAAATATATTCACAAAGTGCACGCAAGTGAGTAATGGCGATCGGAAAAATCTCGAAGCTGTGCGCACTGGACGCGCGTGTTAATTTCGAAACGTCGCGCTAGATAAGGACGAGCCGATATCGATCCGATGTCTATTTATTTTGAACGCGTCAAAAATTTTTCGTCGCGCTCTGTCTGTTATCGCAATTCTTTTCTGTTTATATATATATCTGGGTATAATTGAATTAACGACGTGTGCACACACGCATCGCAGTTGAGATCGTTAACAGTACACGCGGAACGTATGCAACGCGTCCAATTTGGCTCGAGCCAATGTTTTCAAACGCGAGCTCGTAGCAACGATAAGTCGACATCTAAATATTACTACATCGGGATGCAAAAATATACACATATCAGAACCACTGTGGGTTCAATGAAATATCAATGTAGTGACTTGTGAAAACAAACATACGTGGGTGCAAAAGTTTACTACATATCATATGCATACTTATTGTGCGCATGGAAAAAAAACGAAGAAGCATCGACTTACCTGTCTGTCGTTGGTCATGATCGACAACAATACTCGCGTGCACTGGTAGTCACGTTGCTCTGGTCATTTAACTTTTTTTTTTTTTTACTTTTTCTTGCTTTATCGGTAGCAAAAAAAACACAGAGCCATGCAAATGAGCAATCTACTTAATAACTGACGGCTACTTTTTATTCTACTTCTGATTGTTTACTGGAAAATAAAAGAAAACAACATAGCATCTACTTGAAAATAAAAATAAAAATGATGAATCATAAAAATAATGTAAATTATTCGCGGATCAACTACATACACACATCACAAGCTCTTTACCATTTTCTCTGTTCGCGCGGGCAGGGTTTACGATAAAAAGGGCGCAACAACGACGGAGATGCAGTTTCGAAGCCAAAAGAGAAACTCGAATAGTTGGGCGCGTAGAGCCGCGTGCGCTGAAGAGCGTAACGTTTCTCTCTCTCTCTCTATCTCTTGCACGTGCAGGGAGGGGGCCACTCTAGCCTACGTGCAGATGACGACCTAGACACGAAAATCTAAAGAGATATGAAGAATAATCGATCTTCCTGTGCCTACACCTAACGAATGTATATGCATGCAGATCAGCTATCTTTTTCGCGACAATAATGCAAACGTCAGTAGTACTTGTGCGGGGCTGTGTAGGACAACAACGCATTGTAGCGAATTGAGGTCGTGTCGCTCGCGCATTTTTTTCTTTCTTCATTTTTTATTTTAATTATGTGAACCGCTATTACGCGGCACTTTGCACGACTCGCGAATTATGTATAATGTAGATATGTATACGATCTCGACCGCAGCTGTCGTCGACGTGCTTTTACCGATGTTTACGTTACTAGAATTTCCAGCCATGTGCTTCTTCGCTTTATCGCTTTCCGATGAGTTAATGCAGTAGAGACGAATTCATGAGAAATTTCACACTCGAATAAAAATTCAATTACCGCCTATTGAGAGCCATCATCGATATTTTCGGATCAATTCCATCATAAAAAAGAGCCACCATTCTCATCAAATACTAGTAATTGATATAAATGAAAGATTAGAGAATATCGGTATTCAGTACAGAAGCACAGGCAGCTTCCCCGTTTACGAACTGACTCGAAGGCAGTGAAAAAAGCCAGTGAGATTTTCGGCGTTGTCCGATTCGTGCCTATACCAATAATAAAAGAGCTAGAAATCTATAATGGAACGCGTGCTTATTTATTTTTAGTGAGAGTGCACTTTTTTTTACACGTTCTCAGGCTAGGCCCCTGATTTTTTGTACCGATGCCAAGCGAACAAGCGGATAAGGCTGAGAGCATCGATACGTGTGCTCGAGAGGACTGTGTAAAACGATGATATATACGTTGCCGAGGTCGCCTATCATAAGTGACTCAGACTGGGAAGAACAAAAAATGACAACTATTTTGAAAACGTGATGCGGAGTAATTGTCTTGGATACACTCGAGCCTTCGCGATACAAACAAATGGATGGATCGAGCAATTATGCTAATTGCGCGCGTAGAGCGTCGTCGAATTAATAAATGTTAATTCGACCACCGTTTCTCGGTCATGTCTATAATTATTACGATCATGGGATACGTTTACGAAATTAAGCTTTATCTGGCCGATTTCCAGTCGATTATCGTTTCCTCGTGAGGCGACGCCCGGCATAATTAACGATTTTCCGATTGACGTCCGACACATGATCTGTAATCAGTGTCAAATTGGAAAATTCCGCCGAGAAAATCGGATGTGAAAACTAAAAGGCGCTCGGGCGAATCGACGTCTTCCTGCGTGCACTCGAAAATGTCCGTGTTCATTTTTAATGGCTCAAACCGATCGATTCCGTTTACCGCTCGCGCGTGCTCATATTTACTCTCGTTTTTTTCTTCTTTTTTCACATGCAGAATAGGCACCGACCGCCTTACCTATATAATAATACCGTCTCATGGTTGTTACGCGTGCAAAGGGGGAAACAGCACGTATGCGTGATAGTAGTACGTACGAGGCGGACGGCATTAAGTTCATTGATTGAATTATTCAGGCATCGATTTTGCGATTTATTATTTTTTTTTTTTCACGTTCGTCTTGGTCGCGCTTGGTATTTTTATCAGATAAAACAGTAACGTTGCCAACGGCCAAGCTTTGATACAGGCATAGATATAAATATATTTTTTTCTGCTCTAAAAAATCGGCCGAAGAAAGCACAAAAAAATACAAGTGGCTCAAGTGGAACGACGAACGAATATATTCAACATTCGATATAATAATTATAAATCTCTTTAATTTACCAATTAAGCAACGCAGGAAGAGCTCTTTAAACGCGTTAAATTAAACAGAGAGAAGAAATTACACATTGTTCGATCAAAGCTCGGGTGCAGAGGAATGTAATTATATAAGGATACCTTTTCGTGCGCGAGAAAAAAGCTGGACTCGAGCGAAAGAAAAACGGCAGCTTGAGTTTTTTTGTCAAACTCGTCGACACACTCGATGAATAATAGCACAGACTCGAGTCACACACACGCGAGAGCTCTTTAATCTAGCATACATTACACATTCTCGTAAAACAGCTACTATAATAATTTTTTTTTTAATACAAAATAGCACATACACTTGGCACACAACTGAGCTATTGAATACTTTTCCCCTTGAGTTTGACGTGTATATATAGGCAGAGTCGCAGACCTCAAGTACTGATAAAAGTCGAGTACGCCGCGTGTATATGTATTGTATATATAAAGAGGCCGTGTGTGCAGCGGAGCTCTAATCGGCGACTGACCACATACATATCTTTTCACCGCAGCTCGGAGCGGCAGTGGCAGCGGCGGCGGCGTTATACGCTCATGTTAGTGTCCTGATATATACGCGCGCAGAGCAAATTTCAAGGGGGGACTAGTCGCTGTAGTAGCTCGAGTCTCGCTGCTCGCAACGCGCAGCGCACATGCACGTTTATGTGTGTACTATCAACACAGACGAGCCAATGATTTCTTTATGCATTATGTATGTACAAGGCTTCCGCTTTAATATAATTGTTGCTTTTTTTTATTCTTTCTCTTACGCTTATATCGCAAGAGACGCGAAATCGATGCTGCGAGTAAACAATTGCCCCGTGCTGAGAGCATCGCAAACTAATGCAACGATACGCATATCAGGTAGATGATTGTCTAATTCATCTAGAAATGATAAATAGTCGGCTCGACCAAATATTTTTACGGATTGTAATGTTTATGTGAAGCCGATAACGCTCCCAGCAGTTGTATACGGTGTATACTCGGACACTCGAGTGCAGAGAGGCCCGCAAAGTCGTCAGCAGATAAGCGCGAATTATCAATTTTTTTCGCGACGACGCGATTTGGTTTTGTTGTATTTGCCATCGTTAATTAGGACTTGCGGTTTCTTCTATTGGTTTGGAAATCCAACGAATGGATATTCAGTTTGTACCGTTCAGTCGTCACTTTATTCACTTTTTATCTATTAGCCACACGTGGTGGCAATGCCTGTGACGAATAATATCGAGCAGTCCACGACTGTCAAAGTCCGCGATAACACGGTCATTAGCTTTTTCCACTCGGCAGAGAGATTTTTACCCTCGTCCCGGCTCTTTCCGTTGCGGAAGAGCTTCACTGCTCTTCGCTTCGCAGTCAACGTATGAAACAAAGGCAGATTCTTGAAGCATGATATACATATCCTTCGCGAAGCTGCAAGACATTGAGCAGACGAGCCCAAAGGCGAGAAAAAATAACGCGCTCTCGAAAGCGATCGAGTCCAACATTACTCGGAAAAGGCAGCTCGAGCTTGAAAAATTGCTCCAAGTATTCACTAGCTTCAAGACAGTTACATGGAAAATAGCGTCTAAATTACATTACAAGCAGGCGCACGCGACGCATTTTAAAAGCCAAGTCAAAACAACGTTAAATTCCTCGCTCCGCTTTCGAAAGTCGACAACGTCAACAACGGATAGGCCTAGTGTACGAGCTCTCTTTCTCTCTCTCTAATAACGTAACTCAATTATACACTTTGCAGACTGTAGTCATATATATATTATACAGACACACATTTGCTAGAGCTCGGGCATAAAATAGCACATTCTCTCGGCTCTAGAGAAGCTAAAAAAAAAAGAAATGAAACGATGTTTTTTTGTAAGATAATATCCTGATGTTCATCGCAGTGGAAGGTAATAAATAAACGACGATTACACACATGCCACACACACGCAACAGCGATGATCATCGGATCATGTAAAAAAGATGTAGACAGGGCAAAGTGAGTTCTCACCTTTTGGTAAGGCTTGTAGCAGGCACTCGAGTCAACGCACTTCATCAACAATTTCAACTCCTTACCGGCTTCGAGCTCAAATTTCTCCAGCAGTTCGCTCCGTATTCTCGGCATAGTGAATAATCGCAAACTAAACGCTTTATCGGGCACTATATTTCAAGTAGACGTATTGTACGTGCAAAGGAAATGCGTCGCTTAGACGCGCTTAGGATAATGTTTTCGCACTCCGTATACGCACACTTGCTGTAAGTGGATATTGACGCTTCGCGACTATAGCACTAATGGTGTGGTATACAACATCACGCCGGTCGACTTGTCATGTGTGGATCGATAACTTCGAATGTAACGCACGACGCAAAAAATCCTGCGTGCGTTTCTTTACGCCTGCAAACTCACAAAGACACCATGAATGAGCTATACTGTGAACTGTCGATACTGTCGTGACTCGTGAGAGTATACAAAAACTCTATACATGTATGCGCGACTCAGCTTCTGTGTGCACTGTATGTACATGTATTAAAAGACGCTGCGCGAATTGCAGCAGCCACTGCTTCTTTCTTTCTTCTCGCTTCGCTTCTTTCTTCTCTCTTTCTCTTTCTCTCTCACTTCCTCGACTCGGGTCTCGGTCTCCCATTGGGGCCGACTGGCGAGCAAGCAAAGTTTGTTATTGTGTTTACGCGCAAGCGCAGACGACAAGGCGGTAAGCGCGCAGGATTCTTAACTGCATGCTTGCCTTGTGTCATCCATGTGTACGTGCTATCTTACAGCTATATATGTAGGCAGTGGATGATACACACACCTGTCATCGTGGCTGTACTTTAAATATGTATATACACAAGCAGTAGGTACATATATTCGCGATCGTGGAGGGTGGTTTGCACGTCGTGTTTTTACGATAATATATTTATGCTCGGAGCGAGTACGCCAACTGCTGATTTGTTCGTTGCACAAAAAAGTTTCCTGTACAATACGATTGCCTTTTGGAGAATAGTGTGCTATCGTTACTCTTTTGCTGCTTCGCTGATAAGGATTTGATGATAAACCAAATAACCGAGCTTTTTTCAGCAAAGCATCGCCCATGACAAGTCACGAGCCTCATTCTACACCAGATTGATGCTTTCTAATTTCTGCTTTGTTTTGAATAAAACAGTAGAAGAATGAACGGGGTATTGGAAAGAAATAGGTGTAAGGGCTCGTCACCCTTACACAGGGGTGTGGAACCTGCTGAAAGCGAAGTAAGTTTATTTTTAGATCCATATGTTTCTTACTTCTTTGAAATAATTTTTTTTTATAATAATTCCGATTGTCACAGGTGAGTTTATTGCATAAAAAAGTACAAATAAAGACTCAGGCATTATTGGTGCTTGGACAAGAACTAGATCAATGCAGAGCCCAAAGAGATCGTTACAAACTTATGGTTGAACAATTGCAAGAGGATATTAGTAGACGAGACAAAGAAGATGAACTTAAGAAGACTATAAATGGTTTCAAGTCCTCACCTGTTAATGCAGCAAATAAAAATAAAGATAAAAGTAAAACTATAAATACTTTAGAAGAAGATACTAAACTTATGGACTTATTAATAGAATCTAAAGAACAGAATAAGTGCCTTCGACTACAAGTTGACACGCTGAAACAAAAACTTAATGAAAGTCAAGAAGATATCAAAGCTTTGCGCGCCAGAAAAACCGAAACTATTTTGCCATTGGAATCTGCTCCTGCCATTCATCAGAGGGAAGAGTTGATTGAACAATTGGAGAGGTTAAATGTTAAATGTAATCAGTTGAAATTGGACTTACAGTCTGTGATAGATGAGAAGCAAGAACTCATATCCGAAAGAGATGCATACAAGTGTAAAGCACATAGACTAAATTATGAACTATCCAAGGCTCTAAATGCATCGCAACCTGTGGATGTAGATTCATTGGTTAATGAAAATAGGTAAGTTCAAATGATATAAATTCTTCCTTACACTCGATGAATTTTTATTTTCATTTGATTTTGTAAAGGTATTTGCAAGAACGATTCAAGCAAATGATGGAAGAAAAAGAACTAGCAGTACAGTCACTTAAAAAATATAAAGTATGTATACATTTTTATTCCTATGATTAAACAATGTAGTAAAATAATTTGACTCATAATTCAATAATATTTCAGGGTATGCTTGATAGCAAAAGACAAAAAGGAATGATTAAGTTAGGAGCTAAATCAGCTGCTGGATTCATTATGAGTTTCAAACAGTTAGAAAAAATGTTAGAACAAGGACCCAATATTCCTCCACAGAAAGCAGCAGCTGCTTTAACTGAGTTGCATAGTATTTGTACTGCTCTTCTGGACTCATTAAATGATAAAAGTGTAGCCTTAGCTCATCAAAAAAAAACAAATAAGTGAGTATTTGCTTTCTTTACTATTTTAAAAATATTTCTCATTCTTTTGTATATTTAGAATTCTGGCAGCAAGAATGTGCGAGTTGGAAAGATCAATAGAGTCACCAACTATAAGGTTGTTAGAAGGATATTCTAGCACTGATATTGACATTAGATGTAAGTAAAGCAAAAATACAATACGCTACTTTTAAAATCATTTTTGATATTTATATTTCATATTGTAGGTGATTCAACAAGCCTAACTTCGGATTTATCAGAAGATAAAGAATCTGATTTACAATTTGACGAAAGCTCTAATGAACAAGATATCAGTAAAAAGTCCGATTTTGATAAAGATATCAACAACATATCTTCCAATGGAATTGGCGTTGATCAAAATTCTGAATGTAAAGAAACTACCACTAGTCATGATTATCAAAATATTGAAAGTCTCAACTTTGATAATACAACTGGAATAAGACAAGAGCTAGCTGTGCCCATTGACAAAAAAAGTAATGTAGATGAATCGTTCAATAAACAATTTGTCGAAGAATTTGTTACGAGCGTAATTGAAACCGATTTGTACAGAAGTCAAACTATTTCGCTTCTTGATAAAGAAAAAATAGATGAATATATCAGAACTGGAATTAGAAATTGCAACTGTGAAACAGTTCCAGAGGATGAAGCAAATGTCGAAGAGAAATGCCATACTGAGGGCAAAGAAAACGGAAAAAGTGCAGTGAGGTCAAGCCGCACGAGCAGCACTTATGACTTGTTCAAGGAAATAGACAAAGTTTTAATGGACGATTATTCAAACATTGAAAAAAGATTAAACAATGGTCTTCCAGCAAACTTAAAGGAAGCGATAGAGCAAAGTATTCAGCAGATGGAAGTGAACAAGAACAAGAAATAAGCTATTTGTTATTGCCGTAAAGTTTAAGGTACTTTATCTAAAGTCTAATCTGCGGTAATATGCCATTCCAAAGATTTTTTATACGTGTATTTTCAATGGAACCAAAGAGTCAAAACTAATGAATGGCTTGTAAAAAGTATACATAAAAGACTATAATAAATATCAAAATTATTTCAGAACTGTTAACGTATAGTCGAGTAATTTATTTAAAATAGAAAACAAACAAGCTATAACAAATTTTCATTACAAATATTTTAAAATTAATAAATAAAGCCGAATTATTATTACCATTAACTATAAAAAATATATACACGTTTTCTTTGAATACTCTTTTTTGCGTCGAATACAAATGTTAAAAACTAGTGCACGTCGTATCTATATACGCGACGTTATCTTGTTATATATGTACACGCCCTTGATCAACGCAGCGATGCGTTACGAGCTTTAAAATTTAACAAAGCCTACTTTTTCTTTTTTTTTTTTAACGACCAACAACAATGACAATAATGGCGAATATAAGCGCTTAATCTTTATCGCTTAGTATGTAACAACGAGCTCTTCGGTAGATTCGTATGGAAAATTTAAATCGTTTGCGTTTCAACAAAGTAAAACTAATTTAAATCACACATAAGGCTTTTTGCCAGGCTTCTCTTCATCGTAATTTGCCTTTGATCCAGTCGAGATACTCGGAGACCCTGGTATAGACTCCCGGATAGCCGGGTTCGCCGCACTTGTTGCCGAAGGAGACGATACCGATCTGCGTCCATCGATTCTCCACCCGCAGCATGAGGGGTCCACCCGAGTCGCCCTGGCAGGCGTCCTTGCCGCCCTGACTGTAGCCGGCGCACAAGAAATTGGCCGTTATCGGCTGGAAGTAGGCCTGATTGCAGTCGTCGTTGCGCCACACGGGCAACACGGCTTGCCTCTGGATCGTGCTCTCCTTGCCACCTGTGAGTCATCGAGAGTCAATCCGTTAGAAATGCTTTGGCGAACGATTAGCCAACGATCTGTCATAACTTTCTAAAAGAAGCAGTATGCATAAAAGATGATGCAACTGACCGTAATACGTAGTTCCCCAGCCGACGACGGTCGGCCTGGCGCCGGCAAAAGCTTCTCCTTTGTGCTTGGCCTGTGGCAGACAGATCGGTATTACGTAAGGCGTGCGCCTGACCGGCCTGTCCAGCTCCAGAATCGCGATGTCGTTGTAAAATCCAACCCTCGAGAATTTCGAGTGGGCCTGGATCTCTTTGACCAAGTAGGTCTCGGGGCTGCTGGGCTCGTCGTTGCGCTCGAGGTCGATGTCGCCGAGCCGCACAGTAAACTGCCTTGCCAAAAATCTGAAAATGATTTAAAAATTATTTTTAATGATTGCCGGAGCGATCGGAAGCAGTGATTTTATATATAAGTTTATGTGACAATTACGGCCTCTGTCGGGAATCTCTCGTGCAATGGGCTGCGGTGAGGATGTGCCGGCTGCTGATGAGCGAGCCACCGCACCAGAATTCCGTGCGTTTGCTGCCGTGTAAGAAGATGGCCGCCATCCAAGGCCACCTTCCGGGTAGGGACTCCTCGCCGCCAACGACTCGGTATTTGCCGGCGTTACGGACGCCGCAATCTGTTGATTCATTCAGTTGTAGGCTACATGTCTCGAAGCGAGTTCACAGCAATTCGTTCAATTACAATAAACTTACCTTCGTCGTCGTAAATGAAATTGTTATCGATCGACTCGAATCCATTTGTAGAATTAGTCAAGAAGTCGTGATCAGCGATGAGCGGTCGTTTGGTTGTGCTAGTGGTCGTCGTCGTCGTCGATGTAGTCGTGCTGCTCGTAGTAGTCGTAGTATGAGGTATCAAAGGAATCGGTCTGGGCGTGGGTTTCAAAGTCGGCCTCGTGCTGGATAGAACACAATCGTTTAAAAATCGCTCTGCTCGATTCGAAGCAGCTTTCCTGCAAGCTCTCTACTCACTTAATAATGGGAATATGAGAGACGCTCGTGGATGGCGAGGCAAAGTCAACCGGACAGCAGACACCCGGCACAAAGAGGCTCTTGAAGCAAATGGACTGCCTCAGCTTGGTCAGATCGAGCAGCAGCTGGGGACACGTGCTGAGATCCTGACATTTGCCCGGGCCACCGTCGGCGCTCATACAACTCGGCGACGCGTCGGAGCTCGCCTTGGCATCTCGATCGTTGGACTCCTGCAGCTTCAAACTGGCCGATTGCGGTAACTGGCCGACTTCCGATATCGACACGACCGAGAGGGGTGCCTCGGTCGTTGCTGCCGTGGTCGTGCTTGGCTTTGGAGTCGTCGTCGTCGTGCTCGTCGTTGTCGTCGTCGGCCTCGGGGTAGTGCTGGTAGTCGTGCTGGTAGTGGTAGTGCTCGTGGTAGTGGTCGATGGATACGTTGTTGGTAGGCTCGTACTACTGGTCGACGTCTGCGACGATACGGAGCCACCTCCTGGTCTGAAAGCCGGGATTATGAATGAGGAGTTGTAGAGCTCGCGATTAACTTACTCTAGCTCACCTTAAGGGTAGAGTGACGCCTTTGACGAAGGGCGCTATGCTGTCGGTAACGTTGCGACCGAGTATGTTTTTCGATATGGTGTAGAGGGCCGAGGGCAGTTCCTTGGGTGCATCCGAGGACTCGACGCCCCTCGTCATGTTGACGATGTAATTGCCAACGGTGTTGAGCGCCCCGAGGGTCTCGGTTATCGTCGTCAGCGGATCGGACTCCGGCACCTTGACCAGCTGCAAGTGCGGCCTCGGCGGTCGGATCGTGTCACGGCGCCTGATGGGTCCTCCGATCCTCGTCGCTTGGCTACCCTCGCTCATCCATCCCGGAGTCTCTGGCGTCTCTGGATGGGCCCAGGGCCGCATCGGCGGTAGAAGGCCTTGGTTCGGTATCGCTCGAAAGGGAGGTACATGACCTCCGTAGCTGAAACTGCTAGCTGGAATTGCTACATCCAAAACATTCATCGTTTGCGTAACAATTGGGCATTTAAAATCGGGCCTTTAAATCGAGTTTGTGCGACTTACGCTGATTTCGAATGATCGGAGCATGCTCGTTGTAGGCCAGTGTATGATCAGCTGTCAAGCACCATATTAGGCATAGTCCTGCGGTAAGAAAGCAAAGCAAGAATGATTTTCTAAAACAGCTGATCGCGATTATAAGGTCGTGAACACCAAGAAACTCGTTTGATGCTCGCTCAATGTGATCCTCGATGTATGCTCTGTTATTACTCAATGTCTAGGCTACTTGCCGATTAAATTACATACCCCGAGCGTATGAATTGCACCGGCTATATTGACAATTTACTCCGCGGATCGATAATCGAACGAATTCATTTCACTCGGATACTCTTCGACTTTCTACATATAATGACAATTAATCGTTGCGTTTACGTTTTTATGTTGCTCGAAAATCAATTAGATACGATATGATGCGCAAAGGCGTATAAACACGTTACGCCATCGTTTTGACGCTTGTGTCCGCGATCCTTACGTAATTCGCTCATTACGGATGCCGATCGGTAACTCTTCGACGTTCCGATGTTTCTTCGAATCATGCCCTGTCGAAAGATTCGGCTTTTTGCCGAGTGTTAACTCACCCGAGTGATCTCTCTAACATCGTCGTAGATTTCTCTTATTTAAATTTTTCGCGCGTATAAACTTTCGTAATTACGCACGGACGTACGTATGTGTGCAGCGCGGTGTCGAGCTTGCGCTCCGACATTTTGGGTTTTTTTATCCGTTCTGATTCATCGGCGAGAAATCGTTTCGATCGATCAAAATCTTGGATAATTTTCACTCGCGTCGAGCGTGACTATTTCGATCGTTAGGGGGGAAAAACGCAGTGCTCCGCGCACGGTGAAGTAATAGCAGGCGCGCGAACTTAATGGTATGCGCGCGCGCGATGACGACTTTTTTTTATCTTCTCTCGCTTTAATCGCAAAGTGCGCACGCGAGTAGGCGGACACATGCAGACAGACACTCGTCGATCGACGGTGAAAGTTTTTCACCTTTTGCGCACTTATGTATACGGCTATATATACGAGAAAGTGTGCCTTTCTTCCACTCCCGTCAGCCCGTGTGTGCGATCGTTTATACGCATGTATACACACACACAAATTTAGCATCGTGGATTCATCGACCGATCCAGTGAGAATACATCTTTCACTTCTACGTGATTTTTTTTGCTCTCGCATACAAAACTGAGATATGTCCTGCTCATTGTCAAGGACGCGACGTTTCTATGTACTTCCGGAAAATTGTGCATAAATGATACTAACGAAGCCAATATACACGTCTGGCTGACCTACTTAGGCTTTAATGCATTGTAAAGGATTAATTTCTCTCGGTACGCTCGAGTAGAGAACAGCATTAGATTCACGTTTAAACAATATTTTAGTACGAGATAAACGTTTTATTTTTTTCTCCCTGTTGCGTATGAGCGTAACCGATTTTCTAATTGGTCGAGCAGATATCCTCGAAGAGAGCGCAGTGCGACAAAAAGTAAAAGTATACGAGATACGCGATAAGAAAAAAGCCGCGCGCGCGAGCGTCTTTCATATTGGCGTTTCTTTGAAAAGACACTCGATGTTAATTTCCAGGCGTGCACGCGCAATTTCACCTTGTTTTGCAGTGTAAAAAAAAGCTTCCCTCGTGGCTTGACACGGCGCCTCTTCTCGCGCGACAACCGCTTTTTTTTTTACTCCGCGACGCTTACGCAGCTTTGATATAAATCAGCTTGACACTTGTTTCTTGCCACCTTTATAATACGTGAAAGCGCGCCAACTGCATTTCTCTGTCATTGATCGGGCGCTGTATGCGTGCAGTTGTGGCCGTTTTTTCTCTTTCTCTTCTCGCGAATTTGCGATTTTATACATAGCGCGAAATGACGTTTTCACCTGCAGAAGATTACCCGGTCGTCCACTACCGAGAAAAGAATTATTATACGAGCCGTTGGATTTTGTCAGATCCTCGAGGCGCAGAGGTTGCGATCGGCTCGATTCGTTTCGAGGTGTACATTTAGTTACCGATTGCGGCCCGATCGACCAATATGAAAAATCATTCGACGTTCTGATTTCTTTTCGTTTTCTTTCCATCATTGGCAGCCGAGCACCTGCTAACCTAGTTGTGCGGCTGTTCACAACGGATACCGATCGTTTTTAATTTTAAGCTCGCATTAACGATGCAGCGGTTCTTTTTAATGCATTTCGCTCGCGATTCTTTTTCTTTTCTTCTTCGCTCGCACGCGCTCTTGTAAGTCGTGTATACCACTGCAGCGCATTACACTCGCACACTGCACAAGAGATTATAACGGTGTTTTTCATATTTTTATTCTTGCTGGCGCGCATACGTATGCGACCGATTCGTACGCACGGGGATGTGAAAATGCCGATATTCTAGCGGCTCGGGTTGGCTGGACAGAGACTCGGCAAATGCGACTCACCGATTGTCGTTGAGGCCGTTGACATGTTGTCTCGTTGATGAGAAGCAGTAGCATGTGTGAAGTCAGCGCGCTCCTCCCTGTCGATCGGTTTTTCCAAGCAAGCAACAACCAAGCACTTTACATTTGAAGTACAATCGATTTCTGCCTCTTGACTCTGAGACTGGCACTAGCTTCTTTCAAACTCGCGAACCGATTCGCGCAGCTTTTTAAGAACTTTAAGGATAATTTCGTGCCGATGTTCGCGTGCGCGGCGACGATCGCCGACTGCCCGTGAAAAGACCTCGACACACTTCTCTCTCTCTTTTTCTTTCTTCCTCTCTGCCTACGATCCCAGTCGACGGCTCGGCGCACGGTCCTCTTTCTCCTCGAGCGAGCGAGATAGACAGGCGCCACCATGCAGAAACAGCGGCAGCAACAACACATCGATACACGAGGTAAGGGAAAGTGCTCCTCTTGCCTTATATTCCCTACTCCTGTTCATTCCTCCGAATACGAGCCTCCTACTCCTCTCTTTATCGCACCTTATTCGACTTTACTTTTTTCCATTACCTTATTTTTCCGAACAAAGTTGTCTTGTCGTTATCGTCGCGCGATACGTCCGCATTCCGATCGCCCTATATATTTCACACCTTTTTTATTGATGCTTGGCGCCAAGTTGTTTACGTTCCGAAACGCTCTGACATTACTCTTCAGAAAGTAAAAGTTTTCTCGATCCCGGGACAAAGATGACATCAATAAAGTAATTTTTTTTTTCATTTTTATTGATATTTAGTTGCATTATAATTTAATTAATTAAATTAGATTATAAACAGTAATCTTTCACTCTTCCATACAAACCTACATTACAAACATGACCTTTACATAAAAAATCGTTCCTTAATTACAATTATTGATTATGGTTAAATTTACATTTGTTCATATGGAACTTACTCAACTTTTTACAGCATTTTAAGGTACTACTCTAAAGTAGTGTCTAATTTATAGCTGAAATTCTCTTAAATATCTAATTGTATAGACATCCATGCATTCATATATAATTGCATTGATAATAATACATAATTATGTACCACTTTTGAATGAAAAGTGAAGTAGTAACAACAGTTTATATAAGTAGATGATATAAACTCGATCGTCAAAGTTACTCATTGACCACAATTTCTACGTCATGAAACATAAATCCATATTTTTAATTATAAAAGTCCGGTCATCACATACTTTAAAAAATACAATGATCAAACAAACACTAGTTAATAATCATGGTATGAATACTTATACATGTAGCATAAAATACGATTTCATTTTTCTTTCAACCTAATGATTTTTCCATGCATAAACAATGGTTTGATGATTTTTATTTTTTTTTTAGTATTTCCTCATTTGCATGGAATTTTTGTAAGGATCAAATCTGGCACCACCATACGATGTCCCACTGTTTCCTTGTGACATGTTGCTACTACCGTATTGATTTGGTCCTGTCTGATATACTTGTGAGCGCTGGTGTCCACTATGACCACCATTGCCACCATTGCCACCACCCATGTTATTACTGACATTATCAGTTCGATTCCATTGCGACGTCACTCTATTAGAATAAAAAATGTTTCACATTTTAAATATGTTAAAAATAGATTGATTATTTAAAATTAACTCGTGTATAAAATTTACCTTGTATCTGAAGATCGATTATTCCAGCCACTGTGTTCATTTCGTGTATTAGTCGTATTATAAGTCGGTTTTGCTGGTGGTCCTGATTGCCAACCTGTCGGTTTCGTTCCTCCCACATCGTATCGAGTGTCACCTAAAAATTAAATGTTTTTTTCATTTTAACGATTGTTTGAATAAATGATGAAATCAAAAGATTTAAGTTAACGTACGAGTGGGTTTGGCTTCGTAACGAGTATCTCGTCCACCTCTATAACTCTCCTCAACTCTATGTACTTCACGTTCGCGTCCAAACGTTGTTGGCCTTTCATATCTGTCTTTTCCAGGTCTATGATCATTTTGTGGTGGTCCTCGGGTATCTCTGACACCTCCTCTTCCTCCTCTACCACCCCCTCTGGTAGATTCAAAATGATCTCGCCCACCACGCGATGCAAAGTCCCCACCGCCTCTGCCACCTTTGAAAGGTTTTGACATGCCCATATCTTTTGGTCTAGAGTCATATCTTGAACTTTCGATTCTTCTTTCAACTCTTTCGAGTACGTCTGGTCTACGGTCAGATCTATCAGATGGACTGTGTCGGCTGCGACCGTCGGTCGCCATCCTTTTTCTGTCGGATTCAGGATAAGAATCACGGGGTTCACGTCTATCAGACAAAGTGCGTTTCAGGGCAGCTGGTGGTGGTGGAGCTCGGCGATTTTCTTCCAACCTAGCCTGTTGACGCTTTAATTCTTGACGCTCACGTTCCAACTTTTCGCGTTCGAGTTTTTGACGCTCGCGTTCTAAACGCAGTAACTCGGCTTTTTCCTGTTCAATTCGCTCTCGTTCTAGGCGGAGCTTTTCACGTTCGCGCTCGAGACGAGCAGCTTCGCGTTCTATATCACGTTTGCGTTTCATATCTTCAAACTGACGACGTTTTTCTTCTCGAGCTTGACGCTCTTTGTCTCGATTACGCTGTCGTTCGCGTTCCTCCTGTAAAAAATTATACAATCAACTACTATTCTTGTAACAATACTAGAAAAAGCTCAAAATGTTGAGAAATTTTTTTTACAGCTGTAGAAATTTCGTATCAAAGAAGCATAGTGTACCTTTATTTTATCAAAGGATAATACGTTATCACGCCGGGTTCGGTCTTTGCTTTTGGATCTTGAGCGTGCACGATCCCAAGAACGCTTTTTATCCTCCCGGCTACTACCTCGACCATGATCAGATTTTTTTTCTGATTTGTTTGAACGAGCATCACAATCTTTTAAAGAGCCTTCATCCTTAGTTTGACTGTTGCTTTCGCGTTTGTCTCGATCACTATTTGATTCATCGATTTTGGCATCTTTTTTATCTTTGACGTTTTTATCTTCCGCGTCTTTTTGATCATCAGATTTTTTTTCAGCTTCTTTATCGTTAGATTCCGAATCTTTCGATCTTTCATCTTTTTTATCAGTTTTTGAAGCAGCTTGTTTGCGATTATCTCTTTGTTGGGAGTCGCTTTTTGCCTTTAAAGGAAAAGTAATATGCTATTTTATTTTTGTTTATAAAAATTGTTGATTAATTATGAAATTATCGAAAAGTGTATCTCACTTTTTCAACGGTGATAACCCTGCCATGCAGCTCTGTTTTGTGTAAATTTTCGATACATTTGACAGCATCATCACTCGAAGACATTGTAACATAACCGTAACATCTTGATCCAGGTGTTCTAGCGTTTGTCACTACTTTAGCCCCGATGACTTTTCCATACTTTGAAAAAATTTGTTTCAAATCAGTGGCACGAGTTGAATGCGATAGACCGGAAACCCAAAGATTTCTACTTGACGAATTTGAGCTGCTTGAAGAACTTTTTTCTACAAAAGTATAATTTATCAGTAATTTTCGAACTGAATTTGTTTTTTAACTAATCATACTCTCAATATTAAAATATGATACTCACCCTTGGAATCCTCCTTTTTGGAGCTTTCTTTTTTTGTATCAGAGCTGAAAATAGTAAAACAAAAAATGATTAGAATCAAATTGATTTTCTTACAGCTTATTTTGCTCAATCAATTCAGGCTTGTCTATGTCTCTGTAATTATGTTAAGAGCACAAATTTGGCTAGCAATTTATCAATGTAAGAAAACAGCTTCTTCGACGTCCTTTCAATCGTCACTTATTGTCTTTTATTACAATTCACTTTTTTAATCACGTCGCATTCTTCTTTTCATTTCTGTAGTCCCAATTGTTTTTGTACCTCGGTGAGTCCAGTAGAGGATTAAAAAAATTTTTTTCAGTAAAACGAAAAAATTTTCAAATAAATCTTAGCTTATCGTCCCATTTGAGTAATTCAAATTGTTAGTCCACTTTCTATGGGTGTATACTGTATATTTGTTATATCAACAATTAGTTTTCACCAATCTATATGTTTAATGATAATTAGTTTTCTTTTTTCTCAATCACCAATCAACATCATCAATAAATAAACCAAAAATTAATTGAAACACGAAATATCACTTGCAAATCACCATCACTATAAATTTGCTAGCCAATTTTTCAATTCTTTAACATATTTGCCAGAGTATAGGATCTAAAGCCTTCATTTAAATGTGCTAAACCTTAGAGCAAATTGCTCTTTGCAAAAGACATAGACATTTTTAACTGTTTTGAAAAAATATGTATATATAGGGAATGAAAAGATCTTGCATGTACGACTGCATCTTGAGATATTTGATCTCAAAGAAGCACTGTTGTTGCCAAGGAAAGAATAATGATCATTGCGCCAATGAAACCACTAAAATATCATCATCTATTGCTGCTCTGATCATAGAGAAGTCGTAGAAGGTGTGGCAGTATGGGGCAGTTGTTGTATAGAACCAGTAGAATCTAGACTGGATGTGGGTAATACAGCGGTGAACCTTTTTTGGTAGAATGAGACCAACCTCTTGTTTCCTTCTCCATCTTGTTTGTTCTTCACTCCTGTTGCACTAGGACCAGAAGAAGCTGGTGTTGTAGTAGATGCAGTTTCCTCTTCCTTGTCGCTAGCACTGCTCTCTGTTTTGCCGCTACCTTTAGAGTCTCCCTTCTTGTTGATACTGATGTCACTGTTGTTGTTGCTGTTGTCACTCTCTTCCATTTTCTTCTTATTATCTCCATCTGCTAAGACAATCAAGGTAGCATATTGGTCACTCTTTATGATGAGGAGCTAGACACATTAGTTTTAACTTCGCTATTATAATCATCTAGCATACTTCTTGGCCCTTCAGACCTTGTGAAGTACTTTTCTCTTGTAGCTTACCAAAATCAATGTTTTCACTAAGAGATCAGATAAATATATATAATTATGTGCCTGATTTTCTTCAATGATATAGTGAGTATCAACACAACTCTGGAATTTGTTTTGAAGAGAAACTAAAAAGGGTATGACCAGCAGTGCAGTTCAAATTTTCAGCTTGTATGATTAGTTTAGCAATAAAGCAAATTTGATCTACAGAAGTGAAGTAGATTTTCTTCAAAGAGGCTGCAACTAATCAAGTGGCTTCTTTTTTTATAAACCCAAAGGTGGTCGTAAAAATAATTCATCAAGCTTGAATGTTATTAAGGCTTTTAAATATTACCGAACAGGTAGTTTGACAATTTAAATCCAACGGCGTATCGAATTGGCATGGATAATGTAAGCAATATTTAATAGGAAACATTTCAATTAATAATCACGTCGGGAAAAGTGGCAATTTTTTTTGTATATTGCTAAAGCAGTCAGTTTTAGGTTGATACTCATGGAACATAGTGATGAAACACCAAATGGTCCTTGTCTGAAACTGATGTTGTTCGAAAGTAAGATGCTGTTGTCTTATTATTCCAATCAAAGTGGTTTGAAGTTTGCCCTCGTTCTCATAAAACATATACTCGCTGAATTTGATTTGGACAATAAAGATCAAATCTTAGAGAAATGATCTTCATCGTTTTCATAAGCATTTTCTGATATTTTTACTAGTTTACATATTTATGACATGCGCTGTAACTAGATTCTGCAGCCACTCGCATGAGTTTGGTTAAAATTTCATTCAATTTTCAACGATAGCTACTAATTTACCTTTGAAAGAAAAGTATTATAAATTATCAAATCTTATGACTTACCTTTAGACCTATCATTGGATTCAGACTGAAAAATAAATTTGATTTTAAGTACAGGCTCAATTAAATAAATATAAATGATTAAATTTAAAATTCACTTTACCTCTTCTGCAAGTAGATTTTCTTCATCTTCTCCAATAGTCAAGTTGATGGAATCTTCATTATCAATTCCATTAGTTTCAACTGCTGATACATTGCTCAAATCTTCAGAACCAGTATACTTATTTTCTATTGGTTTTTCTATTTTTTCTTCTATTTCTTCAGTTTCAGGCTCAGGTTCAGCATCTTGACATTCCTAATAGAAAATGTATTGAATAATGATGTTAACAATAATGAATTTATTATTATATCAAATAACAATTCACAATGTTATTTTTTAAATAAAAAATTAAGTGTTGGTTTAATTACCATGTTGAGGTCTTCTGGCTGAGCAGAAATATTGATTATAAGTTCCTCGGCACCATCTATAGAATTGTTGGATTTTTCTACCAGTGCGTCATCTTTAGATTTTTTTTTATTAGTAGCCTGTTGATCATTATTACTGTCTTCTTCTACTTCTGCTTCTACAACTTCGTTAATTTCCATTGGAGTTTCTTTAACTTTTTCAATCTTGTCTGCTTCTTCAACTTCTACTCGTTTGGTGTCTTCAGCCTTGGTAGTTTCTTCCACTAGTGGTACCATTGTAGGCTGTTCTACTATAAAAAAAAATATGATAAGTATTCATAATAAATAAGTCATGTATGTGGAATTTGAACGGGTAATTTACTTACCAACTGCTTTTTTAAGAGTAGCTTTGGAAAGCCCCACACTAGGAACTATCAAATATTCGTCTGGATTATGTCCTTCGCCAGTGATGGCCTGTAAAAAAGGAATTATAGTAATGAGTATGTGACATCAATCATTGCATCCTTATCAATTATTTCCGTTTTTGAAAGATATAGGTATGTATACACATAGAACAGCCGTCAATATTCGGCGACTAATGTGACTAACTTGTAGGTTATGTTATTACACAATCATGAAATTGAATTGAATTATTACAAAAAGCTGAGAGTGAAAATTAAGTGTATTTCACCTTAGCTAATCTTTCGAGCAATGCAGCTTTATTCCCAGTCTTGTCAAGGCCACGACGTTCTAGCTCTGTTTTTAAGTCAATGACACGCAATTCTGTAAGTTTTTTACCCTCGGAAACGTCGGCCATCTTAACGAAATCACAAAAGTGGAGATGGGTTCACTCGGGAAATTGTAAAAACGCGTAAGACACAAAAATCAAAATGTAACTGCGCACAAAAAAAGTATTACCAATTTATCACCACTGTTTACCTAAACCAATGTATACGATAACGAGATGCTGTCTCGTGCAATTAGCTTTTGTTAATTTACTACAAGAAAGAATAATACTTGAGGTAATCTAACGAGAGTGAGACCCGTCTCTCTAATCTCTCTTCGTTCGCTTGCCTTGCGCTCGGACTAGCGGCAGAACTCGTAAGCTCATAAACCAAAACATACATACCTCATGGTGAATGTATAGTTAATGTAAGTGCGCAGTCCTCAAAAGCAGCACCTACAGTGGCGCGAAATTCAAATTTGTGTAAAGATACAATTTAAGAAAAATCTAGTGGGGACAAAAAGTGTCCGCACATAGGATGGTGCTACTAATTAAAATATAATGAGAAAAAATAAAAATATTTTAGCAAAATTACAAGCATGTACACTGTCCAATAAAAAGCAAATATAAAACTACAACTTTTCTTCAGGAGATCCTAAAATTCAAAAATTTTTTTTGAAAATTCGAATTTTCAGATAGAGTACGGATCTACTGTAAATAAAACTTTTTTCATACCAACGGCCAGTGATTACACGTACACTGGGACTTTTCTGTTTTTCATAGCCTTGGATAAAATATACAATGATAACGGTAACCTTAAAAATTTAAGAACTTTTTATGCGATATTAATTAGCTTGATTTCATATTACATCAATTTCATCCAAGTCCTTATACTAACACATAAGTCTTTCATTTTTTTAGATAGAGCATTAAAATATTTATAAGAGTAATATTTATAATCTAACTGCCCGTCTGCAAGTGTACTCCTTGGAAATTCAACAATTCTAAACCGCTTGTATTCACCGGACGATTAATACTCCTGCCTGAGAATATATGATATTGCTTTAAAATGCAAGTCTCAGACTCGAAAGTCTGTAAATGCTTATAGCAGATACTCCATTAATTTAAGAATCCTGTCTTGCAATCTTTGTATCAAGTCAAGTTGTGATACAAAAGGCAAAGTTCTTGTTATTGTAATGACGGGTTTTTAGCCCATCTATTACTTATTAATAAAATACGTCAGCTGACTGAAAGCTAATGACTCTACTCTATACGCGTTGTCTCTCTAGTGGGGTGAGGTAGAAGAAATGAAAGGTACAAGGGCTTGGGTTCACACAAGACTGTAGTATTATACTACTGTTATAAATATTATTACAAGAACTTCGACGAGACTTATCAGCTAATTAAATTAATAGCTTACAATTATAATGAGACTCGTGACTGGGGGCGGTGGCAGAAGTGGTGGTGGCGCAGTTGATCGCGGCTGCTTGGCTGCTCGGCCGTTCGGCTGTTGGCCGCTCGTGGACACGGTGCAGTGGCTGTTGGACTGCTCCGCGGCCACAGGCGACTATCGCTAGTCGTGGAAAACTACGCGTTCGAATGTTCGGCACTTGCACTTAACGCGCGTGTTCACAAATATCTTCGCCGTGTTGCTCGGCGCGCGCCCGTCGCTTTGTATTTTCGATGCGCGTACAGATCGCAGGTTCACTGCTGTAAACTCGGAGTGGCTCGCGAATTCGACCAAGTGCTGAATCGTAATGATCGTGAAATCGACTAAGTCCCAATACACAAGAATACTTCTCAAAATTTGTCCAAGTCCCGATAAGTAAAATATTTCACGATCGCGCGTAGCTTTGCCCTCGTTCAAGTTCGGTAACGGTCTGCCCTGCGGCCGTCCTGTGGCCCGGTATTTAAACGGCATTCTGTGTCCGGTCTGCCCCGTCTCCTGGTCCCGTGCACGACTTGCACATGTTTGTCGGAGGACATTTCAATCTCCGCTAGTTCGAGGAGCACTGCAATTTTTCATTCGTTTGGCTCACGCAAGTTTGTTTTTCGGTGAATTGCCTCTCGCGAAATCTACAAATTGCTTCGCCTTCTGGAGCTCGCTTCGGCCGTCTTATGCTTATGATCGTAAAGATGACATTTAATGGCTCTTGCTCACGACCCAGCCTGTAGTCATCTCCGTGCTGGTCTCGGCCACATGTGCGTTGCTGGCCCCTTACGGGTGACTGTTATCGCTGCTCTTGTTTTTGGGATGTCACGAGTAGTTTTGACTTTGCGAGACTTTGCGTACGCGCGCAAAAACTACGAGTCGCTTCGTCTCCTGGAATTCAGCCGATTCGGGCTTGTCATCGACAGATCGACGGGATGCAAAGAGCTCGCTTGGGCCGTCTTACGCTTAAGATCGTAAAGATGCTACCTAACGAATATTACCTCAGCTCTTCCTCGCGACTCAGCCTGTAGTCATCTCCGTGCTGGTTTTTGTCACATGTGTATCAGCTTTGATTGCGCGTTCATCCGTTCCTTTCTGCCCATGTGTCATATCGATCTATGCTGGAGTATATACATACAGCTTGCTCGTGCGGGCCCTCGTTGTTGTCGAGTTGTCATACGCAACTCCACCCGTACCGGTGCGAGTGTTTACTATATAAATAAAATAAACTAAATTCAAAAATCTTCAATTTAGTATATGATTTTACCATAAATCTATTGTGAAAATTTACTGAAATCATTCTTCACCATTCGGCTAAACCCTCCCCATCTATTACTACTGAATTTCGTGTATTTAATTTTTGACGTAAAAACAATTATATTTTTTTTATTCTGTTTGCTTCATAATAAAAATATAGTTAATTTGTTCAAAATTGTGAATATTAGAGAGTGGCAATCCCTTCTTTTTGTAAAAAATGTAAAAAATTTTTAAATTTGAATTTTGCGCTCGTTTAAAGCTGCTTTTAAGAACAAAGTATTCATGCGGTGGTAGGTTTCGGTGATTTTACTAGATTCTTTCTAAAATATTCGATACTTATTCTCAAGACAAAGAGTCGACCATTTTTCGATACTTTTAGGTACTCGGTTTTGATTCCTTAGAGGAAGCTTTATGATAGGCTCCAAAACGAGGTTCTGAACCCTAAGTCATAGGACAATTTGGCTCACATATTTGAAAACTAAATTGAATTTTCAACTAATGTCTGTATACATACATGTATGATGGCCTTCTCAGCTTTTTTACTAAGATAGCGTAGACTCAGAATACAAACTCTCTTTTTAATAGCTTCAATTGAAGATTTATAATTCATTTATCAATAAAGGTTTGGTTCGTTCATATAAGTGGTTACACATCAAAATAGCATCTTTTATGAGGAAGCTCTTTGCCAATGAATTGGCAGCAGTTTTTTTTACTTTAGAGTTCTGATGAATTAGTCTCTTCGTGTTTCATATTATGAAATAAACGTATGAGTTATAAAATTAATTTTTCAATGCATGTACACAAGATGGAAAATGACTAGTTTCCCAGTAGAAAACGTAAATAGGACTAAGTTGGGGCCATGCCGTTACCTACCCGTGTTCTACAGTTATTATTGCCGCGTATGTTATATACGCAGGTGGCCCTTACTACGCTGTATTTACGTTTTGTAGCTACTGGGAACCAAATCGTTTTATATCTTATATACATGTTATTCGATACCTACTCTTCAAGGTATGCATTTAATATCCAGCATCAATTTTTTGATTCTTTCGCCGAATAACTGATACTCAAAAATTGAGTATTTATTGTTCGATACTTTTGGTGAAAATTGACGATCCCACTATCAATCTCAGTTTCAGCTTTTTATAGATATAATGAACACTCTAATGTTGAGTAAAATGTAACAGCATGAAACTGTTTTACCGATACATTGCATTGAGCGATTCACCGGAAGTTGTGTGAGCTACTATAATAAACAATATAATAACCGACTTTTATTATCTAAGCTCAATAAATAAAAAACGTAATTAAAAAATATTAATAAATTCTTTCGTGCATCTATGTAATGATTTTTAAAAAGTTTAAAATTCACTAAATTTGATTTTAACAGTATTTTGTCAATATGTAGATTTTAAAAGTTTCTACAAGTGGCGATTTTTTATTTATTTTTATTTAATATAAGTTATGATAGCCATAAAATGTGTACTTTCAAGTTAAACATATATTTTTTCAATTGTGACCCTGATTAATTTATTTGGAAATTAAAATATATGAATTATTGTAATTTTATTATGTTGAATGTATCTTACGTCGATATTAAGTACAATATTTCAAGATTTTTCAAAAGATGGCGTTGTGTCACAGTTTATTACCATCCATTCACTCGAACAATGAAATGCTGGATTGCATGCACTTGGATTTATTTTTCGGGCAGCTACTGGATAGTTTACTTCAACATGACGAATTATTACTTTGACATGATAAAGCTTAATCAGCTTAATCAGTTGCATTGCACAACTTGGCAGTAAATGAATTTTTCTCATTTTCGTCGCAAGTTTCATTGACGCAAGCTCGCAAGCTTCTACATTTTTGGAGATAAGAGCGAAAAAAGCCCTAAAATAAAAGAGCGGATATAATGACGGCTACGGAGCTTTTGTCGAAAGAAGCGTGATGAAATCGAGGCGTCTCGCCAATAAATCCGGTAGGTCTGATTAGATAAGAGTAAAGAAGTAGCGGGCTCGTGCTCGCACAAGAGCAAGAGTGAGAGAGAGAGAGAGCAAGCAATTACGGTTCATAGTGCATTCGTCGATCGGCGCTCCGAGACGCAAGAATATATCCGATCGTCCGCACATTTACACAAATTTATCAATCGGTTAGAACGTTATTGCAAGGGAGCGTCGGGACACAAAGTCATATACAGTTGAGTGCAGTTGAACATATCGCTTAAGTGCAGCTTGTGATCGTGCTGAGGCCAAGATGCAGGCAGAAATCAAGCCGAGCACTGGTGACGAGCTGTCGAGTTGACCGTCGAATTTTCGAGTGCATCGTTCGGATAAGGCAGACATCATGCCCGCCTGCAGCAGCGAAGGCGCCTGTCTCGAGGGTCTCTGGGCCTCGTCGCCCAGCAACAGCAAGAGCAGCAGTCCAGCCGCGAGTGCCGCGGTTCTCCCGCCGACGACGGGTACGACGTCAGCGAGCAGCCCGACGTCCACGACGACGACCACGACATCGATTTCGCTCCTCGAGCGCCGACAGAGTCACATCAACAAGGCAGAACTGTCCAGGTTGAAAGTCGACAGCAGCCCGATCGGCAACGGCCGGCACGCCCCAAGGTCTCAGCTGGCCGCTCCTCAGGAACGCAGCAGCGCCGCCCGCAGGATATTCGGATATCTGCTGCTCTGGCCCGCCCTTTGGGTCTCGTTTTGGCTCTGGGTGGGCTGGCTCTGTCTGCAACCAGGCCTGGCGTGTCTGCGCTTGCTACCCTGGCCGGGCGAGCGCTACAACGCGCGACAACAGACAGCAGCCGGTCCGAGGCGAGGCGCTCGGCCCTGCGTCCTCCTCAGCGGCGGCAGCAGCGTCCAGACGGTCAGACTAGCCCGCAGCCTGTCGGAAGCCGGCGCCCGGGTGGTCGTCTACGAGCTCGAGGGCCTCTTCGGCCTGGCCCGCTTCTCTCGCGCCTGCACGCGCTACTACAGCGTGCCCAGGCCCGGGCCTCGCTCGGGAGCCGCCGCCTACGTCCGAGCCCTCCGAGACATCGTGTCCCGCGAGCGGGTCTCGGCCTTCGTGCCCGTCAACACGGCCAATCCGGCCTACTACGACGCCCTGGCGCGCAAGCACCTGGAATCGCTGGGCGTCGACTGCTGGGTGCCCAGGGCCCAGGAGTGTCTGCGCCTCGACGACCCGCTCGAGCTGCTGTCGAGGGCCCGCAAGGCCGGACTGGCCGTGCCGACGTACCGGCTGCTCAGCGGAGGCCTGCAGGAGGCCCAGGCCCTCTCCGAGTCCGGCGATCTGCGAGGGCCCTACGTGGCTGTGCCGGCGGGCCCGGTGGGTATGCGCGAGCGAGGCCCCGAGCTGCGTCTGCCGCTCAGCCCGGCCGAGCTGCAGCGCTACTCGGAATTGCGGAGCCGCTGGCTCGTGCTCCTGGAACCGTGCGGGGCTCGCTTCGTCACCTGCACGACTCTGAGGGACACTCGACTGCTGTCGAACGTCACCTGCCGCCTCGAGGTGGCTCGCAACGGGACGACGACTCTGCTGCCGGAGCCAAGGGCCGACATCGATCACTGGCTCGAGCGCTACTTCGAGCTCGGCTGGGCCGACTCGGCCGGCTGCATCAACGGCCACTTGAGCTTCCGATTCGGCCTCGGTCCCGGCAACGAGTTGCTGCCGCTGGGCTGTCGCGTGGGCCTCGGACCGGCCTACTTGAGCCAAGAGGCTCGTCACGCTCGGCTGCTCCTGAGGCCTTTGATCGGCGTCCCGAGGCAGACGTCGCTGCAGCAGCTGCATCAGCAGCAGCAACCGAGCTGCGGACACGGCAATCACGCGAGCGACTCGTCGTCCCGGGGACTGGACAAACGCGAGGCTCTCTTCATCTACTGGGATCCGCTGCCTTACTGCGTCTACTGCTGGGTGCAGCTGCCGTTTCGCCGACTGGCGGATGCTCTGGGCGCCCAGAGGGCCCAGCATCAGCCGCCTCTGGCAGTCGTTCAGTAATTTTATTGAGATATCGACCGAGTCTCTCTCAATATAAAGTGCCTCGATTAACACTTGTTTGTTTTATTTAAGTGCGCGATTAGTGACCTGCGACTTCGGGCAGATACACTTTCAGTGCGATGATGATTTGTGCGCATATTTAAATCTTCAATGGCGTACGTTGAACTTTTGATAAATCGGCGAACTTTACGCTGCGCCAGTTAAGGCATTTTTGTACAAAGTTTATAATATTACCCGAATCTTAGTTTATTCATGTCCATCGAAGACACAATGCAACTTGTTAGTTACGTACAATTTTATACTTTAGTTCATAAGTGGTTCGTTTTTTTGTCGTTGTTGTAATCTTCAAATATTGATTGAAATCGAGCAACGGAACGCAGTGCGTATTAAGCTAGAATATAGCACGTAATTGAATTCTCATTAAGTAAGAGAGAGAGAGAAAGTAAATTGAGCTGTATTATCTCTTTCTCTGTTGCACTCACAATCCAATTTGTACAGATCTCAGACAAGCGATAAGTGCGATACGCGTGCATGATTATAATATAAGCGCGAGCAGGCGGAAACTAACTGCGCGTTATTATTTAGCGCATCGATGCATATTTTTGGATTTTTCGTGCAAATCATGCAAGTTCGTGGCCTATGCAACTCGATTATTTGTTTTAATAATAAACATTATGAGTAGGAATTCGAATATAATGTGAGCTATATAGCAGTGATTGATTCTCTGCGTGGCAATTTTATCTCGACAGCTGCGGTGCTCGCGTTCGTTCGCGGGATTGAGCGATATACATGTTTAACGTTACAAGACGTTGAAGCAAGATGAAGAGGCAGTGCACGACAATAACACGATGACAGAGCACCAGCTGATATTATTATATACCAAGAGAGAGAGAGAGAGAGAAAAAAAACTCGATTTTCGCAGTTTGGCTGCATGTGAATGTGAATACTCGACTGGCGATCGAGTGCGCGCGGGCCGTTTATCATGCAGCGCGGCCAAAAGCTTTCGTAAGCTCTTTGAGCAGAAAATAAAAAAAATTATTAAAGAAAGAAAGAAGGAAAGAAAGAAAACGCCCGAGCGAGAAATGACATTTGTCATGGAGAAGCCTAAATTGCCTTTGGCAAAGAGCAAATGGAGAAAAAAGATATCGAGTGAGAGAGAACTAGATAGGGCTTCGTCGATGCGGCAGCCGCTCGCTCGCGCGCCAGCTCTACGTCTAATGCAATCTTATCATGCGATAATATTGAAATGCGGTTCTCTGGTTCCTTGACAACCGAAGCAAGCCCGCGCGCGCCCGAACGAGCTGGACTGCGCCGCGGGAATATTCGCTCTCGCGCCATAAAACATATACTTACCTATATATTTACGCGCACCCTCGGATCGGAGCATTCCCATAGACTTGGTGTGCGTACGAGAGTCCTTGTTGCGTTGAGCGGTGCCATATCGACATGCGTGAGCGCCTGCATGTATCATTGTTACGTACGAAATCGACGCATATTTTTCTTCATGCGCTTCGACTCAAATAAAACGCTTGTATTTTGTATGTCTCGTTGAGCGAGCGATGATTTCATTTGCCTGTCTTATACTTGTCTCTGCGGAAAAGCAGCTTCAACGAATCATCGACCCTCAACCTCTCAGCTGAGAAAAATCCTTGTGTACGTGTTACGATACAAAGCCACTTTGTATTTGTGCATATTTTTCATCGAACGTTATGCAATGTAGCGCGTATATATAGATATAACGACTAGCCCATGCGCGACTGGTGCACGCGAAAGCTCGGCGCGAGCGGCAAAACTTATTTCGACCGACACGGAAGCTCCGAGCTTTTATGGTTTATGTGTAATATCTCATGGCTTTGCGCATCGCCTATGCTGTGCTGCGTTGTGTGTGAGTGTGTGTGCAGATCGTATATATGCCAGCGCACCGACGACTATTTATATACTTTTGTTCTCTTTTCTACGCCCCGATCAAAGGGCTAGGAATTATTTCTAGAAATTTTAATTAAATTTTAAATAAAGACCATTTTTTGCAACCACACGTTACCGATTGAACTTTTTTTTCAATCCTTACCCGCACGTACCTCGAGGCTCGACAAAAATCATTGGAAAAGCAGCGGATGCCAATCTTGTACTCGAGTACATACATCGTGTACACGCAATCGTTTAAAAACCGAGAAAAGCGATAAGTGCGAGTGCAAAGGCAAGTGTAAGTAATAATTACGTATATATACATCATCGTCGCGACTCACTGGCTAGACGATTTTTCTACGCTCCATTTTTATTAGCCCCTCGCTTGCACTGACACGAGCGGCGCGCCTGCGAACGCCGACTGCTGCTGCGTGTGCGGGCGAGCTTGGAGCGCGCATATAATAATAATTCGCGAATTAGATTCGCAAAAACACGAGGCAGAAACAGAAATACATTTACGCGGCCATGCAAAAGAGATTAATTCGGTATCGTAGGTACTTGACTTTATATGCGCGCAGCCCGAATTATCTAATCTTTTTTAAAGCGCAAGTGTGTGTGTCCGTATGTTTTTGGTTATTGTTGTTGTTTTGCTGTTGCGCATAAATTATATATGTGTGCGCGTGCACAATACGAAACATAAAAGCGTAATTTTATTTCTCAAATTGGCGAGAAGCTCTGCTACGTGTCATGAAATTTTTCATGTACACTTCACACGATCGCTACTATTGAAGTGACTATTATAAACTTTTGTACGCGAAAAGTTTTCTGTGTCGTACGTTCGTGCGCCAACTTTTCTACTTAAAAAATCGTCTTTGCTGCTTCCTTGAGCAGGGCAAAAAAAGTCCAATCATCATTGTCGTCGTCGTCGTCGTCGTCGTCGTCGTCGTCACATAGTTACGAATACGCGCGGCAGAAAGAAAAAAGGCAAACATTATACAGAGAGGCCGGGAATGGGGGGATGTAAGAATATATACGGGAACGACATATGGGGCGGGCAGGTGTATCCCCTATCGTTTGAAAAAGACAGGTAGCGCCGCGTGTATCCTCGGAGACACGCGAGTCGAGCCCGCCGAGAACACACTGTACACACAAGACTATATATCCTCGAGCAATGCAAGCCTCAGTACATTGGGGGCCACTGCCACCTACGCTACTTGCTTAGCTTTAATTTTACGTAATAGTCCTTTTGTTTTGCCCATTTTCCTCTAGCTGCCTCGCACAGATAAAAAGTCAAAAAAAGGACGGTATGATTCCGGTAAGTTGAGCCCGATTATAATTGATGTGTCAACATGCACGATTACACGATGCCGACAACTCATAATGAGATTATTGCACGACAGTAGAATTTTTTGTATTATATAGACTTGGTCATTCAATACATAACGATTTCATCACGTAGAGTAAACGATAAGACAGTGCCGTCATTGTATCAGTTTGGTCGTCCCAAGTTACGATATATATTCATATGTATGCGCAGCATGTGCGCTTAAAACATCATCAATGGAAATCAATAATCTCGGCCTTTGCTCGAGAGCCTCTCGCGCCTCTCGCGCTTCTTGGCAGCTTTTATCACTGGGGCCTATTGAATGATATCGTCTGGAAAAAGAGCTTCGCTCCAACGACGAATTGAAAATGAAGCTCGTAATCGTGAGCGCGAGCTCGCGCGGCCTAAAGACGTATACACGAGCGCAGCTCGAGTCGTGAGTGGCAATTTCCGTCTTGCTGCTTGCCTTCTCTTTCTTTCTCGCACTCTCTTTCTCTTTCTCTCTGTACTGCCGCGAGTTCCCCCCTTTTTCCATTAATAAACTCTTGTTTTAAGTGTACTAATTTTTTTCCTTTTTTTTGCTTCGTTATCCTATCGATTTTTCCGTTATGACTCGAGTTATGCGCTGTTCCCGATGAATATTTAAATGCCTACTCATTCCCCGCATACAAATTTTTAGCACTCGACGTTTCGAAAAATTTATTTTGCTCGGGTAAAATATTCTCATTTTCGGTGTATTGCGTGCCAAGCGTATTAAAGGTATATGATGTACGCGACTTGTTAGCTTACCGGCGAATCGCTCTGCACGCGTTAAATAAACGGTTTTTTTTTCTTATCATCCTTGAAAAATCACTCGACGGGCAAAAAATCGTAATCAATCGGCGCGAACGCAAAAATAGACGCGCACGCGAAGAGCATGTCAGCGAATTTTGACATTTCCCGATGCGATATTTCCTCGACGATCGTTGGAAAAATCGCGACTCGCAAATTAATACGGCCCAAGTGTATACGTGAGCGCGATAGATATGTCGTGCTCGCCGCGAGTTTATTCGCGCACCAGTCGGCAATTAAAGGAATCCCCGGAGATTATCGTGGCTCGCGCCTACAACGTTTCAGCGCGTCTTCGTGCCAACTGCCTCGACGGCGCGCCGAGTCGTATATAATAGCGATATGAACAATTCCATCCACCGCAATTGTAATCCGAGCCGGAGATGATTACGGCCTTTGAACGCGTCTAGATACGCCGATTATTTCCGTAAATTTTTCACCCCTCGACGAAGCTGTCATCTTTTAAGACGAACGCAACGTGTGCTATACGTATACTGTCACGCTGGCAACGCTACTTATGAGTTATGAAAATGTTCGACTTTGCGTCCCGAGCTTTCGAGGACACGCGCTCGAAATTTACGACTTTACAGATAAGCCGCGCGAGAAAGTTTTTGGCATGTTTAGCCCAGATCCGCGTGCGCGCGGCCTCGAAAGCTCCACTGTCCCTTTTCCATCACGGGATCGACGTACAGGCCAGTCATATATAATATCTCTTTTTTCTTTTCAATTATCGACGAGCGCGCCAGCTCGAGTCGATGTTGTACACGAAGAAGAAGGAATTTTTTCTTGTTCGCGAGAAAAAATAGTCCAAGTGGTGCAGTATATACGACGAAAAGTCGCGATGCGAGCCCCGCGGCACGTATGCACACGAACAATTAGTCTGGATCCGCGCAAACGGCTATATCAGATAAGGCTATTATCAGTTGAAAAGTTGAGGCCGCACGATTTCCGCGAGTGTGGCAGCGGCAACGGCGGCGTCTAAGCGAATCGATTGATCGACGCGCGGCCAACTCGCACCTGCAGAGCTTTTGAACTCGACAAATTTCGTTAGTCTGACTTGGGACTCGTCGCGGGACGAGCTCGCGGGCTCGGCTTTTTTTTCTTCCTTCGGTTCGCACACGGCTTAACGGCTTTTCCGCCCAAACGAACGACTTGTTGTTTGGCTGGCTCGCTCGCACGCGATCGCCTGCACACACAAGAGCGCGCCAAGCGCAGCGCAGGCTGTTTATTTTTCGATAATAAAAGAGAGGCTATTATCATCGGGGCGAGGAAAAGGCAACTCTCGACTGAATAATAATACAGAGTCGAAGCAGTCAAAGTCAAAGTCTATCTGCTCGCTCGTCGCGCTCGCACAATACCACATCGTTATTATCGGCTTCTTGTAATTTGCGAGAACGAGCGAGCGAGCGAGCGAGCCCCGAGCTTCGCTTAACGCGATTCACCACAAACAAATGATAAATCATACAGAAACAGCCAAGAATTGCCTCGCTGTCTCTGAGGGAGCAAATGAACAGACGCCGAACTTCCATAAGCAATAAACCAGTGACGAGCAAGCCCAAAGAGGTAGGAAGACAAAATTTAGCGCGATGAACATAAATCGGAGGGTATTTTCAAAGGAGGCTAAACACTCTGTTGCATTGGTCCGGCTCAGTCGTCGAGTTTAGCAGGTAGGAGGATGGAAGCCTCGAGCAGCAGGAAGGACTCGGACGAGACGACGGGCGACGAGGAGCCCGAGGAGAGTTACAGCGCGGAGATGCTGCTCAAGCAGAATTACGAGCTGCGCCATCGGCTGGAGGAGGAGGCGGCGAGCTACAAGCGTCGACTGGACACGTATCGGCAGGCGCAGCAGCACCAGGCCGCTCTGGTCTCCCGGCTCCAGGCCAAGGTGCTGCAGTACAAGCAGCGATGCTCCGAGCTCGAGAACAACGCCTCGGACTCGCCGGCCGACGAGGACAGACTGGCGCCGGCCTCGAGCAGCCACTTGATCCTCCAGACGGCCCAGCAGACTATGAGAGATATGCGCGACGCCGAGCAGATTACCGATCTCGACGCTGCCATGAGAAAACTCGCCGAGGAGCGCGCCAGGTAAGCTTTCGTATAATCTGTACGCGTCATTGATAACGTTCGCTACGCCTCGAGTCACGTATCTTTGAAAATATAATTCGACCCCGTCGTTATCGTACGCAGGTGCGAGCGTCTGCAGCAGTCGAACGCCCAATTAAAGGATCAACTGGAAGAGTCGCACAGGAGCAACGAGACGCTGACGAGCGATCTGCAGAAGCTCAGCAGCGAGTGGGATTCGCTGCGCGAGGAAATGACCACCAAAGAGGACGAGTGGAAGGAGGAGGAAATGGCCTTCAACGAGTACTACGCCTCGGAACACGCGCGTCTCTTGAACCTTTGGCGGGACGTCGTGTCGCTCAAGCGCCTCTTCTCCGACATGAAGTTCACGACGGAGCGCGACCTCGGCAAGATGCGCACTCAGTTGGCCAGCGCCGCCAGCGATACTCTGGCCGCCTGCAGCAGCACCGGCTTCGCTCTCAAGCTCCAGGCTATGCTGCCGGATCGGCAGAGGCAGTCCCAAGGCCAGAGCCAGCTTCAGTCGTCGGCCGAAGCGCAAGAGCTGCAACTGGCCAAGGACCGACTGGAGGCCGCCCTCACCGACGTCCGAGCCAAGGACGAGCGAATCCTGCACCTGACTCGCGACCTGCAGCTTCTCCAGGACAAATGCGGCGAGAGCGAGGCGGCCTTTGCCCAGAAGCAGCGGATACAGGAAGACCTGGAGATCCTTCAAACGGCTCTCAGAGAAATCGCCCACGCGGTCATACAGGATGCAGAGGCCAGGGACATCGACGCCAGTGTCAACAGTCAAACCACGCCGCACCTTCATCTCTCCCCGGCTGGTCCACCTCCGAAACGACCGACCACGAGAGTGTCCACTATTCCCGCCTTTGCCGAGAGCACCATCAGTGCCGTTCAAGCTGCTTTGCACAAGTATCAGTTATCTATTCACGAGTTGCAGGTAACACTATTTTTCCCTCATTTTCGTTATTTAAAATTGGATTGATCTAATTAAGAATAACCTCTCGATTGCAGGTGAAACTTCAAACGAACAAGGAGCAGCTATCTCTATCGCGAAAACAGACGGAAAATATCGAGGAACGTTGTCTGGCACTGGAAGAAAAAAATGCCGAAATGACCATACAACTGGACTCTCTCCGCTCGCAGAGTTTACACTTGTCGCAAGAAAAAGAGATGCTGCAAAAGGCTCTGGATAACGCGCGTTGCGAAAAATTGAGTCTCGACAAGAGTCGGCTCGAATACGCCAGCACGATCGATACCCTCAACGCCGATTACGACAAGCTGGACAAGCTCAACGTCAAAATGGAAAAGCTATGTCGGGGACTCGAAGACGACAAAGCCTATCTGCAAGCCGAAGTCGATCGCTTGGCAAAAGACTGCGATTCGAGAGAGGCGAGTTTGAGAATCGAGGAGGAACGTTCGAGCAAGCTGCGCGAGGAAATGTTGAGTTTGAGGGAAGACCTGAGCAAAGCCAATCTCGCGAGGGACGTGCTCGAGCAACAAAAACTCGAAGTCGATTCCCACTTGTCGCAGGTGGAAAAGAGCAAGGCCGATATCGAATTGGAGCTCGAACGCGTAGTGCTCGATAAATCCGATTTGCAAGAATTGATGTCCAAGTTGCAAGCTGTGTGCCTCTCGCACGAAGAAAATTTAGCGCGTTTGCAGGAAGAACTGAAAAAATGCATCGATGAAAAGAACAACTTGATGTCGCAGTGTACCGATCAACAAAACGATTTGGCTTCGCTGAGGAAGGAATTGTTGCAAGCCGAGCAGACGCGATTAGATTTGGAATCCGAAAAAGTCACTATGCACGAAAAGATGAAATTTTTAGAAATTGAAAAAGAGAAGGTGGAGATGGAACTGGCTCAGGTTAGTAGGGAGCGAGGCGATCTCAGCAACCAACTGTCGATATTAGCTAGAAAAAAGGAGGCCCTCAATGAAGAACTTATGCGATTGAAGCAGCGATTCGAGCAAGCTGGAGAGATGAATGCTAGGATCAATCGAAGTCTAGAAGACCTCGTCAAGGATAATGAAGAAAAACAGGTAACGTACGACTGCAGTTAATGTGGATTTTTCAACTATTAACAAATTTATTCTTGTAGGTCATGATAGAGAGTGGTGACAAGGAGATTCAAAGATTGCAAGAAATTTTGGCTTCGACTCGCAGCGAGAAGGAAACTCTCGAGGCCATTTTGTTCGAAACTCAGAGCAATTTGGAAGGTATGCACTCAAAGAAACTGCAATTAGAAAAAGAGCAACAGGAGCTTCTGATTAAACAAGAGAGTTTGAAGGGTCAAATACTGAGATTGACCAAAGAGTTAGAAAATAGCGAGAAACACGCGAGAGATATAAAACACAGTTTAACGCAGCTTAGCGAAAACCAGGAGGCTGAATTCCAAAATGTCGTGCTAAATTTGAAAAAACAAAGCGAAGAGGCGATTAAAAAACTCAATGAAGAAAAGGTTTGTTATTTTAAGAAAATTTTCGACTTTGTCTAAAAACTTTACTATTTTTAGGAACAAATTAAAGTAGCTTCTGAAAAGAAACTGCAAATGGATTTATCAAGATTAGAGAATGAAAAGGATAATGAATTATCTCAATTGAATCAAAGAATGGAAGAGTTACAACAACACATAGAAAATGTTTGTCAACAGCATGAAGAGGTTCTATTAAGAGCAGAAAATGATAAACAACAAGCTTTGCTAATTGGTAATTTCCTTCATAATATATTTTAAACAGATAATGCAATTGGGGAATATTTACAGCTCATCAAGATCAACAAGTTTTAATGGACAAATTGGATAATGTGTACCGAGAGCTAGAGGGTGAGAAGGGAACGCTCGATCGTTTTCGACGAGAATCTGCCTGTCAAGCCGAGCAAGACCGAAATAGCCTCAATAAAATGAGAGACGAGTTGAATCGAATAAAAAGTAAAATCGATGAGACCAAGTTGAGAAGCGAAGAAGAAAAATTGAAATTAGAGTTGAAAATAGAGGAGGTTCGGAACGAAAGAGACAGCGCCGTTAAGGAAAACGAAGAATTGCAGGTACAGCTTCACATGTCCGAAGATAAGGTCGATGAACTGCACAATCAACTCCAAGAAACAGTGAGGAAATTGAAAGAAGGTACGATACTATCATATTTTAATATTTGCAAATTTTCAAAACTGGTCACACGTTTGCAGGTGAAGTAACGATTGAAACATCGCGCAAGGAACTGGTTGACGTAAGGCGTCAATTGACCGATTCCAATTACGAAAAGGAAAAATATAACAGCAGCAACAAAGAACTTCGGGAGCGCATAAAACAAATCGAGAGCGAAAAACGGGAACAAGCGCGCACCTTGGAGGAAGTGTACCAGAAGATGGCCGGTAATTTAGAGCACTCAATCACGTATCAGTTCTTTTCAATAGACACGTTGAATATGCAATTTAGGTTTGGAAGAGGCGAGAACGGCTCTTGACTCCGACCGAAATCGTCTTCAGAGCAACATACGCGAATCGGAGCGTGAGATTTTGCAGCTTCAGCAGCAACTACGCATTACCCAAGAAGATCTGACAAAGTCTCAAAATTTGAACAATCAAGCTCAAAACACGGAGAAAGAAATTCAGGGACGGTTGGCGAACGAGATCGAAGAAAGAGAACGTTTGCACTTGCAACTGCATCAGATGAAGAAACAGGTGAGATTTGCACGTAGCTCAGTCTTTTCTTTATCTGCACACACATGTCGTGGTACTCTGAGTTGTCGGTGTATTTGAGCTGAATTTTGCTGTATTGACGTTGATCCTCGATCGATGTGTGCGCAACAGGTCGTAGATTTAGAAAACAGTCTGGAAGTGACTCGAATGGAGCTGGGAAAACTGCGCGCTCACCACGACGAGGAAGACGAGCGAGCTCGCGGTCGGGAACAGGAGCTGCTCGTTCGTTTGGAGGAGGCTCGCTGCCGCGAACGAAAGCTCGAGGACCAGAAGCACAATTTGGAGGTGTGCTTGGCCGACGCGTCGCAGCAGTTGCAGGAGCTCAAGGCTCGTCTGGGCGGTTCCGAGGGCCGAGTCCGAGCTCTAGACGCTCAGCTCTCCCAGCTGGACGCTCACAAGAAGGAGCTCGAGCAAAAACTTAGCAGTATCGTTTTGATACTCAGGCGCATCGCTGGTATTCAATTCGATGGCTCCGTCAGTATGCCCTTCAAAGTCAGCCCACAACAAACGAGGCGCTTTAGTCCTGCGAGAGGTGGGTGCATCGAAGTACGTCATGCGAGTCGAATTACATTTGCTTTCTTCCATTCAGTTCAAGAGCCAGCGGATGGAAATCGCGAAGTCATCCTGGACGTGGATCCCGAGGCAGTCCGAAGGGGTGTCAAAGCTCTCATGCAACAAGTTGCTCAAATCGAACGTGAAAGAGTGAGTGAAGGAGCGAGGAAGAGGAAAAAGTCCCAGTCACGTTATTAAAAATCAATGCTTGTTCGCAGGACGACTGCAAAACGGAATTGAGCAGCACGCGGAAGCAGCTCTTGGAAGCTCAGGAGAATCAGATGAAGATCGACTCGAAGCTGAGCTCCCTCGTGGCGAGCATGAGATCCTTGCAAGACGAAAAGAACTCCATGGAGACGAAGCTCATGCAAAAGAGCACGCTTTTGCAGCAACAGGTAACGGGCACGATTAGCCGAATTACATACGATTTTTAAGACGATAACCGTTATCGTTCGCAGACGGAAAAATTGCAAGACAAAACGAGCGAGTGCGATCGTTTCCGGGAGAGAGTCATGAGCCTCGAGCTGGCGGTGAGCGGCAACTGCGATGAAAAAACCATGTTCGAAGTAAGCCAAATCGTGCGCAATGCACAAAATTGACTCGCGCACGCTGACGTTTGAACGCATTTCAGGATAAAATAGAAAAGCTGAAGCAGATGGTGAACAAGCTGGAAAACGACAAACGCATGATCAAAGAGGAGCTGAGCAAGAGCGAGAATCGCGCCACCCAAATGGAAGTGCACAGAATGTCGCTGGAGGGCGATCTGCAGCGCTTGCAAATGATCATACAAGAGAAGGAGAGCAACATTCAGAAATTGCAAGATCGCTGCGACACGCAGGCGCGAACCATCACGACTCTGGAAGAACGATGCAGCTCCCTCAAGAGCACCGTCGAGCAGATGAACCGCTCCTTGGAGTCGGCTGCGAGCGCCGAGAGCGACATGAAATGCGAGATCAATCAATTGCACAGGAGCCTCATCGAATTTAACGCGCACTCTCAAAGCGATACGGAAAAAATGAAGCAGGTAACGTATTGCTTTTGTCGGGTAAGTTTAATGGCAATCATGGAAATTGGTTCGGTGACCGCACTGTCTTGGAATTGAATTGGACACTTTTGATATATAAATCGTGCACAAATAACGAGGAGGATATAATGATAAAAAAGACGATTCGATCCAACAGCTCCAGAAGCAACTATCGACGACGGAAAGCGAGCGTCGGGTATTGGCCGAGCGATTGGAAAACGTCCAGTCGAGCCTGTGCGAGCTGCGTCACGCCAATCAGATGCTCAGCGATCAGAACGCGCGGCTCCAAAACGAGGTGTCCAACAGCGAGGTGTTGCGCTCGGGCCTCGAGGCCCAATTGAGACTGTCCAGCTGGCCGAGCGATTCCCGAGGCGCTGCTTGCTCGGGAGGAGCCGCCAACTACTCCGACAACAAAGATCACGAGGAAATTACGCGTCAGTTGCAGCAGCTGCAACGCGAGAGAAGCGAGCTCAAAACCAAGCTCGATCTTCTCACCGACAAGGTAATAATTACGTGTAAGCGTACGAGTCGGAAACTTTATCGAGGAGAGATATCGCATGCGCAGGTAAAAGGCCTGGAGAACGACAAGCGCAACTTGGAGCGTCAGGTGTCGTCGTCGCGAATGCGCAGCAAGAGCTACGAGCGGCCGGAAAAGATTCTCACGAGCGAGCTGTCGATCGAGCAGTCGCTCAACAACGATCAATTGGAGCAGGAGAATCGCGAGCTTAGAGCCAAAGTGCGACGCCTGGAAAAGCAATTGGCCGATCGCGAGGCCGAGATAAGCCGATTGAAGGCTCAGGTGCACTCGAGCTCGATGCTCGAGCTGACGACTCGCGACAGAAGCCACTGCGAGCTGGAAAGGTCGCGAGCCGCTCAACTCCAGGCGGAAAAGCTGCTCGAGGCTCGGGAGCAGAGCCACAGGCAGCAGGTCATCCGTTTGGAGAGTCAGGTAAATAATACATCCTATTCATTGAATTTCAAGTTCGCAGCATTGAGAGCCATTTATGCCATCCGACAGATCCACGCGTTGCGCGAGCAGCTGAATCAGGAGATCAAGCGACGTCAGTTGTACGTGCTCAGGTACTTTCTTGCTCTTTCTCGCACCGTGACGCATCGAGCTCGACATAAACTAAGCTTTTTTTTGCTTTCGCAGGAGTTCCCGAGCGGGCCGCGAGATGCAGCAGATACGTCAGGCTCTGGGGGACTCGTTGCGGACCGTGTCGCAGGACCCGTCGCTGGACGCCGTCCTGCTGGAGCACGAGGCGCGCAAACTCGACTGCACCATGGCGACGACGGCGAGTCTGCCGGCCTCGTTCAGTCTGCCGCTGCCGTCCTCGACGTCCATGTCCTTGGAGCGAGCCAGATCACCGCTGCCTTAGATGTGCCGCCACGAGCCTTTATGATTAGCCGCGTATATATGTATAACATAGCTGTGATTACTCTTCTCACGCACACCTCCTCCACTTTTATACCAAAACGTACCTTTTGTATTGAATAACAGTCTTGTGCGTGTACATACATATTTAGATCCCAGATCATTCACGAGCTATTTTGTTATGTGTTTCTCGGCCTGCGCTCACAAGTAAACGTACGTTTATAATTATTGTGCGAGTAGCTAATCATCGGCGTTACTCAGCTTAACGTCGGACGACGTCTACGGGATGGATATTTAATTGTATTAGGGAACATTCGTAGAGTATTAAATACGTTATAATTCTAGTCAAGCGTAGATTGCATAATGCCACACGCGTTCTTCGTTACATGAATAATTTATCAAGCTCGGATACATTTAGTGATTTTTATGATCGCGTCGCGAGCACGAAACGTTGTGGACGTTGGCGCGCGAGGCGCGAAAAGAATCACGAATGAACTGTGTCGATTCTCTGGGCTTTGAGAATAAATCGGACATGTACAGTTCAAGCGGGCGCGCACACGATCCGGCAACTCGTTCTCTTTGTTGTCTCTTAAAATTGTAGATTTATTAGAAAAGTATAAGCACGCAATGCATGCACGCGGGCGCGCGCGTCGCGAGTAGTGCTTACATATAGTGCAGCAAACACGTGCGCGCCGATCGCGACGATTAGTCAGCAGAAAATCCTCTGTGTACAGTAGATACTCGCAAATATATGATCTCATCCGTAAAAATATACGCGTTGTAGACCGCAGAAAATAGAAGAAAATCGCAGAAAACGGCGTGCCCATTACGAGAAGCTATTCTATGAGCAAATCGACAGCTATTATTGTAGGTGCATGAGGTATACTACACACACTACGTAGCCAACTAGTCTGAAAAGCTAAAACCTACTTTCAGCCCGTTTTGGCTTTTTCTAAAGCTCATTATGTATGATTAACCTTCTTGTATAATGTATATCAACTGTGTCGAGCTCGTTTCATGTAATGTATATCGCAATAAAATACATCTTTTCGTTGTTTTTTCGTCAAACGAGTCAAGCAGCGTTTCATTTTCTGTCTTCGTGTGTAAATATACCCGTAGTAAACAAACACAAAGTGAGAGAAACAAAGAGAAGAGAGAGAAAACTCGAGCAAACTTACATCTATATATAAATTGGGAGGAATTAGTCAGCGAGACTCGAATAAAGAGAGGAATAACGATGACGGCATTTGTAAGTACTCCCACGAGCGAAGGCGCGCGGGGGCATGGTCCAACTAGTGTTGGCGAATTAGTGGCATATTTTTCATACCGATCGTTATTTCGATCGAAGGGAAGCGCAAGCGATTCCACGTACAGCGAGTCGAGAGATGGATCCAAATTTAGTACATCGGACGCTGCGCAACGCGTCGCACCTGATGATCGCGGTACGTCGTCGATACCGATCTTTGACCCTGACACTGCGCGCCGCGAAAGTGCCCACGCGCTCGCACGTCCGTCCCTTTATTTATTCTCCGCGATTGTATATTTTGCTCGAGATCGATGTGGATCAAGGACACGGGCTAATTAGCCTGGGGGGTCAGCGAAAGTGTCCCACTGTCCCAGAAACGTCGCGGCTCCATGACTTTTCTTCAAATAATCAAACTTTGACTCGTACGCGTTTGTTGTGTTTCGCCGGGGGGCTATCGCAGGGCTAGTTTGGCTCGGCTCGGGCTCGGCATCGAGTAAGCAAGACGCCGAGCTTATATCGCGTCGGTCGCTTTGCGCCATAAACATAGCCTGGCCAAAAATAAAATAGCCTAGCGCAACGCACACGGCAGAGCGAGCGAGCGAGCAAATACGAGCGAACGAGCGGCTTTTGCGCCTTGCTCCGCGTGGGCGTCATCACGCTCTCCGTGCGCATTTCCAGCTCGAGAGAGCATGTATATAAATGTAATAGTCGCCGATTTCGTCATCAATTGAGAATTAAATCAAAAAGCCAGCCACACGAGCTATCTACATAATATTTCGTAAATAAGACTATATGGGGACATGGCTGATCGCGTAGTTCTATAATGTATACTGGTAATGTGGCTGGCTACTGGTTAAAAAATCGGAAATCCGCATGAAATTTTACGCTAATTAATGCAGGAACAACAAATCGCTCGTGCGGTCGTTCGTGCCCGAGCAAGGCCGTCAGCTGGCGAAAATGAGAAAAGGTGATGTGATCCGTGTCTCTTTCTCTCTCTCGGTGCTCGCTCAATAATGCGTATAGAGAGCGCGTAGGCGGAGGAGAGACAGGAACACTCTATCTCCGGTGCTATGGCGAGCGCGAGCCGAAAGAGCGACTGGCGACTGGCGACGGCGGCACGCGACTCCGTGGAGTAGGGCAGCCAGCCACTGTAAGAGCCGTGTGTATATGCTGCCTTATAATACGTACGCCTGCCTCGGCTCGAGTGTATGCGTGCGGACTTGGCGAACGTCGACTTTTCGCCGCGCCGTCCGATAGAAGCACCCATATAGACTCTCGCAGTCGCGGCACTTTCTGATAGTCGCCGTCCAGACCTGCTGCGGATCGCATCCCCGGAGAGCTGACACTTTCTCGCGCACTCGGCGTACACGCGACGTGTTTCTTGTTACAGTTCTTCTTGCTACGGGTTTGTTGTTTTTTTTTTACATTTCCCTGTGTGTTTTTCTGTGCGTAAGAGGTGCCGTGCGACAGTTCAGTGCCGTCTGCAGTGTGTACCAGAAATCAGTGCGTCAAGTTACCGCCGGCTCGATGACACTCGAGCTTTTTGCACAGTGACCGCACCTCCGAGAGGATTTTTCCTTTCTCCCGCACGTCTCGACCATTCGTGCACAGGTGATTATTTTTTCTCGTCTCGCTCTTACTCGAGTCTAGATCGTGTAAACGTGCTCTGTTTTTGTGCAAAGTAAACTTTTAACATAGCCGAGACTGCTCCAAAATTCATTTATAGAATTTACGCGGCGTTCGCATGAACATCGAGTCCGTAGAATAATCTTGATTCGCAGTGAAAGCTTTACTTTATCGACGCTTCTGCGGAGGAAAAAATTGCGGAATCGGTCGGGGAAAAAAGCTGTGAATTACGGAGGAAATAAGTTGAGAAAAACAAACAGAGCGTGCGCTGCATATTCACAATAGGTTGGCTCGCTTTGGCCGAAGCCAACGGCGGCGAGTTACTCGCAGCAGCTCTTTATTAGCTTTAGTGGAGTCAAAAATAACTTGTTCGAGTCTTCTTTAAAGTTTCTTCGCTCCTCGGCGCCGTCGCACGGGGGCAATTGTTGTTATGATTATGGTAGTGCGTTCCGTCGCGCGCCGCGACCTTGTAACGATTCGACGCTCGCAACCGAGCGAGTCTCTCTCGCACTCATATACGCTCGTATATACGCCGCAGCGAAACGCCGATCGGAGCGCGCGCAAAACGTCCAGTGGTTCCAGTTTTGCACCTATAGTTGCGTGTACTTGCAATGGTATTCGTATGCGCACGCGAGAGCATTGCTATTCGAGCGAGCCGTTGTGACACAGAGAGGCACAGAGAGCACGCGCGCAGTGCTAAAATAAAACGAGCTCGTTGCTGCCTGCCTCTCATCTCTGTATAAACGCGTCTCTCTCTCTGTACGCGCGTGTGTGTATATGGAAATCATTATGTAGTAATTACTTATATATATTTGAGCGACGCTTGACTCAGACTCCGAGAGGCAGATAAAAGTCGGTCAAGTTTGTGTAATGATCGATCTGAAAAAAAAAGACAACAACGACGACGACGACGACAAAAAAAATTAAAAAAGGCTCGATTATCTCGTCTTTCGTACGTTCTCGAGCTGTTTATTGAACGTTCGTCGTCTATATGATATACAAGAGATGCACGCAATTATACGATATTCTCTAAACGTATTCTTGGCAATTGCGAAACTCCAGATTTGAACAGAGGCGCGCGTGGAGAGCTCCACGTCGTCGTTGGCGCATCGAGCTCGAAATAGGCGGGCAAACTCGATCTTTCGCGCACGAGCGCGCCTCCGCTCTGTTTATCTTCCTCGGATTTTAAATTAAGAAAGTCGCCTATTATTTAATTGCAGCCTGAAACGAGAAGCAACAGTAGCAACAGGAGATATTGAATTTCTTTCGAAAGCCTTGAGAAGTAATTCCAATTGTCACAATGGCCAGCAGTACTCTGAATCGGAAAACAATGAACAGCAGCCACCACTCGTCGTACTCGTCCACCTCGGCCAGCAACCTCGACAACAATTTAGGTATGACATGCTTCGTCGTGCTATCGCTCTATCCTTCTCTTGAGACGCATTTCTAATTCTCCCGCGAAAATTTCCCAAATTCTTTGCAGCTCTTGCACACCTCTCTTCCGATCATTATAAAGCATGACGCATACATAAATCAATAATTGGACCAGCAGAATAAAGCGATCATCGCATTTTCAGCGCAGTGTTGATTAACGATCAAACTAACCGATTAACTCATCATCTTTACATACCATCTTAGATAAAGCTAACTCTATGTTTACTTTAACCAAATTTCCACAAGATCCCTTAATTCGCTCGGTAATGAACGTTGCACAAAAAACAGATGCCTTACTCGACGATCTTCAAACGAGCATATCTCCGAGCAAAAACGACACTCTGCCTCGTTCCCATCACTATCAGCAGCAGCAACAACAACACAAGCAACAACAGTACCAGACATCGTCTCGTACAGTCGATCGATCCAACAGTCTCAGCAGGTAATTGTCTCGAATTAAAAAAATAACGATCGATCTTTGCCCGTAATAATAATAAATGCACCGTAAACAATTAGAAAATCGCCAATGAGATCAGCATCGCCGGCAATGAGGTCGATGTCACCCTCGCAGTCATCGGGAGGCGGCCGCACGAGGACGATCGAAAAGTACGTGAGCACAGGTCCGGCGGGCACACCTTCTGGAATTCCCGGCCTTGAGATGCTCGACGAGGAGCTCAAAGATGTAAGTAGATAGGCGCGCTTTATGAGCGGCGCATACATCGACACATCGAGCCTCGTTATAACACATGTCTCGAAAAATTTTACACTCATTAAAAAGGTATCCATCGAAGGAGATCGCGAAAGAAAAAAGAGAGTAACTCGCGCGGGGCACGCATGAAACTTTTGCACAGCTCGATCCGCCGTATAAGGTAGCTCTCACTCTCTCGCGCGTGTATTATGAAGCGCGTGGTCGGCTCCTACACGCGCTTGTGTACAAAGTTGTCTCTTACTCTTTTTTTTTCACCTCTCTCTCTTTTTCTCTCTCTTTCTCTCTCTCTTTCTCTTTCTCGCTCGCTTGGCGCGTGACACCCACAGACGCGCGCGAACGTACCATTCAAGTCGCGCATCACACTCACATGCATGCGTGTAATTTCCAATCGACTCGACAGTCGACTTTCCGTTGCCGATCTTACTGGATACCGTGTGCATATCTGAAAAGTATCAAAGCCGATTTTCCGATATGGCGCGAGATAGAGTCATCAAAGTGGAAACGGTAGATATTCTTTGCAAATAAATCTTTATTACGGAGGCATGATAAGTGTGCCCGAGTGTATACGAGAGTGTTGCATTAATTTTTTAACAAGTGCATAATTGCATCGCGATAAACTCGTCTCGTTTAATTGCTATACGCTCGCTTTTTACGATCTCGATGATACCTCTCTGTGCTACCGGATGCTCACGACTATAGTTTATTGAGCGTACAACCGAACGATATGCCATTTTTTGCCCGCTAAACTTGAAAATTGTATACAACGAGCTCGTTCCAACTAGATTAAAAGCTTGAATTATCGTGTTTATCAATTTTTTCGACTCAATACATCATCGTTTGACAGAAAATTCTGCTCCGACGTAAACATAAATTAAAAATACCCCGAAACTCAATAATGCTTCGAGCGTCACAAACGCTTTTCTGTTGGCCGTGAGTAAATCGACTCGGGTTTTCGTTCGTTTATTAAGCACTGGCTGAATAACACGTTTCGAAATAACCATTGCTCTGCAATAATTTTTCAAGCCCCGACAAACGTATAAATAAACCACCTTAATTTTCATAACTCCTCGAGGCAAAATAAAGAACATTGAAAACAAAGCGTGCTCCGAACTGAATCAAGTGTTTACGATACTATCTCAAAAACTCGATATTTTTTCTGTTTTATACCGAGTGTGATATTTTCCGAAAATCCATGGCAGTCGACGCCGACGCGGTAGCATCTCTCGAAAATAGAACTGTGAACTTGCTTCTAAACTTAGCGTCCGATGCATAATATTGCATTTCCAATGTATTTCCGCCAGTTGCCGAGTGATATTATTCGCGAAAGAAGAAAAAATTGACAAATGACGAAAATAAATAATGAATCGCGAAATCGAACGGAAGTAGGAGCGATTCTTAACGATAAGCGGAAGTTCGTCAACCTTGATCGTCGCCATTGAGCAACGATAATGATCGAGTCGAATTTCATGCGCTCTCGTGCTCACCAAAGTTTCTGTATTCGATCCGCAGGTTCAACCAGGTCAGAGCAAGACGGTAGCCTACAAGCAGGTCTCCTACCACTACGACAAGCAGCAGGAAGGACAAAATCTCGGTAAGTGAAAATGCGGCCTTTTACGGGAATGCGGCGACCTTGAGCCGAGCAGTAACAGCACATTTGCGAGTGCAGAAGCTGTTGCTGCTGCTGCTGCTCGAGATCGCGTCACGCATCTAGTTCCCTTTTTATTTATAAAATTTTGCTGTTTTCGCAGAATCTTGGTCGAAGAGCGACAAGCAATTCAGTAGGAATGACGCCTCCATCGCGTAAGTATCTCTCACAAAAGTCTATACACACACAACATCTCGCGCTTATCCTTGCAACCTATGCATATGCACTCTCTATCTCTATAAAAGATCGTCGCGGGAATGCAACACTCCTACGCGGTTTGTGTCGGTTTTCTCTCCCTCTCTCTCTTCATCTCCGCGCCGCTGGCTATTATAGATTCCAGTGCGATTAAAATATTCAATTCGTTTGTTGCTTGTTGTTGTTATATTCAGGGTGAAGCGATCCATTATGATGTAGTCGATGATCTCAATGGTAGCTTAAGAATGAATGAATCGAGGCGAAATTTATGCTCGTTCCATCATATTCTATATTTAAACGCTCCGTGCGTGTGATCGCAATTATAAGTGGTATTGTGAGCTTCGACCATCCTCACCGACTTCTTTCATTTTCTTTCATTTACATTTTTTCTTCACTTTTTTTAATGCAAATCGTTTCGAGGCAATTATGGCTAATTTACCTCAAAGTGCGACGTTGATTCACATGGAACCCAAATTTGCTTTTTCCGTTCTGACACTTTGCCAGTGTACGTAAATATCGGTATCGGGTTACAGCGCGTTTAAAGTCAAGCGATTTTGCATATATCATGCATGCAGTACCGACGTTTGAAAGACAAAAAAATTAACTCGCAACGTCAGAGCCATAAAGTGTCGCCGATTCATACGCGAAGAAAAGCGCAAAAAACGTCGGCTACGGCGAAGAAACAAACTCGGGCGCAGCACACACTCGTCTCGTTACGCAAACTTTTCATTAGCCATAAAAAACATAGCTTTTCATCCGTCGCTAATTTAGCGCCAAACATATTATATCTAAAGCGTTTATCTCTCGGCGGCTGCAGCAGCTCCGTTTCTCGCGCGCGAATGCGCACAAGTGCGCGTATGGCACCGTCTAATTAGTATGTATGACTTACGGCGCGACGCGACCTTGAAAAATCGAATGAAAGATCGGCGCTCGTAAAAGTCGGTCAGCTTCGGTCAGAGCGCTTACGTCATATCCCTTGAAATCGAATCGCCGAAATAAAAAAGAAAAGACGCGTATACAATAAAAGTCAAGTCAGCGGATGTGCCCGCGAGGAGCCCAACCTTTTGCTCCGGTATACGCGCAGCAATTGCAGGCGCATTAATAATAATTAATGAAAACGCGTTTCAGCGACGACTTCAGCCAACGTACGTTCGAACGATCTAGCTCGAGGTCGCGCGACAGTCCCGACTTTGCGAGAAATCAGCATCAGCAGCAGCATCAAAACAAGGAAATAGTGAGTCTTTTTACATAAAAATATATGATGCATCGCCATAGCCAAATTGGGCATCCGATCAAGGATGGTCAATGCCTTATTCGTATAAATGATCGCTTACTCAAAGTAAACCTCTCATTTGTTCGCGAGCAGATCTACAAGGCGGACGTGTCGACGAAAACGATACCGGCGCCACTGCACAGGACAGCTTCCGAGTCGAGATCCGAGCGCGACTTTAAATACCTCAAGGAGACCAGTGAGTGCTTTCCCCATTAATCGATCGCGAGTTTAATCAGCCCCCAATTTGATAACGATTTTCTTGGGTGAACAGGCGCGAGAAGCGAGCCCAGTCCAGCTCTGTCGCGCAAGAACCTGCAGAAGAGCGAGCAGCACGCGACCAGCGAGGAGCTGCGCAACGTCGAGTACTTGCCACCGAACCTAGCCCCGGGCCCCAACACCAAGGTCACCACCACCATCAAGACTTACACGTACGAGCTGCCCGGAGCGCCGGAGAACTACCTGCCGCCCTCGAGCACGACCACGAGCGTCACGAAGAACGTGAACGTCGACAAGGCCGTGAGCTACACCGTGCCCAAGTCCCAGGAGCAGAGCCAGACCAGTGAAAAGGCCGTGAGGTACCACGTGGAGGAGCAACGCTACGTGCCGCCCGCAGCGGTTCCTCAGCAGAGCAACAGCAGCAGCGAAAGATCCGTCAAGTACCAGGTGGAGGAGCAGCGCTACGTGCCCCCGGTAGCCAGTCCCCAGATCGGCAACAACAGCGAAAAAGCCATGAGGTACCAGCAGGTCGAGGAGCAGCGCTTCGTCTCGCCGCCCGTGGTCAGCAGCCAGCAGAGCAGCAGCAGCAAGGAGCAGAAGATCATGAAGTCGTACCACGTGGAGGAGCAGCGCTACGTGCCACCGCCGAGCCAGCACAGCACGAGCAGCGAGAAGGCCGTCAGGTACCACGTGGAGGAGCAGAGGTACGTGCCGCCCTCGACGCCGGTCATGCAGCACAGCAGCAGCAACACGAGCGAGAGGCGCTACCACCTCGAGGAGCAGACGAGCCCCAGGTACGTCGCGGCCAGCCCGACCCCCGTCAGCAAGAGCAGCCACCACGAGGAGAAGATGTTCGTCGAGCGCCGCGGCTACCGTCAGGCCTCGCCCCAGCCCCAGCCCCAGCCCCTCAGCCAGCAGAGCACCCTCAACCGGAGCGAGAGGTACGTCCAGCAGAGCCGCGACTACCCCGACCACGTGTCGAACCAGCGCCAGGAGCGAGTCGTCTACTCGTCCGAGCGCGCCACCAGCCCCGTCCAGAGCAGTCTGCACAACAGCAGCAAGCAGCAGCAGCACTTCGAGGAGCAGCACTACTCGACCAGCTCGAGGCCACCCAAGCCCGCTGCCAACTACGAGTCCAGCAACAATGCCCACTTTTACAAGTACGACGAGCAGATCATCGGCACCAGGCCCTTCCCGACGAGCGAGCGACCGGCCAGTCCCCGTCAGCAGCCACCGAGGCGCATCGAGGACCTCATGGCCTCCTTCGATTCCGAGGTCAGTCTGCAGCTTCTTCTTTTTTTTTCCATTAGCTCGTTGTACTCTTACTCTTATTCGCGATCGCTTACCCAACTGTCCGGCTTACCCACAGGAGATGCATCATCAACAGCAGCAACACCATCAAGAGGTCGTCGAGAAAAGGGAGACCTTCCACAGCAAAAACGGACACATCACCAAGGAGGTGGAATACATCAAACACTCGCCGTCGAACGGCACCTCGACCATGAGAAGCAGCAGCAAGAGCGTCGCCGGACCTCCGGTCTACTATCCGCCGGGCTCAGCCGAATTCGCCAAGAAGGAAGAAGCCATGGCCAAGAACGGCGTAAGTTACTCATCCGAAATGATATCACGTCGAGTAGAAGTTGTCAATCGACGTTTGTAAAAACACGTATTCTCATTTTGTTGCTCGCAGAGCGAATGGACTAAGGAAAAGGCAGCTTACGAGCACGGATCGGCCGAGAACACCAAGAAGAAGGACAAGTCGAAAAAGAAAGTCGTGCCGGTCTGTCTACCTCTCTGTTGCGCATTGCCATGCGTCATCATGTAGACCAATTATAATTACACCATGACCTTTCAATCTTGATCGCTTATTTATACATCTTTATCAGCACTTTTACATTTTTGTTATACCTGTATCTCTTAATGACCGTATCATGAAGTCTCTCTATAATTCTTCGTATGCCATACATACAAATTTTAGTTCTTAATCAGCAGGAAATCTTAGTTTAGTACTGTGTCATTTTATTATTAAATCTAGTTTTAATTACTATACCAGGTTTCTTTTCTTATAGCAGTTGAACCTGTCATTTTATATAGTTCAATAACATTAAGTGTCTATACGTGTATCAGTTCATGTCTTATTACTCAGTTGACATTCTACATCATTTATTTAATTTATCTACTATTCAAAAATAACTTTTGCATAAGGATGTTGACTTGCGGTGTTGTTTTGTTAACAATAACTGTGCTATTTGTAATAAAATATTTTTTGTTTATTACAATAAGATATTAATACGTAAGACAAGGTTTACCTAGTTTATAGAATCTTGAATAATGTACATATAGAAACAAAAAGATAATAATAAATACTATCATACAATGTACTTGACCCCTTCACTGTATTCACATCAATACATTTATAACTGTTATTCTCTATACGATCACAAATTTTTTTTATTACCAAAATTATCTAAGGAATTAGCTATCTAAAGTTAACTATAATTATAAATTGCATAAACAGCAACAACACAAAACAGCGTATCCTGCAATAAAACACAAGTTGTTAATTAATCGTATCATTCATTGGTAAAAATTTGAGAGAAAAATTCATCTTACATTATTATAACTATCATGGGCATACGTGTCCGTTTCTGCATCCCAAATACATCTTGTCCCAACTTTCATGCCTGCACCATTTTTACTTCCGATAATGGCATTAACTATAAATTTGTACTTTTTGCAATCTAATTCTGAAAATAAAAATTAAAGTGAATAATTTTGAAATAAATCAATAATAAATAAACTGTTGAAACATACTTTTAAGTCTTTCTCTGATTATTTCAGTAATTTTCTTAGCCCAAGATTTGGCTTCTGCTTCGTCGTACTCCTTTTCAGCTAGTTGTTCAAATAGTACATTATGAATTATTTCTTTGGCACTGAGTGGCTTGAATCTGTAGATAATAAAAATTTTAAGTAAAACATAAGCAATGAAAAGCAGAGCTAAGCAGTATAGTACTTACTTATTTTCCAATTTAGGCCTAATCGAATAAACCTCGCACTTTTCTTTAGTTTCATCTTTGGAAGCAGAATCCTCTTTTTCCACTGTATCCACAGCTTGTGGTTTCTCGACAGTTTCCATTTTTTCTGGTACTGGCGAGTTAATAAAAACAAAGCAAAACTTTTGACATATTGTTCAGCCGAGAGTAAAGGTTAGGACGTCCGCTGTTAGGTCGTGTTGTCGCAGCAATATATAACAGTAACAAGTGTAGGTCGTCCTAGCAACAGGTTACACACTCGGCACCAGTATCGATCAATCGTTCATGATATTACACAGGCACAAAGAGAAGCAAAAATGACAGAGAGCAGAGTTTCGCTCGAGCGACTCGATCGGCGTTTGTTTACGGCTCAGTCAGAGCAGCAGACATTCTACTTGACGTCTCGACAAAAGAGCGCGTAAATGACAATCATCCCGAGATTCACGTGTCTGGCGGCGGAGTCATATGTTCATCCGAAGCGCGGCAAAATTCGAACGAGCGCATAGACATCGTGAAGAATGGAGATCCGAGAGTTGGCTATCGATCGCGTGGACAGGATTCTGCGTCGCTTTTCCCGGAAACTCGAGATAGCGGTAATAAATCGACAGTTGACAATTTAGCGACGTCTCGTGATATCGTTCGCAATTGCAGATATCCATCCCAGTGCTGCTGGAGCAAAAAGTTCTCAAGGATTTGTTGTCTCGCAGAGAGTACGTGGCGCTCGTCCGATTGTGCGCGAAAAGTCGAAGCGATGACGACATCGAGTCCTCGTGCGATCACGGTAAGAGAAAGAAAAACAGCCAAATATAGCAGCGAGGATTTATCGCGTAAAACTTTGACCATTGCTGTGTCGCAGGCAAGGCCGTCGTGGCCCACGGAGTCACAAATCACAGGAGCACGAAACTACTCGACTGGGCGGTAGTTTTGGAGGTTTGCCTAATAGATAACGAGCCTATAGCTAAGATCTAATAAATAAACTCGATCCCGCAGAGTCTGAGCCAGCACGAGGATAGGATCTTGGAGTGCATCGACAAGCAGACCTTATCCGAGGATGCGGTCTCGATAATCGATCGGCTCGAACGACTCAGGCAGCTACTCGAATGGCAAATGAAATCAACGCCGCGGCAAGTGAGGGTTCGCAAGATCGATCTACGCAACGCCGTCAGCAGCATCGAAAGCGTCCGGCAACGCATTCAAAGTATTATACATTTTTACGCTCGCTTCGACACGGAAAAGGAAGGTGAAAAATTGTAAGGTAATTTCCATCAGGTTTGGAGGAGGAGTTCGAGGAGGAAACGGCTCAGTACAGGCAGATAGTCGACGACGCGCAAATGGACGTCGATCGATTATCCTCGCAAATCGACAAACTCGCCGAGCAGCATCGATCAAAGCTCCGACACGAAGTGTAAGTAGGCTGCCCCCCCCCCCCTTCGATATACAGATATATTGCGAGTTGACCGCGGGACGGCACATAAACGTATCGTTTCTCGCGATGAAACTTTTATTGCTCGCGCAGACATCATTTCGAGCTGGCGTTGCGTGACTTGAAAGAAGACGCGCTCGGACAAGAGGACAGCTTGGCCAATCAATTGCGCGCCCATCGAGTTATGCTCGACGAGCTCAGGGCGGCCGATTTAACGCAGGAGAATGAGTTGCGCCAGCAATGGTATGCGTATCAATCACTTGTATCAATTCAAACTCGTTGGCCCTTGCAATTGTTTGTTTCGCAGTTTGAGCAAGGAAAAGGCGAACATAGCGGCGAGGAGGGCCTACGACGACGATCTCAGTAAGCTGCACGAGCTCAAAGAGGCACTGGAGAAACAGTTGCATCTCACCGATCAACACTTCGATGCCCTCGAGGTGCTGTGCAGTCTTTCATTGCCTACGTACAAAAAGCACGATGAATCTATAATACAGTTCGATTCGCAGGAGGAATACAGACTCCAAACGGAGCAGTACGAGAGGCTGAAGCGAGAGCGCGAGCTGGCGACGATGCAGGCGTTCGCCGATCGATTGCGCAACTTCGAGAGGCAGCGAGCGGCGAGAATAATTCAGCGCGCCTGGCGCCAACATCTGCAACGAGTGCTCTCAACCAAGAAGAAAAAGCGAGCTCGCAGTCGCAACAAATAGTCATATGTAAAAAATAAAAACAATCATAAAGATTAATACTTGGCTATAAATGCGCAGTAGTGCTTTTGATTGCTTTCGCCGCGTGACATTTTGTATTATTTGTCGAGGCGAGCTGCGTTTAGCAATTAGTAAATGTCAAGCTCTCGCGCCAGTAATTATTCGGGTCGGCCGCAAACGTCGTCGCCGTGTCTATATTGCACACACGACGTCTAATTCGAGCACGTCCTACGCCGAGGCTAACAGCCGCAGCAGATTTTAATTAATTTTCCTTCGCTAGTTATTATACACATAGTAGATATATTATATAAGTTTTGAAAGAAAATTATTATATTCGATAATCGTGCAGGTAGAAGAGCTCGACGAGAGCCACAAGTGCTCCGGGTGTGTCGACCTTTGGGTCAAAAGCCATTTAGAGCGTACTCTCCCGCATCTTTTAGTCGCTGGATTTTCTCTCGGTCGCGCAAGCCGCTCTGTTATAAAAAAGCTTTTGATCTCGAGCCCTCGTGTAAGTAGGTGCGATGTGCACGAGCCAGCTGGCTGTATATCAGCGTATTTTTTACCTCAAAGAGAGAGGGAAAGAGAGCTTAATACAGTGGCAGGGTCTCGCGAAGAATTTGCTTTATTAAAGGTGGCTGCAAGCTCGCTTCGCACGCGCTCCATTATCCTGGCACATTGTTGGCATAACTTTTGCGCGTGTCCGTGCAGGCAGCTACGTATTACGAGCCACGGCATTCGTCGCGAGTTCCTCTCTCTCTCTCTCTCTCTCTCTCTCCCTCCCTCGGGGCTTTTCAATGACACCGGGACGGAAAACTTGCACGGGACTCGTGTGCTCGAGCCGACTTGGAAAGTGCGCGCCGAGTACGGGTCAAGGCGCAGGCAGTGTGTCAGCACCATGAGCAGCCAATAAACAACGTTAGGCTTGCGTTGCTATATGAAAAAAAGCAGCTCGTATATCGCTCGCCTTTAGAGCGTACTGCTCGGCCCCATCCGCATCGAAAATTCACCAAGTTAGGGGTTTCGTTCGGGCGCCTAAGTAGAAGCGAGCGAGCGAGACAAGAAACAAGAGGGAGCTTGGCAATTCAGCTGTACGTGCGCGTCTATAGTTATACATCGAGGGGGGAAAAGCGAAGCGAGCCTCGGCATGCGGAGTCGCTCGGCGGTGCACGAGCCACGACTCACGAGATGATGTCGGAGCACCGGGGAGGTGGGTGGACGCCCGCTGGTCTATACAGAGAGAAGAGAGAGAGAGAGAGAGAGGCGCAAGCGCGGCGTGTCTCGCTTCGCCCGTCGTCGGACTCGGGAGTCGGGAGTGAGGAACTGCGGGAGCGGCGCATCGTCGAGCTGCCAGCTAGTCAGCAGCACAGGCTGCAGCAGCAGTAGTCAGGGACGTCGAGCGAGCGAGCCTGCGACTGGCCAGCTTTTCCCTTCGAGCTTGCGATACTCGCGCGTCAGCTCCCAACTAAGCAATAAGTCGTATTTGCTCGAGCCCATGTGCACGCGATCGGGCTGCTGCTGCCTGCGATCGTTTCCAAAACGGCCCCTACGACGCCACGCAGCAGCGTCAACACGGAGTGTTGTTATTTTTTCATCTGGCCGTAGCTCGAAGCATCGGAGTTTAACAGCACGTGCACCTCGACGTCGTATTTACTCGGACGGGCTCGGAGCAGTGCAGTAATTCGGAGCGAGGAACAATAACAAGGGCAGATTTGGCGTGTCAACGAGGGCTTTTATCGCTCCTAATTGCTTCTCTGCTTGTTTTCTTTTTTCTGTTTGATTTATCCTCGGCCCGAGCGAAAGCTCCGACGCGGGACATAATCCCAGGCCGTAATTGCACGCGCGAGTGTGTGCGTGTGTGTGTGTGCGCGAGTGTGCCAGTGCAAAGTGTGTCCAGGGAAGTTGCGCTGCTCGCAGGACGATGCAGCAGCCCACAGCCACAGGTGGCCCGATTAGTTTTCGAGGATCTCGCGACGGTTAGGCCCCGCTGACTGCTGTATCGCGACTCGATTTTCCATACGCCTCATTTTTCTCAAGGACTGCGTCTGTTCGCGGCAAGGCGCAGCACACTTGGGGCTTGTGTACGCACCTATACACACTCGCACGAAGATCGCACCAACACAGAGCGCCGCGTATTTACAGACACTTGCTGCTGCTGCTCCTACTCGCTGCTCGCCAGAGGCTGTTGTTGAGCACGCGCTTGTGTCTCGTGCGATCCAACATGACGAGCGAAATGACAGTCGACCATCAACAAGCACGCTCGTAAGTTCCTTTTCCGTGCAAGTACATTCCGACAAAAGCCACGTACGCGATTGCATTCTTTTCTTCTTCTTTTTTCTTCTTTTTTTCGTTCCGCGTAATCGTCGCTTCATAGTCTGTAGAGTAATATCCGAGCACGGCCGTAAGTACGCGTGCACTCTCGGCTACCTGCGAGTAAACAAATCGTCGCGCAGCTATTTGTACGTGCGATAACGCGCCGTGAACGTTTTTAATATTTGAGCAGCGAGAAGATGAGAAAAAAAAGCGCAGCTCGCTCAAGGCGCCAAATTAAATATTCACTCGTAATTTAATGCTCTCGTGCTTGTACATTTGTGTGTGTGTGTGTGTGTGTGTCTGTGATCTCATTAAAAACTGATGTGTATGTACGCAAATATACAAGTATACATTTTTAAAAGGGAAAATTTTTCATTCTGTCAAGGGAGCAATAAAGAAGCAAAAGTTTGAAAGAAATACAAGCGAATAGAAGGAAAAAAGGCCACAGATAAGCTCGAAAGGAGAGAAAAGCCGGATCAAAATGAGCGTCAGAATGAAGTTGTCGTTTGTATCGCCCCCGGCCGAGGATCACAATAAGGCTTTTCTCAGCAAAGATTCGACCGACTCGTTGGAAGAGCGCAAAGTCGCCTTCAAGCAGGACAACGAGCTTATGAACGAGACCAATAAATTCGTCAACGAACTGATCGAGCAGGCACAGATCGAGGCTGCCAAACGCGCCGAGCAGGTGAACTTTTTTGCCCTTCCACTTTTCGACCACTCACCTTTTCATCTCTACCCTCTGACCTCTCCTCCAATTAAATATTCGCATTTGACTAAACTCGAGCGCCAATTAAAAAACTTTTTCTCCGTTCTCTATGTTTTTATACGCATCTTGTCTCTTTAATCGAATGATAAAGTTTGCCGCTCTCTTTCTGTTCCTTTTTTTTCATGCTGCTGCTACTGTCGCTGCTGCTGCCAATGGGACACAGACGTCAAAAGCCAACGGAGATGGTAAGCGAGTCGTAGAGTCTTTTTCGTTCACACGCGACGCAAGTAATACTGAAAAAAAATACATGAATAAAACGCTGCAGGTTTCAAGCGACGTAGCAGCCAGACGATAGCGGGCTGGAACAATCGAGCCCGTGGCTTTTGCAATCGCGTCTGGAACGCGGTGGTGCCTTGCTTCAACAACAATGGTAATTCCCGATCATCAACCCAGCACTTAGAGACGCATCACTAAATACTGTCTTGTGATTTATACACACACTTACGCACGTTGCGCTCGGCTGCTTGACCGCATCTATATATATACTATTATTATATATAGAAGACAATCACGCACATAATACGTACATACATTACAGAATACACGTATACACAAACAATACACAGCCACATCTAAGGCACGCTTTCATCGTCATCACTGTTATTGTTAGTATGTTTTGATTCTCTAGACGATTGAACTTTTTGCTGCCTTCGTCTAATCATCATCATTTTCGTAGTTTATTTTGAGGACTGTACACGCATATAACTCTACTTTACTCGAGCATTTCTCTCTCTATTACACAATCTGTGTCTATCCTCTAAGCTATATATACGCAAGTATTTGCATTTTGTGCTCGTAGCTTACGCAGAATGCAATTAATCAGGAGTAATAAGAGTTTTCAATTGGGAACGTTGATAATGCACGTGGCAATTCCATAGAGCAATAAATTGGTCATTAAATAGTACGAGACTTGCTACGACGTAGACAAGTACACGTGTTACTTACAACTCCCACGCGCTTAATCAAATTTTAACATCAACTCGGTTAAAAAATAAATGGACTTTCTGCAATCGATTTGATTTTCCATTTACGAATGCATGCATTCATGCATTCGATGCATAGAACTGTAATGCATCAAATATACATGCATACATTATACATCGAGAAACACACTCTTGTCCGCATTAATATCATCTCAAGAATATGTTATACATGCGGTGCATACCTATATACATAGTATATTTTTGACACGCTTTGAGATGATACATCTTTATAATATATCTTTTTATACATTTATATCATGTGAAACGATGTACAAAAAAGCAATAGATGTTTTTCGATATTATTTCTTTTTCGTTTTGTGCGTAGTTGTATCATTTTTATATCCATAGATAATAAAAGCACGTTTATATGGAATTTTTCATGTAGTTTTTTAGAATTATGATCACGTAGTTGATTGAAACGAAAAATCCAAATATGATAAAATTTTATAGAGTTGCTTGCCTGGACGCAACCGTTGCGCTATCGCTTCACGAGGCCCTAGCAGGTCCCTCGTGTCCCGGACGAGCCAGTCGTCGATCAGACTAATACGGGACAGTACGATAATAGGTACCCATAGGCCAACGACTACCTAATGACACACCTACGACACCGTCTTTTCTTTTCTTCTTTGAAATAAAAAGTAAAAAATAAAATATATATGCATACAAATATGTGGATATATCGACCAATTCTTATATTTTTCGAGAGAAAAGTACAAATGACGACTTTTTTGGAACACGTACAAAAGCTGAGCTTTTTTCTCTCACTCTCGTAACGAAATTGCCGTGTACTTACATGTAATGTCAACCTACTTACCGACGAATACTTCGACTAGTGACCACAGTAGATTTTGTTAGTCAGATACTGTATCGATAAATAAACTTAATGAGAAAAGAATTCAGTATTACGCTCACATCTTTTGTAAGTATATATCTCTTTGACTCCGTTTTTTTCCTCCAATTCTAAAAAGCGAGATGAAACAAAAAAAACAAATCTCGAGAGCCCGTATTAACGTACCAGCATGTAGCAAATAAACTGTGAATTATAAAAGATAATAAAGATAGGTAAGATTAAAATAAATAAATAAATAAAGGCGCTCGAGCAACTGTACGGTTGCAAGCTAGTGACCCGATTCTAAAAAAAAGGATGAAAAATACAAGCATTTCAGCTGCGATGCACACAAATACAATGTAGGTACGAGTAATAATAAATGTGGGGTGTTTAGTGGCTGTTTGAACATACTCATTGCGATTATAAATACACACATGCGAGAGTGAGCTAGGGTCTGGCCGGGAATGAAAGTAATAAAAAAATAATGTATTATTTGATAACGACGATATGTGTCCACAAAAAGTGGATTATAATGAATCTTGCTCTTGCATATTCTTGACATAGCATCCTATATATTGTATGAATAATAAGCAGAACGAGCAGAGTATATAGATATACACACGTAGTCATAAAGAGTATGTGCGTCTCTACGCCGTGTGAGTGAGTCCATGTGTACGTGTGCAGCGCACGAGTGTCTCGGAATATCGATTATTTCCCGCACGAGAGCGAGAGAGCCAGAAAAAGTATACGTGTGTATGTATGCGTGTGTCTGTGTGTGTGTGTGTGTGTGTGTGTGTATGTATATACAAGGGGCCATACACCTCCTTCGTGCACACAGATATATATCTAATACATTGCGCGCCTACCGCGATGTGTATATATGCTTATTGCTGAAAACTGCTGTGTAATCAAAAACGAACACGAAGAGACCTCAATATGCATACATGGTACAAAATATGCATTTGGTGTTGTGCATTCTCGCTCAGCTGACCGACTAACAGTTTTAGCGTCGTTCTTTTTTTGTCGTCTTTATTCGCCATTTGTTTCCACTTGCCATAAATCAACGATTCAACGCATGAAAAACTGCAATAGAAAAGTAATATAGAGAATTACAAAAAAGTCAATACGTAACTTGTATGTGTGCGCAATGCAAACATTCATCTCAACCACTGACCGCTGAATTATCGATGAATTCGAGTATACTCGTGTATTTTTCGTGCAAGCGCGGTACATATTTCATCCTGATCTCGACAAAATACTATAAGCCGATTCGGTTCTTTCAGTCCTCCAATTAGCATTTGGTTTTGTGTACTTTTTAAATTTACCGCAGACTGGACGAGTGCAGCTTTTTTATATGTATATATGATTTTTCTATAAGTTTTTTCTCGCTCTCCATTTTTACCAATTTTTGTAAAATATGCAATATTTAGATATGTATGAATTCGTGGATAAGCTCGAGCAAGAGACGCGCAATGAAAAATAAATAAAAGTATGAATAAATCCAATGACAATCGATACGCAAACAAACTGAGATATGTATTAATCCTCTTGTAACGATGTATATGTCATTTTCTTTTCGTCGCTTATGGATTCATGGAAAATACCAACAAGGAAAAAGCAAAATTTATACTTTCTTCAACAAACGAAGCAATATTATTACGAGAAACGTGGAAAAATTGTGAATTGTTACAATCGATAAATCAATTTTCATACTGGTGCGGTGCGTACCGGTCCTCTGTATTTAGGGTAAATGACTATTTTGTTACTTAATGTCAAAGGAAGTATATATTAATGAACAATAATGATAATTACTGTACGTTATATTATTTTCATAAATGTATAGTCATCATATTAAATGTGCTGTATTTATGCAGAGAAAATAAATACACGGAATGAATAGTTGTACAGTGTATAGCTAAAAAAATATATTTGAAAATTTGAGAAAATCCTACAAAAAAATGACTTGATTATTTTTCAACCCTGCCTACCATCCAAATGATCAATTAAATGAGAATCATTAGTCCGTTGAAGGGCAGTTTGCATCGTCATGGAAACGAAGCCGTATTAACCTATGGCGAGAACACATGTATATAGGGCCAAAGAAATAATCAAATATTCGCATTCTCGAGGATCGGCGAAACATGTATTCCAACCAGTTATTTCGCGAGTCGACGGGTGCGATCGAGTTGAAAAAATTTCTTAGATCCATCGGTTATAAGCGCAAAAATAATGAAGATCTCGACAAAATACTCACGGAATTTTCCATGTTCGACGCACCTCAACAGGTTATCGACTCATCCACGGAGAAATTACTCAGGTATTTAAGCGCTAAAGTTCCCGAGCTTTTGTTTTTCTGTTTGTTTGTTTTTTTACCCCTCGAGAAATACTGTGCTTTATTACAGAAAATCGAAAAATCCCTTGATTGCGCGCATGAAAGAGAAGGAGAGCTTTTTCAAAAAAAACTGTTACACAGTTTTAAAGCGGAGAAGGGAAGAGTTTCGTGATAAGCTAATAGAAATAATAAATCACAAGCACGACGATTGCGACTTGGATAAAGAGGATTGCTCCGTCGAGGAAGTGAACGAAAATTTATTGTTGAGAAATCCCAAATACTATCGTTACTTATCGCACGGAATAGCTGATTCTTACATAAGCCCCCTGGACGACAAAGTTCTCGCTTCTATTTTAGCATTGGTGCCAAAAAAATCGAGAGAGCATTTCGATGAGATTACCCAGTGGCTCGTCGACGAGATCAAAGAAGATTATGTGATGAGCATCAAGAGAGCCACGATCGATTTCGCTCTCGGTTATCACTTAACGAATAACGACTTTTTCGAGGTAGAGTGCAAAAATAATTGTTCGAGCTTGAGAGGATAGCAAGCCTTAATGATTACGTACTCCGTGCAGGTTTTCTTATTAAAATGAATATTTCGCAGAGCCCGAACAAAGTCACCAAAGCCGATAAGATGAATCGGACGAAATTTCAAAAGGTTTGCAAGAGGCTCGAACAATCGCTGGTGCTGTATCATCCTTGCATGAGAAAAGCTCTGAATTTCTGGTTTCGCGAGTTTATGTACAATATGATTGCTTTGAAGTGGAGCTTGATAACGAGCGATATTGAATAACCTTTGTAAACGTCGCTTTCAGATCGACTCGCCAGATCGACAAAGACGCTATGTTATCTCACACTCAAACCTACGATTTGTCCAACTTCCAGTACGACCTAGTGGTGTCGATGAATAACGTCAAAATGCTCCTAGACGAGAAGTGGATAGCCAAAATCAAGAGCATGTTTCACACTGTAAGGCCCTTTGAATATATCAATCGTTTGAATGCGAAATACTTTACTGGCTTTGTAGGCCAAGAAGAGGGGCACTTTGCACTTGAACGACGAAGACAAAGCGAGGAGATTGTTCAATTGTTTAGCGATAATGATGGAGGACCAACTGCGCTATCTCAGCTATCGATCGATCGAAGATTATTTGGAATGCTTATTGAATACAGAGGTACGACGACGGTGTCGTTACGAAAAGTATATCTTGAAAATTCCGACTTTTTTCGACAGATTTCTCCCCTGAATTTCAATGTCTACATGATCGTTCGAAACCAGAATATCATTTTTGAGCCGTCCTTCAAAGCATTCAATAATGTTTTCTGCGATCTTATGGAATCTCTCTTGGACGCCCTTGACGAACACAAACGTATCGATTCCGATTTTTTGCCAAATATACCTAAATGTCAGACCAACTTGAAGGTTGTCTACATCATCCTAATTTACAAGTACAAATAGTAAAAAAATGTCATCGTTTGTGATTTCAGCCAGATATATCGCGAGACACTCTCGACCCGCACAAGAAGAAAATCGAGGCTTTCGTTGAGTATTACAAAATAGAGCCCGAGTTGCAGGTTCAAGCCTTCGATAAGTATGTAACGTTGATCAATAAAGATGAAATAACGTTCGTGAAAAATTTCTTGGCGGAAAGTCCGCCTCGCTCGTTTCAAGAGTTTGCCGAGCTCATCGAAAAATACGACAATTTCGTTAAAAACATCCCTTCGGAATTTGACTCATTGTGTTTCACACGTATTTTCGAGGTTCACAAAGAAGACTTGATTGAATACATTTGTAAAACCGCGACACATTGCAAAAATATGCTTATCAGTCAGATGAACCACGATTATCAGGATAAGTCAAAATTGTAAGCATTTTTGTGAATCAAACGTTGGGTTTCGTAATTTCATTCGATAATTATGCGTTGTGCAGGATCGGAGAGGAGTACCAGAGTATATCCAGCAGAGCCATGAGCGTCCCTCCCAACACGTCGGAGCTCATGGAGCTGAAAGTATTCGTAAAAAAAGCCGAGACGGAATTGTCGGATGAACTGGAGGACAGACTGCGAGAAATAATCAAGTACATCGTGTTTCTCTCGGATTACATGCACCTCAAAGCCGTAGAGATCAAGACCAACAACATGGCTTTCCAATGGTATCATCGGATGCACGGAGTGTTCGAGGAGCACAGGCGAATAATCGAGGGCAAAACGGGCGAATATCAAGCCGCCCTCACGGAGCGCATCAAAAAATTCAATCAGGACTTGGAGGTGTACGTCGATCACAGCGAGGAGATGCAGTACTGGGGTAATATCGACGAGATATTCCGCTACAAAGAGAAAGCCGACAGGTTGGAGGATCGCTTGCAGCAGGCCATGCAGATGATCGACGCTTTCAATCAAGAGGAGCAAATGTTTGGCTGGGAAATATCCCTCTATCCGCTGAGGAAAAAGGTAAGGTATTTTATTCGGTATTTTATTGTAGGAAAATGTAAGGCGAAAAATTCTTGTCGACTCTTTGCAAGCGTAGATCGCCGATAGGCTAGCGCCTTACAAAAAGTTCTACGACGCTGCTTGCGAATTTTTGTCGAGTCACGACAAGTGGATGGGCTCGATGGTCGGCAGCTATGACCCTAATGTAATTGAGTCCGAGTCCGGAACGGCCTATCGATCGATCTACAAGCTCGAGAAGAGCTTTCAAGAGCCGCTGCCACGCAAATTGGCCGAGACGGTGCGGCTCAAGATCGAAGACTTTCGCGAGCACATACCGCTCATTATGACGCTCGGCAATCCGGGCATGAAGGCCAGGCACTGGGAGCAAGTCTCCGAGATCGTCGGCTTCCCCATCAAGATCGACGCCAACATGAGCCTCTCGAAGGTCATCGACTTCGGCCTCGACGATTACGTGCCGAAATTCGAGAACATCTCGGAAGCCGCGACCAAGGAGAGCAACTTGGAGAAGGCATTGCAGAAGATGCACACCGATTGGACCGACATGGAGTTCACGGTGAATCCGTACAGGGACACGGGCACCCACGTGATCGCCGGCGTCGACGACATTCAGCTGCTCCTCGACGATCATCTCACCAAGGCTCAGACGATGAAGAATTCCCTTTACATAAAACCATTCGAAAAGGAGACGCTGTGAGTATCGACCTTGATTTTTTCCCTAGCCGAGGCTTGCCCACTGATCGCAACGTTCGCTCTACGACCCGATCGAACCAAGAGAGTGGGAGGCGACGTTGTACTTGCTGCAGGACATCATCGATTACTGGCTCAAGGTGCAGGCAACTTGGATGTATCTCGAGCCTATTTTCTCCTCTCCGGATATACAGCAGCAGATGCCTGAAGAGGGCCGAAGATTCAGCGCCGTCGATAAGATTTGGAGGGACATAATGTCGAGCGTCGTGCTCGAGCCGAAAGTCATGTCGGTTGTGCAAATCGACAAAATGCTCGATCGACTGAAAAAATCGACCAACCTGCTCGAGCTTATTCAGAAGGGCTTGAACGATTATCTGGAGAAAAAGAGGGTTTATTTTCCCAGATTCTTTTTCTTGTCCAATGACGAATTGCTGGAGATTCTTTCGGAAACTAAGGACCCTACTCGGTAACTTGAGTTGCAATTGGTCACGATTTGTTTGATGAAAAGCGTCGGTTTTTCAGAGTACAACCTCACTTGAAGAAGTGTTTCGAAGGCATCGCAAGGCTCAACTTTACCGAGCAATTGGAAATAACGACTATGATATCTTCGGAAAACGAGCAGGTCACATTGGAGAATATAATCGACACGAATGCAGCCAAGGGCCAGGTGGAAAAATGGCTTGTCGAGCTCGAGGGTCTCATGAAGCACAGCGTTCGAGCAATGGTACAAGCTTTGATCCTTCAATTTTTACTTTAAAATATGAAAACAGTTGCTTTCGATCCAAGGTAATAAGAGCAAAGGATGCCTACCCGAAGAAAGCTAGAAGCGCTTGGGTGCTTGATTGGCCAGGCCAAACAATTCTCTGCATATCGCAGCTTTACTGGACGAAGAACATTACAGTAGCTATGCAAGATACCGAGCGAGGCTTGCTCGATTACGTCGACCAGTGCAATAACGAGCTCGGTGAAATCATTATACTTGTCAGAGGGAAACTTTCGACGCAAAATCGCACAACTCTCGGTAAAAAGCAATGACGATTTCTCGTCTATTTCATCGATTTTAAATCATTTATTTGTCAAAACAGAGGCACTGGTGACGCTCGACGTACACGCCAGAGACGTGCTGGTTGATCTCGCCAAGCTGGGTGTATCCAGCCCCACAGATTTCAATTGGATCTCGCAATTGAGATATTATTGGATGGTTTGTAAATTGCTCGATATTTTTTCAATTTAAATTTCATGCGGACATTTTCACTCAGGACAACGATTTGTTAACCATGATGATAAACGCATTCTTGGCCTACGGCTACGAATATCTGGGTAACTCGCCTCGTCTCGTAATAACGCCTCTGACCGATCGCTGCTACCGCACGCTTTTTGGGGCTCTCAATTTGCATTTGGGTGGCGCACCCGAAGGTCCAGCTGGTACCGGCAAAACCGAGACCACTAAGGATTTGGCCAAAGCAGTCGCAAAACAATGCGTCGTTTTCAATTGCTCCGACGGTCTCGATTATATAGCGCTTGGAAAGTTTTTCAAGGTACGAAAGTTGTACCGGTTGCATCGAACTGCCTCAAAAGCAAAGATTATCGCAGGGTTTGTTAGCGGCGGGTGCCTGGGCTTGCTTCGACGAGTTCAACCGAATCGATCTCGAGGTACTGTCCGTGGTGGCCCAGCAGATCCTAACCATTCAGAGGGCCATCAACTCTACATCGGAAACGATCGTCTTTGAAGGAACCGAGCTGAGGGTCGAACCAAGTTGCGCAATTTTCATTACCATGAATCCGGGTTACGCCGGTAGATCGGAACTGCCGGACAATTTGAAAGCCCTCTTCCGCTCGGTCGCCATGATGGTTCCCAATTACGGCTTGATCGCCGAGATATCCCTGTACTCGTTTGGTTTTTACAGAGCCAGGCCGTTGTCTATAAAAATAGTGACGGCTTACCAACTGTGTTCCGAGCAGCTGTCCACTCAAAGTCATTATGATTACGGTATGAGAGCCGTCAAATCCGTTCTCACAGCCGCTGGTAATTTGAAGCTCAAATATCCCGATGAAAACGAGGACGTGCTCATACTTCGTAGTATACGGGACGTTAATCTACCAAAATTCTTAAATCCTGATGTACCGCTTTTCAATGTAAGAATTGTCTGACTCGCTTTAAAGTAACTCGTTTTAAAATGCCTAAAAAATTCAACTTATTCTCAGGGTATCATGTCTGACCTGTTTCCGGGTGTGGTACTACCGGAACCTGATTATACCGATCTCAATGCATGCGTGCTGGAATGTTGCGAACGCGCCAATATCCAGTGCACTCCCTGGTTCTTGATAAAAATACAACAGATTTACGAGATGATGATTGTCAGGCACGGCTTCATGATCGTTGGCTTGCCTCACGGTGGAAAATCGACCGCTTACAAAATGTTGGCAGCTGCCTTAGAACTGCTCGAAGAAAGAGTAAGCAATTCAAATTTTTTCCTCCTCGATGTCTAAAATATTCTTCATCACTCCATACAGGGACTAATGAACGAAAGAAAAGTTGAGATTATCGTGATTAATCCAAAATCCATCACGATCGGTCAATTGTACGGACAATTCGACCCAGCGTCGCACGAGTGGCAAGACGGAATTCTCGCTGTTAGTTATCGCGCTTTCGCTACTTCGACCAACAACAATCGCAAATGGCTCATTTTCGATGGTCCAATCGATGCCATTTGGATCGAAAACATGAACACCGTGTTGGACGATAACAAAAAGTTATGCCTCATGAGCGGTGAAATCATTCAACTTGCTCCGACGACTAATTTGGTTTTCGAGCCGATGGATTTGGAGGTTGCTTCGCCTGCCACTGTATCGAGATGCGGCATGATTTACATGGAGCCGTCGAGCTTAGGCTGGGAACCATTGCTCATGGCGTGGCTCAACACTACTCCAGAAATAATCAGCGCTTGGTTGAAAAAATTCATGCTCGAATCCTTGTTTTTGAGATTTTGCAAACCTATTTTTTATGTACTTCGACGTTATGGTCTTTCCGTACGTGCTTCAAGTATTTATTCGCAAAAAAGTGAATTTTATTTGTTAATGAAAATATTTTTAGGAAATGTGTCCTATGTCGGATATAAACCTCGTTCAGAGTATAACTTACCTGATGGATTGCTTCCTCGATGATTACAGGAGCGAAGAAATGACCCAAGCGCCGAGTGATTTAGATCTCAGAGCTCAAGTTGAGGTATAAATTTCTATTTTAATTTATAAAATAATCATCAAAGTACATGGAAAAAAATGTCTGTACAGGGGTCTTTCTTTTTCTCGTGTATTTGGGCTATGGGAGGCACTCTGATTGCCGAAGATAGAATTACTTTCAGTCAATTATTCCGTGGTCTATTGGAAAAAGAGTTTCCAGCGGCTCTAAAGGAAAAATTCCATCTCCCAAATCCAATTCCACCACCGCTTAAGCCGTACATATTCATTATGCCTAAAGATGGTTTAGTTTTTGACTACAGATTCATCAAAGAGGTAATCGTGTTTCTGAATCGTATATTTATGATACAATTAGGGCACATTATGAAATATGTAATGGATAATCTAGGGCAAAGGCAAATGGAAATTATGGTCGGACGAGTTGATGAACGCTCCGCCAATACCGCGAGATTTGCCAGTCAATCAAATAATCGTTCCGACTGTCGAGACGATTCGATACACAACATTGTTCCAACTTCTCGTTCAGCATCAGAAACCCGTGCTGTTCGTTGGGCCCACTGGAACGGGAAAATCCGTTTACGTCACGGACTTTCTGCTGAAAAAGAACGATGTGGCGGTGTACAAGCCACTGTTCATCAATTTTTCTGCTCAGACGACGGCCAACCAGACGCAGGACATTATAATGAGCAAGCTAGACAAACGCAGAAAAGGCGTTTATGGTCCCCCAGTCGGTAAACGTTGGGTCATATTTGTCGATGACGTGTCCATGCCGAAAAAAGAAGAGTACGGAGCTCAGCCTGCGATCGAACTTTTGCGACAAATGCTCGATCAATCTCAATGGTAAAACATATTGTATTTTCATGTTGATGGAGTATTATGGCTTGTGCTTAATACGTATTTATGCACGCAGGTACGATCGAAAAGACATAACGGCGTTGAAACTGATAGAGCTGCAATTGATGTGTGCGATGAGTCCACCAGTGAGCGGTGGCAAAGACGTAACCATGAGATTCAAACGACACTTTTTCGTTACCACCATATCGGATTTTTCCGACGACGTGATGATCGCCATTTTCAGTAAAATCATCCTCTGGCATTTGGACACTCGAGGGTTTAGTAAGGAATTCGACCCTTGCATCGATCAAGTTGTCTTAGCTACTCTAGATATTTACAAAAAAAGTCTCAAGTTTTTACTCCCTACACCGATGAAATCCCATTATTTATTCAATTTGAGGGATTTCTCTCGAGTTATACAGGTAAAGTATTATCAAACAGCACCAAATCGTGTACCGAAGCTTTGTCTGGGATTTAGGGAGTTCTTTTGTCCGTGCCCGAGACAATGCCAACTCTGGAAAGCATGAAAAAGCTGTGGGTTCACGAAATCTTGCGAGTCTTCGGCGACCGTTTGGTGGAGCAATCCGACATCGATTGGTTGGTCGGACAAATACGCTCGACTCTCGTCGATAAAATGGAGATTAATCTCAACGATCTTTTGAGCGATCTGAGAGTTGACAAGTCTCAACCCGTACGCATGAATATCGAGTGTTTCGAATAAAAACAAATATTGAAATTTGTATTTTTATCAGGTTGGTGAGACCGAGCTACGGCAATTGGTTTACTGCGACTTTGCCGATCCTAAAGCCGACGTTCGTCTGTACCAAGAGGTGACAGATTTGGAATTGTTGCGCAGCATAGTGGAAAATTACCTGTCGGAATACAACTCGATGACGAAAAAACCCATGAATCTCGTGCTTTTCCGATTCGCGATCGAGCACCTGTCCAAGATCGCTCGAATAATCAAGCAGCCGCGAAGTCATGCCCTTCTCGTGGGCGTCGGTGGCTCCGGCAGACAGTCCTTGACTCGTCTCGCTTCGCACATATGCGATTACGAGGTACACCAGGTCGAGATCACCAAGACATACGGCACGTACGATTGGCACGAGGACATCAAGAAGATACTGCTGAAGACGACGTCGAGCGAGCTGCACTCGACTTTTCTGTTCACCGACTCGCAGATCAAAGAGGAGAGCTTCCTCGAGGACATCAATAACATGCTCAACACCGGCGAGGTGCCGAATCTATTTTCCAACGAGGAGAAGGCCGAGATATGCGAGAAAATGCGGCAAATCGATAGGCAGCGCGAGCGCTCGCTCCAAACGGACGGCAGCACAGTGGCCCTGTTCAATCTGTTCATTCAGATCGCGCGGGACCAGCTGCACATAACGGTATCCATGTCACCGATCGGCGACGCGTTCCGCAATCGCATCAGAACGTTCCCGGCGCTGGTCAACTGCTGCACCATCGATTGGATGCAGCCCTGGCCGGAGGACGCCCTATCGGCCGTGGCGGTCAAGTTCCTCGGCGAGATCGAGCTCACGGAGCTCGAGCGCAGAGCCGCCATCGAAATGTGCCAATATTTCCACGTGTCCACCCAGACTCTCGGCTTCGAGTTTCTCCAACGGCTCGGACGACACACCTACGTCACGCCCACGTCGTACCTCGAGCTGCTCAACACCTTCAAGATCGTGCTGGAGAAGAAGCGCAACGAAATCATGACGAGCAAGCTCCGCTACGAGGGTGGCCTGGGCCGCCTGGACGGCACCCAGCGCGACGTCGCTGTCATGCAGGACACGCTGAAACAGCTGCAGCCCATGCTGGTCACGGCGACGCAGGACGTGCAGAAAATCGTGGCTTTCGTCGAAAAGGAGAGCGCTGACGTCGCCGAGGTCGAGAAAATCGTCAAAATCGACGAGGAGGCTGCGATGGTACGGCTCTTTTTTCCCTCCCAGATAATCCCTACTTTAAGTTATCCGCACTCGTCCGCGTTGTATAGGAAGTAGCAGCCCAAGCCGCCGATATAAAAGCTGAATGCGACGCTAATCTGGAGGAAGCCATGCCAATCCTCAACGAAGCTCAGGCCGCATTGAACACGCTCACTCAGTCGGATATTGCCGTCGTGAAAGCCATGAAAAATCCTCCAGCCGGCGTAAAGCTCGTCATGGAGAGCATTTGTATTTTGAAGGTATACGCACATTTTTTGTTTCGTGAAGAAGAAACATCGTTGCAGAATCGCATTATTTTCCTTTGCTTAGGAAGTAAAACCGGAAAGGATACAACAACCCGATGGCCGAATTATGGAAGACTACTGGAAAGCTTCGCTCAAAGTACTGAGCGACGTGAGATTTTTGGACTCGTTGATCAACTTCGACAAGGACAATATACCGGAAAAAATAATCGATCGCATCAGGCGCGATTTCTTTACCAATGTCAATTTTGATCCGGAAAAAATCAAGAGCGCCTCGACTGCTTGCGAGGGTCTCTGCAAGTGGGTCTACGCCATTTCGGAATACGACAAAGTCGCCAAAGTCATTGCACCGAAGAAAAAAGCTCTGGCCGAAGCCGAGGCCGTTTATAACGCAGCCATGGCAGAGCTCGAAGTCAAGCGGGAACAGCTTCGTCAAGTTCAGGTATGCCATTTCACTTTGATCGATTAATCTGTTACGAGTTACGAGTCGTCGTAATTTCAGTTGAAACTGGCGAATCTGGAAGACGATTTGAAAGCAAGAAAACAAGATTATCAAAATATGATGGACAAAAATACCGAGTGTGAATTGAAATTGAAACGAGCTGAAGAATTAATCGGTGGTCTGGGCGGAGAGTACAACAGATGGTCTGATAGTGCCAAGCAACTTGGAGAAAGGTTTGCATAGACTTTTAAATTACTTGGAATCACTCACTAATGTTTTAATATTTTTTAGGTATTCTCGTTTGACCGGTGACATAATGATAGCGTCAGGTGTGATTGCCTATCTAGGACCGTTCACCACACCGTATCGAGCCAAACAAATCACTGCTTGGGTGGATCTTTGCACTAAACTCAAAGTTGTCTGCACGAGAGATTTTAATTTACGCGATATTCTCGGCGTGCCAATTCTCATAAGAGCTTGGAATATTTTTGGATTGCCCACCGACGCTTTTTCAGTCGACAATGGAATAATCGTCAAGTAATCATTTTTCTCCCGACTACTTTACTGTATATTTGTAAAAAAAAATATCTTCATTGTGCAGAAATGCCAATCGTTGGCCACTGATGATCGATCCCCAAGGGCAAGCCAACAAGTGGGTGAAAAACATGGAAAATGAATTCAATTTAAGTATCATTAAACTGAGTCAAAACGACTATCCGAGAATACTCGAAAATGCCATTCAATTTGGTCAGCCAATACTGTTGGAAAATATTGGAGAGGAGCTCGATGCCTTACTCGAGCCGGTCCTCATGAAGCATACGTTTAGACAAGGCGGTGCTTTGTGCATCAAATTGGGCGATTCTGTTGTCGAGTACCACAATGAGTTCAGGTAATTTTCCCTTCATAGACACGAGTGTGCCATTTTTATAATAACTTTTCCAACGTGACATTTTAGAATGTATATAACGACCAAATTGAGAAATCCACATTATTTGCCAGAGATCGTGGTGAAAGTGACGTTGATAAATTTCATGATAACAGCTAGCGGATTGGAGGATCAGCTGTTGGGTATCGTGGTCGCGAAAGAAAGACCTGACTTGGAAGCGGAGAAAAATTCGTTGATCATTCAAGGAGCGGAAAACAAAAAGTAAGCTGTAATAATTTTGACTTAGCATTAGTTACTCATTCGTCATTACATTATAGATTGCTGAAAGAAACGGAGGACAAAATTTTGGCACTACTCGCAACATCGGAAGGCGACATTTTAGAAGACGAAGAAGCCATTGCCGTGCTTAGCTCTTCCAAAGTACTGAGCAACGAGATTCAAGTGAAACAAGCAGCCGCTGAAATAACGGAAAAAACAATCGATGACACGAGATTAGGCTACTCGCCCATTGCCGTTTACAGTACAGTCTTGTTCTTCACAACGAGTAAGACATTTTTATCAAATAAATCAATATTTTAGAAGAAACTAACAAAATTTATCTACAGCTGATTTAGTGAACATCGACCCAATGTATCAATATTCGTTAAGTTGGTTCGTCAATTTGTTTGAACTGGCGATCGATAATACCGAACAAACTGAAGAAATTGATGCTAGAATTGCTGATTTAAAAAAATACTTCACTCGGTCGTTGTTCGACAACGTATGTCGATCGCTTTTCGAAAAGGATAAACTACTGTTTTCCTTCTTGCTGGTGATCAATTTAATTCGCAATCTGGGTAAACTGTCTCATGTCCTATGGATGTTTATTTTAACTGGAGGAGTCGGATTGGATAATCCGTATAAAAACCCCAGCACATGGTTGCCATCTCAAGCTTGGAACGAACTGTGTCGACTCAACGATATCACTGGTTTTAAGGTCTTTATCGAGCGATGATGATGTTGGTACAATTTACTCAATGATAAAACTTATTGCAGGGATTACGGGAAAATTTTGAGAATAAAATCGACGAGTGGAAAGAAATTTTTGACTCAAAAGAGCCACAGTCAATGAATTTTCCTAAACCATTTCAAAAATTAACACCGTTCCAAAGGATAGCGCTTTTACGATGTATTCGACCAGACAGAATAGTTCCAGCTGTACAGAATTTCGTTGAATGTGAGTTACCAGCTAAAAATAATGTTTCTTCAAGTATTAAGTGTGATTTTATTGACTACAGCTCAACTGGGAGCAGAATACTTGGAACCTCCACCCTTCGATTTGGCTGCACCGTACGCGGACTCGAATTCGTGTACTCCTTTGATATTTATTTTGACCCCCGGCGCCGACCCCATGCAGCTGCTTCTGAAATTTGCCGACGATCAAGGCTTCGGGGCCAACAAGCTGTTTTCTCTGTCTCTCGGTCAAGGTCAAGGACCCATAGCCGTCGAATTGATCAACAACGGCGTCAAGCATGGGCATTGGGTGGTTTTACAGAATTGCCATCTCGCCAAGAGCTGGATGGGTACATTGGAAAAAATAGCCGAAGGCCTCTATCCCGACACGACCCATCCAGATTTCCGACTCTGGCTGACTAGCTACCCAGTCGATCATTTTCCTGTTTCGATACTTCAGAACTCCATCAAAATAACGAACGAGCCTCCCAAAGGTCTTCGCGCCAACATCCTCAAGTCCTACATGAGCGACCCCATCAGCGATTCGGAATTCTTCGAATCTTGCAACCAGAGCGAGACGTTTAAAAAGCTCCTCTACGCTCTGTGCTTCTTTCACGCCAACATTCAAGAACGTCGTAAATTTGGTTCGATCGGTTGGAACACTCCGTACGAATTCAACGAGACGGATTTGAGAATAAGCGTTCTTCAACTGAAAACCTTTTTAAATCAGTACGAAGACATTCAATTTCCAGCGCTGATTTATTTGACCGGAGAGTGCAATTACGGCGGTCGGGTTACCGATGACTGGGACAGACGTACTCTCATGGCGATCCTCAGAACCTTCTACTGCGAGTGAGTTTCAACAATTAATATCTTAGAGAAACTCTTGTAAAAATATGTATGACCATTTGTAGGGAAGTTGTGAAGCAAAAGGTTTACTACGTTGATCCGACGTCCGACATTTATTACATTCCTTTGTTCAAAGAATACGAAGCTTATCTGGCCTACACGCGCAAATTTCCAATCATAACAGAGCCGAGCGTTTTTGGACTGCACGAAAATGCCAACATCGTGAAGGATAATCAAGAAACCGATTTACTATTTTCGTCTTTGTTGCTTACTCAGGTACCTTGTATTATTATTTACCTATAATTTTTTTAATAACTTTACTCATTTTAATATTGGTATCATGCTATCGTATTTCATGTTTAGGATCGTACGGTGAGATGATTTATTTTTTTTTCTTTTTTTATTAATCTAAATTATAGATTTTATAATAAATTATTCTTCGTTTTGTTTATTTTTACTATATCTCTTCAATAATTCAGGACTTGTGGGAAGTAAAGGTGATATATGTAATGGATAAATAATTCAAGTAGCTCAGTGTGCACTCTTATCACGAATATTTCATTATATAGCACGATTTACACGCTTGTTTCCACATCTATCACTGTACATAAATTTAGATCGCAAATTATTCTAATAGGAAAAAAGTAGGGACAGCAGCGGAGAAAAATCGGAAGATGATGTGGTTTACCAAATTACCATTGACATATTGAAAAAGCTTCCAAACAACTTCGATATCCAAGCAGCCGAGGAAAAATATCCGACATCGTACAATCAAAGTATGAATACGGTATTGGTACAGGAAATGGGCCGGTTCAACAAACTTCTTTCGTGCATCAGAAGCAGTCTGATAAATGTTGGACGTGCCATAAAGGGTATAAAAGTAAAATTAACTCGATGGAAAAATTTGTTTGTTTAATTCAATTTCGTTTTCAGGAATCGTTGTGTTATCTTACGAACTCGAACAGGTCTTTACAGCCCTGCTGACCGGCAAAATTCCACGCCTTTGGATGAAAAACTCATACCCGTCACTGAAATCACTTGGAAATTATATCGAAGATTTTTTGGATAGGCTAAACTTTTTACAGGTGCTATATTATATTACAAAAAAAAGTTTCGATTTTAAGGTAATAAGTTATTCTTAATCATTAACAGAAATGGTACGAAGATGGGCCACCAGCTACGTTTTGGTTGTCAGGATTTTATTTTACTCAAGCTTTTTTGACCGGAATCCGTCAGAATTATGCCAGAAAATATCAAATTCCAATCGATTTATTGATTTACGATTTTCACGTAATGAAAGAAACGAAAATAGAGACAGCAGCCGAAGACGGAGTTTACGTTTACGGTCTGTATTTGGACGGGGCCAGATTCGATCGAGAACAAATGGTCATTAACGAGAGCTATCCCAAAGTATTGTTCGACGAAATGCCTTTCGTAAGTTTGATTCAGCATCAAATACTCTTTGCTAATTGGAACGAAAAAATAATTTTTTTGTCGACCCAAGTTGTGGTTGGTACCGCGAAGAAAAGAAGAAATACTGCCGAGACTCACGTTCAGGTGTCCGTTGTATAAGACTAGCGAGAGACGAGGAACTCTGTCGACTACAGGACACTCTACGAACTTTGTGATTGCCATCGAATTGCCGACAAGTCAACCTCCAGATCACTGGATCATACGTGGTGTAGCTATGTTATGTCAACTCAATTAATTAATTGTAATAAATATTAATAAAAAAAAATAAAAACGATAAATTCCTATAAAAAATAAATATTGTATTTTACATTTTCATTTTAACAAACAAACGCATCGTTAAAATTTACTATTATTCCATAACTAGATCTTCGCGTGAGACATTGCCTGGTGCAGGTGCTTGACGAAAATGACGGCATCTATGATAGAACACAATGAACCTCTGTCTGAGTGAATCCGTCTTGTAAATCCACCAAATTCCTACTACTAGCATGACAATGAAGACCGATACGATAATAAATATTGTAGCTGAAAAGGACAATAGTTATGAATCGTAATTATTGTGAGTGGGACGATGAAAAAACTTTACGTACGCCAGTGACTCGTCGTTTCATTGCGAGGAGCATTTCGGCCAGAAGGAGGCCGGATTTTTTCGTTTTCTCGATCCCTGCATACTACATCGGTCTGCCATTCGAATTCGACCGAGCATATGTCCTCCTGCGCAAACAAAAGAAGTTTAAGGGCGATTTTTATCGGTCATTGGTGAATGGGGTTGATTATCAGTGATGTCAACTTACCCCGACGATGACTGGGAGTCCTAGTCCAGCTGTGGCGTTGCATTTCATCACGATTATCGCGGACAGCTTGTTGGACCTCCAGGAGTTGGCGATTTTTACGGCTCTTGCGTTGCGATCGCAGATGCTACCGTTGCTGAAGAACAGCTGGACGGTGCCCGTTGAATAATCCGTCATGACACGGATCTCTCGGCCGTAGTTTTGGCGATAATCGCAGATGAAGGAGCCGCCCGGGCAGTTGCTTCGGTTGAACATGGTGAGGCTGAAGGGCGCCAACTTGTACAGGCGGTGTATATCGGCCTTGTAGTCTTTCAACGGCGACAAATCCCACTCGTCCCCTAAGGTGTTGACGATTTTGTAAGTCGTTTCGTCCAAATCGGCGTGGACGTTGCCGCAACTCCACATGGTCGGCCACTCGAAGTAAGTGATGCAATCGAAGTAGATCGAATATTGCGGGTAGCTCTGAAAATATTCGTTCGTGCGTACGATTCGGCTTCGAGAGAGAGAATAGTTAAAAAATACGCTTACCATGTTGACTTCATGGTCGCAGGTGAAAATGATTCTGGCGGAATAGTTTTGCGTGGGATCCTCGACGCAGGTGTCGCCGTGGACAAAGCCAAGAAGCGGCGTATTGGGGTCGTGGAGCTCCGGCTCGGTGCTCGACGTTCCCAAATTGCCGCTGGCCGCGTCCGTCTTTTTGGGACCGATCGCACACGCGCTCGAGTTCTTGGGGCATCCCGGAGGAGGATTGACGAGTTCCCTGCAGACGTTCAAGTAATAAGTCGTCTCGTTGTGCTCGACCACGTAGTCCTCTAGATCGTTGGTGAGATGACCCAGCGGCAGGCCAAACTTTTTGCTGGTGCAAGGCTTGCGACAAACTAGCGGAGTCGTCCAGAAGATGCGCTGATAGCAGGGATGATCGGACTCCACCTCGAGGCTGCTGTCGCTGGGGCCGCACTTGAACTCGATGCTGGTCCATCGGCGCTGCAGCGGCGAGCACGAGTCGCCGCTCGTGTAGTTGAGATAGGGGCCGGATTTTTTCCAGTAGAGGTGGCTGTTGCCGATGCCGCCCGAGACGCCGGACGACTGGCCCTTGAGGACCTTGCAGACGCCCGAGCCGTCGCTGCAGATGCTCTTGGCGCCGAGGTTGCCGCAGACGGCCATCTCCAACTCGCCGCCGTCGCTCGTCTGCGTCTTGAAGACTTGGCCTCTGAGACTGGTCAAGTCGTACTCGAAGAGGGTCTCGGGGTCGCGGATCGTGCAGGGCCGGGCGAGCTCGCGGCCCGAGGCCTGGCTCAGGATCCACTCGGGGCAGACGTGCGACGAGTACCACATGATCTGGACGAAGCACTGGCCCAGGCCGCTCACGTACTGCGGATGGCTGAGGATCTTCTCGGGGTTGCAGAGGAAGGAGACGACGGTCGTGTAGTTGAGGCTCTCGTTGTAGGGGCAGGGGTCGCCGTCGCTCATGACCCAGCGGATCTCGTGGTCGCTCATGTAGAAGCCGGTGTTGGGCCCGAGCCTGCCCAGACTCCGGTGCACCGGGTTGGCCCCGTCGCTGCGGTCGATGAAGCAGGCCGTGCTCTCGGGGCCGCAGCCGGGCGCCTTGAAGTGGGTGTTGTTCTGCACGAGGGGCCCGCACGCGTTCAGCATGATGGGGCTGTGCTGCCTCGGGCCCGACTCGGCCGTGCTGATCTCGTAATTGTCGTAGTGGTTGCGCAGCATCGACAGGTCGAACTTCTCCTGGCCCTGATAGAACGTGCAGTTGGGTGTCCTGGGCGCGGGGCATGCCTTTATCGTTTGCAGATCGATTATAACGTGGCACGAGTGCTCGAACTACATTGGCAACAGATAGATTTGTGTGTGTGTGTGTGTGTGTATCCACTAACGTATACGCGCGTCTCGAGTCTTTTTTTTTCGTCTCATCTTATTATACGTACGTCAAGATTTACAATGGACAGAGATACTTCGTCTCGGTAATCGTAGTTGCATATGAACTCCAGTTCGACCGTGTAATTTGACTCGGAGTCGCATCGATCGCCCGTGTATTTGAATAAGATTTTTTCGTATCGAGAGTCGACTTCTGGCGGTTCCCTGCCTGTCTCGCGCGCACACAAAATGTAAACATTGCGTAGTAAATAGAGACATCGGCCAGCGCGAGCAATTCAATTAGAGTGTGTAGCAAATTATTACCGAGGCCGATCTCTTCTTGTCCCTCTTGATGCAGGCAAATGGCGTATCCCTTCTCGCCGCGGCAAGGCTTGGCCAGCTCGTCGCAGATGTGCAGTCGCAGCGTCTCGTTCATCGTCTCCGAGAGCATGACCTCCTGATCGTGATTGGCCTGAGAAAACTTGCTAAAGTCAAACGGCATGATGGGATCCTTGGAGAGGCAGTACGAGCCCTTTGTCGAAGACAGTGCCTTCATGTCGTTCCATATTAGCGATCGGAGGGTGATGCGACTGCTCAGCGGCAGACAGATTATGCTCAGTATGACGAAAAACACCGTCAGCTGCTTCGTGCCGAGGACGAAAGGCATTTTTCCGCCTATCGATTGTACGTTTATCGAGGAAAAATCGCGCCGACAGATACGCCCGAGTGCTGTGTTGCTCTCGGATCGAAAACTGACTGGCGCGACTCGATCCTTCGATCGGCTCCCAAATCATTTCACCGCCCCATCTACTCGTTCGAAAGTAATATTTTCGGCGCGAATCGCGCCACAAGATTCGTAAACATAACATAGATCCGTTGAGCCAATTTCCATTCAAATTTTCATTCCAAGCTTTATTCGAATTTTCATTCGAATTTTCTCGCTGCATCGCGATCATCGATCATCAGTGTTTATATCAATTAGTTGGTACATATAAACGTACGCTTATCTATAAATCACGTTACACCATAATGAGGTGTTACAATTATTGGTATGCTTGTACGTAGGCATGGTCATAAAAAAGCCATTTAGACAATCGATGCCGTAATCTAGTCTAGCTTTCAATTTGTAAAAACGGCGGCTATCGCACGAGTGTCGCGCGTTCGATAGCTCACCGCTTCGGAGTATCAAGTATCAATCGGGAATCGTTACGATACAGTCGCAGCCACGGAAAATAGTAGCCGTTTCACAGCTGCGGCGCTTTTGCTCTGCTACACCTGTGCGCCGACTATCCATTATAAATATACTACAATGTAGCAGCGTACGGCTGCGAAAGCGAACGCGATTACTGTCGTGAACCGTGAGCGCGGGTGGCTGTTTGCGCGCGCAACCTATCGCGCACTCTCGACTCTTTCGCATACGCAAAACACCTATTTCGTGTAAATATATATACGTATAGCTAACAACAGTCCTTCAGTGCGCGAATCTATATATATAAAGCGAAGTTGGTGTCTGTTTGTCCTTTATGATCTCAAAAACTATTTGTCCAATCGGCTTGAAATTTTTACCACATATTTATTATACCACTGCGCAGGTTTCTATCATATTAAAACCATTATTTGCTTATTTATTTTTGAGTTCAGAATTTTTTTCGTATTTTACCACTTTGCGCGCTCGCTCGCCCCTTGCACGGTTAATGGTTATAAAAAAGACCGAAAGCAGTTGTTTTTTTTACACGCGGTGAATCGGAATACATTGTATTTGACGTGTACATGTGCTATTACGCTATTCGAGTTTTACAAGTGTGTGAACTCAACTCATAAATTTCCTACTACGCACTTGACGTGACCTGTTTAAGATCTTTTAAGCAGTCGAATTTGTTGAAAAAATTGAACGTGGGCGAAGCCACGACGGGGTCGCTAGTAGTATATATAGCGAAGCAGTGACTAGTGCAACGCTTACGCGTACATCCTATATTTTGCCAAGTTCAGCTGCGCAACGGCCAGTCCGGCGGAATACACGCCAGCTGGTGTAGGTGTGTGCTGGCTACCTATACATAGTATCGACGACGTGTGCGCGCCTGCTACTAGCTTATAACTTGGCAACTCTACTCTACTGCCCTCTGTGCACTCCGTAGCCGTGTGTGCGGTGTGCAAACTGTGTGCCGCCGTGTGACGTGCGGACGTAACGCAATACTATAGGCGCACATTCGCCCGCGTATGGGTGTGTACTGCTGTACGTAGACGTGGACTACTGTCACACCGATGACGATCGCATAATATACAAGTATAACTGCGCACACTGCTTGACTGCTGACAGCGCTCGCATCCTCCGCATTCAATACACATACACGCGTTACATATATCGACGTATTCTTCGTCTCTTTTTCTCTCTCTTTCTCTCTCGCTCGTTTGCTCGCTCACTCCGATTTTATCTGCTCTCTATGTGTGTCGACTGCGAATTGCGAATTGCGAGTGCAGCAACTACTTAACTATATGCACTTGCGCACGTACACTAGCACGCCTAATGTAACGTACACATACGCCGATATATAGGGCGAATGCAGTGTGTACGCTGCTGAGTAGACTGTGAAGCGTAAGACGCCGTGAAGCGACTTGCCGCGAGAGCGAAAAACATCGTAGCAGCCAGCAGCAAGTGTGCTCGTGTACGTGTGTACAGTGTATACGCGCTCGAGTGTCAGTCAGGCAGTATATCAGCGCTGCCGTAAGATCTCGCTGCCACAATCATCATCGTCTGCGTCGTCGTCTTCGCCGTCGCCGTCAACGTCGTCAGCGTGATGTGAAAAATCAAAGATGGCTGCATTAGCTGCTCTACTGCTAGACGACGTAGCCGACTTTGCTGTCAAAATTTGCGTCCTCTGCTTCGGAAGCTCTTGACTGCCTGCGCCGCGCGCGAGCTGCTCAGCTGCTTCTATATAGCGACTTTAAATACGCACGGCGTTGCGATTATCTCAGCGTATACACACCTTAGAACGATAAATAAGAGCCTGCTGCTACTGCTCTGCCATACGTCTGTCTGCTTGCGCACAGTCTCGTCGAGATAAGAACAACGAGCTTCTTCTCAGCAATATGAACATTTTCCAGCTCTGAATTTTTAGTGCAATATAACTAAAAGCTCCAGCAGCCATGAATTGCCATCAGATACTCAGTGGAGCTTGCAATGCAGGCGATCGATGCTGTGCCGTCGGCTCCGTCGAAGGCATATCTTTTACGGTGAGTCTTTATCTTGGACACATTTCTTACAACTCCAAAATACCCGATGTGTCCTTTCTCTGTTTTATTTCAATAAATAATGCAAATTCTGTTCAACTATTTGTCTACGAGTACTGCGCACCTGACGTGACAGATTTATCACGTTTAAATCTACTATTATGTACACATAGATCATGCTCCACAACTATATCTATTTATTCTTTCTCAAGGCTTACGCTGCTGGCTGCAACATTGTCATCCTTGCGGACAACTTTGAAAGGGCACAGATTATTCCTGGAGCTATACATAACTACATAAGGATCAGTTGCCTCGACTGTAGTACGGACACTGGCAAAATTGCTGCTGCTTATGAGAATCAAGTCTGCATTTTTGAACCCACACCGCTTATTCATAGCACTTGTTCTCATGTGAGTATTTCTCTCTATATTAGCACTCATTCAATTTAGTGATGCATGATGATTTTATGTAACAACATGCAACAAGTTTACATCTCCTGGCAATATGTTATTTTCATAGCTCATTGCTGCACAGTTATTATTGGTCATTGATTAATACAAATTTAAATATTATAAATCTATTCAAAATTCTTCACTTACTAGACTTGTTTTAATTGTAGCTTCGTGTAATTATTTAACAATAATTTATCATTCTTTTTTATAAAATGGTTTTCAATTTTTCAGCATCTGGAATATAGATGGGTACAAACTGGCACTTTACAAACAGATTCCAATATCAGTTCTCTGTCATGGAACTTAGAGGGTACTCGCCTTTTGACAGGGGGAGAACTCTTACAACTTTGGCATCAAAATATATTACCTTTTGAAGAACAATGTGAGTATTTTTATTTAGCTTATTTTATAAAATTAATGTCACTATGTAGAGAAATATTTCTGTGCTAGATTAATTATCCATCGATAACGTTACTTTTAATATTATGCGTAGCTTCGAAACCAAAAGCAATAGAGGAACCGGCAATTATGGAGCACAGTGCACCGGCCGCTACTGTTCAAGATCGTGAGTTCATTCGTTATTAATGAATGAACATTTTTATTAATTTTCTTAATTTTTTCCTCATCCAATCGAATTTTTATTGCAGCAGCCTAATTTACATCACTTCATTTTAAAAAAGATTATAATCATCGAAAAATCATTAAGCTTATATAATTGCTTTATTTTTAATAATGTACTTTTTATTTTACAAATGTAACTTGTTATTTTATCAGCTTCTTGACGGATTAAATACTTAATTTATGGTTTATGATTGCAGCTATTTTGTTTTTTCGATTAAACATTTGCAAAAAAATTATTGCTAATACTATATATTTTATTCTAGCTGGTACTGTCACATTTTCCATTGGTGGTGAAGCTGAAAGTCCACAAGGTACAGAAACAAATCCAGCTAATGAACCAGGAGGTTGGAATTGCGTGTGGAAGTGTCGCACTGCTACGCCAGTACATCTAATGAGCTTCAGCCCTGATGGTACACTTTTTGCAACAACTGGAGAGAATGATAGATTAGTAAAAATCTGGTTTGAAAACAAACCATGTAAGTTTAAAATTAATAGCATATACCTCTTGTTGTGAAAGACTTATTTTTTATTTAATTTGATTAACAGTATTTCCTCTAAGGAGTATGGATCATTCAAACTTTTCTCAGTCAGTATCAAATGATAGTTTTAGTTTTGTTTATGTTGCACATCCAAGAGCTGTGACCCACATATCATGGAGAAAAACTAGTAAATACATGCCAAAGTTAGTTGAATATTCCAATTAATAGTTTTAAGAAGATAAATATAAATTTTCACATTGATAATTGTTTTTTTAGGGGATCAGTATCTAATATGTTAGTTACCTCATGCCGAGATAATATTTGCCGCGTTTGGACGGAAACCATTCCACCAGAAATTGAAGGATTAGCTAATATGAGCCAATTTGAAGGTGCCGATAGACATGGACATCATGGAAAGCATAGACATCACAATATGCATAAAACTCGGTTTATGCAAAGATTAAAACATATGAGGTACACAATATTTGATTCGGTTTTTAAGAAATAGAAAATGTATGAAGATCGTATAATTCTTTTCAGAACATGTTTCCATTTACGACGACACGTGAAACAACATAATCAAGCTGGTCATATTGCTCAAACTTTACCTACATTACCATCAACTTATTCGGTTCATGATTTTCACAATAATTATACAAACACTGGGTATTATCCTGGCATGCATTTTCATTTAGCAGCAAGTATTAATGCAGAAACAGGTATGAGTTGTTTCTGAACTAGTTTTAAAGATTTTTGTGGCCAAAAATGGTCATGAATTATATAAAATTACAGATATTCCGTTGGTTCCAAGTCTAATCACTGGTGATCCTGACAGAGAACCTAATTTTATTTTACACTGGTTGAATAATAAAGAAATGGAATTTACAATGCAAGCAGAAAGTATTATACAGGTAAGATTTTTAAAACATTCCATCCCAACGAATCCCTTTTAATCAAATTAAAAATCCTCAGGAACTCACTAGAAAGGTGGTGGAAAAAGAAGATGGTATTCATCACCATCATCATAATCAATCAGAAACGGATCACGTTGATCATGATTCAGAGGATGAACATACTCCAACAAGTACGTTTGCTTACGTTTTTCAGTTCATGTTTTTGTGGCTAGATGTTGTTTTATTTTTACTTAATTTTCATTTTTCACAATCCAATATTGAAAGCACTAATGACAAGAATTTTTTTCGCTTATAATGATTTTTTTATTAACATCACATCATTTACTAATCACATTCTTATCGGGGGCTTGCTTAATTGCCTTGGATCTAACAAAATTTAACAAAACTCATGGTTTTCTCTACTTTATCGCGTGGAAATGGTTCCACGATTGCTTGTCCATTGCACGTGTTGCATGTTGAATGGTGCATGGTCGGGGTTGAAAAATATGACTTATCAGGCAGCATCTTATCATGTTACGGTATGGTGCGACCAACAGAAAAAGGAAGTCGACATTCGACGAGTCAAAAAGGCACTATTGGTGGACGCACGACAAGCCAGGATGACCACAGCAGCGACGAGCATCACACAGCCCATACAACTTCGTCTCACCATAGCCTTCCCCACAGTGTCCATTCGCACCAAAGCCTTAGGTGAGCACTACAGCGAATAACTTTCTGCATCTGCTCCCACGAGAGTTTGAATTTTTTTTACCCAAATAATACCGCTCTGTTGTAAACTAATTAACGAATTTGACGATTATCGAGCAAAAAGACAAAAGCCAAAAAGATGACTTGTAACGGGTGTTCTTTTGTTTGTTTAGCAATACTACGTCGATTAATTCAATAGCTACGGATGCGACGACGACCAATCAGGCACCCGATGCGCTGGACACTAAAATCGAAACTTTATTGCGTGACTGGCATCACAACCCAGATTTGTTATTCGCCATTCATCCAATTGACGGAAGTTTTCTTATCTGGCACATAGAGTGGCTGGACGAGTATCATCCAGGCTCGTTTCGTCAAGCTCAAATCTCTTTTTCAACCCGCATACCAAATGCTTTTCCACTGGGCGATGCCTCGACCATGAGCCACAACGTCTCGATGTACTCGCATAACACAGGGGGTCCTTTGTCAAGTATTCGTGAGGTCGTCAAATCTTCTACCGTCGTTGGTAAGTCTACCTTTGAGGGTCAACATCCAGCCATGCAACAGCCAACCGAAGCTCCTTTACCTAGTCTCATTGAGCAAGACGAAGATCAATCAACACTTACTTCGCGCACTGGCCAGGAACTCGCCAAGAACGTTCAGAGCGAGTTGAACCATCAGCAGCAGTCGAATCAGACGCAGAATCAACAGAACAAGCAAGATGATCAAAATAAGCAGGAGACTATGAGCGAGATGCTGGCCCATCCAAGCCCGATGGTGTCGATGGTATCGAAGCATGCCAATGGTACGCTCAATCTCTGGCAGCTCACCTTCGCCGATAAGACGAAATTCTCACAAGTTCTTAGCATAGGACATGCCTGCCGCGCTTCGGGACATCGTTTTCGCGTTAACGATATCACTTGCCATCCGGTACTGCCGTTGCTTCTGACCACGTCTCACCACAACATCCCCGATTTTAGTCCCAACCAGTCGACCGAGCAACAGCAACCGCAAGAGCAAGAGCCTATCGTTGAAGAGAGCGGAGAACAAAAGTCAATCAGTGGCTTTTGCAGCGAACTCATACTTTGGCGAGTCGATGCTGTTGGTCCGCTCTCGAAAAGCGGCGGCGTTTCCGAGCTCGCCCGCATTAATAGTCCTGAAATATCTGCGTTCAGTAACGTCGCTTGGATACCTACTTTGCTACCGTCGACCACTCTGGGCAATCTGTCGAACTCTCCATCGGCGTGTTTCGTCGCGAGTGACGGCCACTGCTTACGCGTCTATCAAGCAGTCATAGACGCTCGCAGTTTATTGGCCGAAGTGTCGATCAGCGAACGTCGCAGTCGTTTCATGGACTCGATGGCGAGTCTCAGCAGCGACGTGAGCTCCGACGATGGTATGCATCACGCACTGCATGATCGCATTCAAATCGTATCGCAGCAGTCGACTGCCAGGCCTGGCTGCGTCATTCAACTCGACGCAATATCCGACGCTACTCACGATTGGCAGAATACGCAGTTCTTGCACGTTTTCCAGGAGCAGCTGATTACCGGCGAACGAAGTGACGAGAAAACGTTTAGCACAGCTGACTCGGCCAACGATCTTGGCTTCATGGAATCGAACCTCGACGCCATGGTCGATCTCCAGCAGTCAGCGATCTTTGAAGAGCCATTCTACATCGTAGTTCTCGAGCGTACCTCGAAAGGCACTACGGTGCACATGTGGCGCCTGGTAATAGCGTCTCAGCCCGAGGGACATGGTCTCAGTGGTTCCATGATGTACGTTCCCGACTCACAACTGGTCCAGGACGAAGAGGACGAAGCGACACCGGGTGGTCGTCGCTCGCGTCGACCGAGTCAATCCGGCCATCGCAGTCGGCGCAACAGCGAGAGCGGCGACCATCTGCAACCCCCTCACCAGCATCATCATCAACATCATCACCATCATCCCAATAGCCACGTGCTCATTAGCACCACCAAAGTTTGCACCCAAGAACTTCCCATACCCGAGAACGTCGAGCTGGTGCATGCAGCCCCAGCCGCTGGTCATCTGAGCAGCTCCTCGATTTATCCCGCTTGCTTCGCACCGTATATTATTGTTACCGCCTGTAGCGACAGTACGGTGCGCTTCTGGAATTGCAAAGTTACAAAACGCGAGGTCCAAGAGGGCGATCCCAACCAGCATCCACTCGACTATGAATGGTGCGAGTGGGAAATGTTCCGCAAGGACAAGGAGTCAACCATCGATATAAGCGGACAGCCACTGAACATCAGCGCAGCCTACAGTGGACGTATTGCCTGCGCCTACAAGTACGGCAAGTCCTTCACGCGACCTACCAAAGCCGATCCCGACTCGCGCTATGTAAATCTTTGCGTTGCCATTTATGAGTGCGAAAGTACTGGTGGTAGCGAGTGGGTCCTCGAAGACACGATACACTTGAAAAACATCCATCTGCCTCGCATTCAAGTCGATCAACATCTTGATCTCAGTTACTTGTACGACAGTCGCTACTTGCAGAAGAAGCAGCGTCTTACTCAAGTACTGCAGACCCTTAGCCACGAAGATGTGCGCACACCGCGTAATGGATCAGTCTCTGACAATAGCTCGGATTCGGGTCAACCCAACAAAGCGGGATTACTTGCTGTACCGTCTTTCAGCACGTTGCAGTCCCTCAGAAAGTCCATAATCGAGAATGGCAACACGTGTCCTTTGACTCAAAAACACTTGGTACAGCTCGACTGGGTTAGTAAAGAAGACGGCTCCCATATTCTCACCGTAGGAGTTGGTTCCAAAATCATGCTGTTCACGCCTGTTTGCTCGGACTTGGCTCAAGCTAATATGAAAGCCATGAAAGAGTCACAGACGACGATGCGTCCGATTTTGCGTAAGGCTTCGTCGCTGGCCCAGCCGCATTACGTCGAGGAGATTCGCTGGATGAAATTGCGCAAAATCGAGCTTACAACGGCAGACGGCCTGCCACCCCTGCCTATGCAGATATCCTGGGTTCGCGACGGTATTCTCGTGGTCGGTATGGACTCGGAGATGCATGTCTACTCGCAGTGGAAGGCGAACCCGAACAGCGAGTGCATGCACTCTGGGGCCGTGCAGTCGCAAGAATCGGACGAGTTTCAAGCAAGTCGCAATCTACGCGACGAGGATCTGCGCACCCTCGCGCACGAGACGTCGCAGCGTCGCTTGAATAACGTGTCGTCGATGCCGCACCTGTCACGAGTAAGCAGCATCAATCTCACGATGCTCGACGCGAAGAAAAAGCGCGGTATCGATTCGGCACCGAATCTCGACTACATGCCCGACTACGGTCTGTTTGAGGCATCTCGTATTGCCTGCCCCGTCTTGCCGCAATATCATCCCAAACAGTTGATGGAGCTGCTCAACGCTGGTAAAATACGCTGGGTCAAGGCGATTCTCGCTCATCTGGTACGTTGCATCACCAGCTCTTGTCCCATACGCAACGACGACGAGAATATCATGAAAAACAAGGGTAGTGGCTGGTCGCGTTCGCGCACCATGTCCGTCAGTTACGCTGGCACAACATCGCCACTGGAGCCTCGCGGATCGAGTACTCAGATACCCGAGGAGTTGACGTTGGATTACGCCGAGATCACATCGATTTCGCCGCTCCCGCTCTGGACCCTCTTGATTGCAGATAAGGAGACTAATATCACTCAGCAGGCCGAGTTAGACAAGCAGGATTATAACAAACTGTTCGACGGCCAACTCGATGAGGGTGACTCGCTCGACGACATGTTGGAGGAGGACTACGAGAGATCTCGTCAGAATCGTGACAGGCGCAGCTCGGTGCCAGAACGCCAGGGTATCTCGTACTTCGGACCCCGACAGGGCCGCGTTCTGTCGCGTTTGCTCACTCACAGCCATTTACCGGGACTGTCGAGTCTTGATCAAATGCATCTGCTGGCCTTGGCCGACACCGTTTCAACTTGCAACGTCGACTTTGCCGAGCGCTTTGCCAACGACGCTCAGAAAAGCGCCTTAGCCAAAGAGAATCTTACGGGCATTCCCGATGGTGAATTTTCTATGGACTCCCTCGATGATTGTGGTCTACGCTTTCTTCTAGCCATGAAACATTACAATTATTTGATTCGTTGCTTGCCTTTGAGCCAACGGGCCCAATTTCAGCAGCAAGGCGTCTCTACCAGCAACCTGGTCTGGGCGTTCCATAGCGAAAATGAAGAGGAATTGATGGGACTGATTCCATCGTATGCTCGTGACAAGCCCAAGTGGTCGGTACTAAAAGAGCTCGGGGTTGGTTGGTGGATTACTAACTTGGCTGTGCTCAAGCGCTGCATCGAGAAAATCGCCAAAGCTGCTTTCCAAGAGAATCAAGATCCTATTGATGCTGCTATATATTATCTAGCCATGAAAAAGAAAAGTCTTCTGTGGGGTCTCTTTCGTAATAGGCGCGACGAGCGCATGAGCAGCTTCTTTAGCAACAACTTTGCCGAAGATCGCTGGAGAAAAGCCGCACTCAAGAATGCCTTCGCCCTGCTAGGTAAGCAGCGTTTCGAGCATGCTGCGGCCTTTTTCCTGCTCGCTGGTGCCTTACGCGATGCCATCGATGTCTGCCTCAACAAGCTCAATGATTTACAATTAGCCATGACTATCGCTCGGCTCTACGAGGATGACATGACATCACCGAATTTCAAACGACTCATGTATGAAGAGATTCTCGGTTGTGATCGCGATGGCTCCAACCCCGACGTCTCGCGTATGCATCCTGACCCATTCCTTCGCAGCATGGCCCTCTGGATTCTCAAGGATTACTCGGGTTCGCTGAATACTCTACTGCTGACCAACGTTGGCTCGTTACATCCGCAATACAACGACGAGTCGGACAGGCCCGTGGGTTCCACGGCCAATCCCAATGTTTTCAATTTCTACGTCTACCTGCGTACTCATCCTCTGCTAATTCGTCAGTACATCGCTTCCACTGCCCAGGATAAAAGGAAAGGACACTCTGTCGTTATTTCGGGTTTTAGTTACGGCACTGAGACGAAAGCGCAACAAGACAAGCAGCTCACGCTTGAAGATACGATTACTCCGCTCGAGCGGCAGCTATACTTTACCACAGCCCATGCCCATTTCAAAGCTGGATGTCCTGCTCTAGCGCTTGAGGTACTCTCTAAGTTACCAAGCAAAGTCATGGAAACCAATTCGGATGACAACGAAAGCGAATTGAATAGTCCTACCAAAATCAAAGACCAAAATAATGAGATTGATACGGGTATGCTAAGTTGGGATACTTCCAAACCTACTTCGGTTATCGGTCAGTTTCTAAAATCTACTGTAGATTCTGTATTGCTTAATGAATTTTTTTGTTAACTGTAACATATTTTTATAGAATCAGCATCATCATTTGACTGGTCTCAACCAGAGGTTAAAAAAGAAGATGAATTGCAGTTAAACTGGGATGACGACGCGGAAAATGATGACGATGAAAGTCCTCCAATGAGTATGAAACTAGATAAGAAAATAAGCGAGGCTAAAGCGGAAAGACCCGATGAAAAAGACGGTAATGATTTTTATAATTCTTACCACATGTACATTTTTCACATCAAGCCTTTTATTTTCAGATGAAGCCAAGAAATCAACCGATATAATGGCGCAGCAACTGAAATTTGTAGCGTGTTTGAAAATTTTAATGGAAGAATTGTCTACATTGGCAACAGGTTTCGAAGTCGATGGAGGGCAGTTACGTTATCAGTTATATGTATGGCTTGAGAGAGAAGTTGATGCTTTGCGACAATTGTGCAATTACAGTGCTAGTACAGACGGAGATGTAGCGAATGCTGACGAAAGCGGTATAATGGAAGAACCACCATCCTACAGACCAGGCGAACAGCCGACTTTGCATGAAATTCTAGTGGCGGAAAAGCTGGACTTTGAAGCAAAGGTCCAAAGGGCTGTGAAACGCAAAAAGTGGCTGAAAGCTAATGAGACTTTGCTAAGGACGTTGTTGTCATATTGCTCCTTACATGGCGCATCTGGAGGTGGTCTGGCATCTGTCAGAATGGAATTGGTGCTGCTTCTCCAGGAATTGCAACAAGAAAAGACACAGCAGCAGTTGCTCAGTCCCTTGCCCTTCCCTACAACGCTTCCACTTTTAAGTGCTAGTGTAGCTTGCAATAAAACGGTTGTAGCTGATCCGGTCAGACATTTGCAGTCACTCGAGCACGATATGCTTCAAACGATCGTTGATTTACGAAATCCACCAATGCCGCACAAAAATACCCACTATTCCGAGGTCTTCGTGCTGCGAGATCTTGCCGTAGCTTTGAGCGCGTGCATATACCAATCTCTGTGTGACTCGGACACATTCGTTCACAAACATCAAACGTGGGACAGCTTTCCAGCGGCAGCTGAAGTTGAGGCCTATTCAGGCGGACATCTTGTGGCCTCGAGTCGTAGTCATCGTCGTTACTCCTCTGATGACGGTATTTGCATTACAACTTCACCTAGCAAATGGCCCGGTGTAACGAGCCTTCGAGCACTTTTAGCTCGCGAAAAGGACGAGGATGCACCGAAGCTAAATATCCTTCTCTGCGAAGCTTTTGTAGCTACATTCATGAGCTTATTTGTCTATGCTCTATCTAGCTGCGATAGCCACATATTATATAGACTGGTAGGACATCAATTTGACAATAAAACGTGGTCTTGCCTATTTGGAGGCGGTGTGAAGAAATTGATTAGAGTTGCTAGTACTAGTGGACAGGTAAGCTATTTTTTTGAAAACTTTTCGAGCTTATTCAATATAATGTATTTTGAATTGATCTCATTTTTCATTTTAGACGGGATCTATGAGTATCGAAAGAAACGATAGTTTAAGTAGTGAACCAGCATCTACTAAAAGTAGTGGTGTCTGGAATACGGTTACATCATTGACTAAGCAGCGCGTAAAACTTAATATGAAACTGCTTGGTCAATTCTCTGGGCAACAACCGAATATGAAAGAAGATAAGCCAACGTATCGCGAACAATTTATTTCTCCACAAATGAGCATGATTTCCTATTTTCTTATAAAAGTGAGAAAACTAATTTTCAAAACAAACGAAAAATAACTGTAATTAACATTAACTAACGTAATCGTGTTGCAGCCTATAATTGAAGGTGAACTCGCAGATGAAATAGATTACGACTCTTCAGAATCGACCGTATCCGAAACTGAGGTTTCCGAAGAAGAAGATGACGTATTTGATACCAATTCAAAACCAAAGAGTAAACCAAAAGATAATACAGAACATACTGATCCAAACTCATTTAGCTGGTGCGTCATGAGATTAGCAATAGTGAAAATTCTGCAAAAACAATTGCAAGACTTTTTAACCATAGCTGGGATTGAAATGCAAGGTAAGATAGTCGAGAAGAATGTACTGTTACTCTAAAATGAATTATCACTATTTGATAATTTTACAGAATTACCAGTCAGCAGTCCGTTGATACATGGAATTCTTGGAGTTGTGGTCCAATGGCAGGAGTCTTTGCGCGAAGAACTAGAAAATAAAGGTCCGGCACCGGTCAATTTCATACCAGGCTGTGCTCCAGATCCTATTCCTACCCCTGGAAAACCAGCTATCCATAAATACCGTTCACTTCTCGAAAGAGGAAACACTCCTTTCAAGTAATATTTTGCATACATGATTGCGTCCTTCGTTTTTGCATGTGTGTTAAACAAATTTTTTTCTCAGTACTCGAATGGCGTCGGCAAAACCGTCGAATCGACTATGGTGTTACTTAATAAGGCAAGAGTCAGTACAAGAGATTTTCATACGTGCAGTATTTGGAAAGAGAAGGTCACTTTCTTCTATATTAGATGCAAATAGTGGAGGTGATTCCCAGACTAGAGGTTCTGGAGAGGATAAAGGAAGTGACAGTGGTACCCAAATTTTACCCGAACCTGTAAGGATAATCCACAAGGAACAAGATAGTATCAGTGCCTTCTGTCTAAATCAGGTTTGTTGTTTGCGTTTAATAATTCATCGAAAATTTTTATGGTATTAAAAAATTTTTTTATGAACACAGGTAAATGCAGGACTTATGTCATTAGCAACGCCACGCGAGGTGCAAGAAATGGATATTTCACTGCTTTTGGAATCTCCGTCGTGGTTAGAAGACGAATGCGAGTTTGACCTCATTAATTTAAATAAACAGCCTGATCCTGAACCAACGCAGCCAACCAGTTTTCTAGTCATCCAGGTAATTTGATAGATAGATGGTTTTTTATTCAGGCAATGATTTCCATAATTTCCATTACCTTGATTTTTTTTTAAATAAAAATCAGACCGCTGCTGACAGACCATTGCTCGTCCAAAGCCCTCAACAAAATGGACACCAAAACCAAACAGGCATAGGCAGTCAAAGCGGTCGCGGTGCCAGTGTGGTAAGTTTTAATTTATTATTTCTACACAGCTCAATTACATACTCGTTGAAAATCTCAATTAATGTGTGAAACCAATAAAATCTTCAGCGATTCACTCATGTATACTGAATTATGATTGCAGTAAAAGTATTGACCATCTTTCAATTATACACATTAACATATTTAAGGATTCATTCATAATTATTCAGCTTATCATTTGTCTGATAATTATTTCAATAATTTGGAGATTTCTCTACACGTGTACATAGTGGTCTTTATAACACGATTCATTTATTGACACAAAACCACAAATCATGCAAAAAAGAATTTTTCAAAAGTGTAATTACTAATGCATAAGACATTTTTCAGGGATATTTTACTGAGTTGCAAATTATATAATAATCGTCAAAAATGAAAAAATGTTAAATATCATATATCACAATTTAGTCAACAAATAACACTAAAAACACTAATATAAAAAAACCAATCTCGTTGTCTACATATTTCGTTAAAAAAGTAATAATATTATAAATGATGATGTTCAGCTAATTAAATGTCATTTTACATTTGCATGCGAGTATGTTTTCTGTGCAAAGGTCACTAAAAAGTGGTACCATAATGCTTATATCGCAACCTGACAATTAAAATGACGACTCGCATTCACTATTAATTCAATGTTTCTTTTCTAATAAATATTAATAAATTAATAACGAAACGAAACGATACAAAATGACTGCGCCATCTATTGTATAATGTTAATGTGGCGACGATTTGTCGACTTATGATTGCTCTCGCATTCTCTCTCTCAGATGAAGGGGATGCCCGCTTTTCCTGGCTCCCACGACCTGCGCTTCTGTCAGTTTGTCGCTGATAGGAGCAAACACTTGTTGAAACCGGTGAGAGACTAACATCTAACATGAAAAAAAGCAAAAGCAACCTTAACTCCTTGTTTATTTTTATTATATTTTATTTATGCATTTGGTTTCAGTTAGTCCCTCATTATCTGTGATTTTTCTATCCCTCACCGCAATTTCATCATTTCATCTTTTATTAAACTGTTGAGTTAGATTTGCAATAGCTTTTGATAAATTGACATTAAAATAATCAATCCGACAATTGAAAGGTATCGCAAATCAATTGATCGACTCTCAAGTTAGATGACAATAGCTTAGTATTATTATTACCCTTCGTTATCTCACATGACCGTACTTACGCTTTGACTTACATTATGCATTATGTAAGGTTTATCAAATAATAATTTACATTGTCTCACGATGTGCATCAATGCTTTTTACTGATTGCAACCATTTTATTGCTTATGAATTGCGCCACGTTTATTAGGATGATCCTTGAGTTGATGGAATGGCTATTTACTTTCGCTTTGCTAATACCAGAATTTCACCATCCAATAACTTATTCATCAACTCAGGATGACCAACATCCTTCATCATGCACGAAACTATATTCCATTTATATGTAGAGAAAAAAGATTATAAAAAGAGCAAAATAAAAGCAAAATTATAAGATATAAATGCTTTTTTAAATTAGTTTAAGCTAAATATTATGCTTCTGTAAGCATGCTGACCCAAGTATGTGGTAGTTTTCAAATGAAACATCATACATGTATTTTAGGACGTTTTTTATTTACCAATTTATATGAAACCTCACTCTAAAGCTTTTTGAGCTTGTATGGACCTGAAAATGAAAAAACTCCGTACTTACGACTCTTCACGATGTTTTTTAAATCTTACTCTGGTCTAAAACATCGTGTTTATAATTCAAAAAAGTCTTTAAAAATCAAAAAAAATTCACGTATACTTTAATAGTAATTTCAAAACTTTTTGTTCTACGCATTATCTCCTAAAATTTTCAGAATTTTTAAAGGATTCTTCTTAATTGTGAAATTCGTTTTCTTGATCGCAGGAATGCTTAAATGACAATGTAAAAGAGTCATAGCTAAGCCTTTTTTTATTTTTGAATCAAATAACAAATTTTTCAAAGTTTGATTGCGAGGTTCCATACAACCTTGTAAATAAGACATTCTAATTTTCTTAATTATTTATTTTCATCGTCGCATCATCATCGCTCTTGTTGATTATTTTTGAATTAAAACAAAAATTCGTCAACTAGTTTCAATATTTGTCGTTTAATAAGTTGTACTTTTTCTCTTTTGACTTAATTTAAAACTGCAGATAAGTTTCAAGTTTGTAATTACATATGTTTCTATTTGAAGCGTCAAATGTTCAATTATGAATTCTATAGATGTTAGTAAAAATTGCCGAAAAAACGTTGACCCAATAACTTACTAATCTCTATTTACACGATCAATTATCACAGATACTGAAACATAAGATCGACGGTATTAGAAGAATGTCGTCGCATCCTTTGCTGCCGCTGTGTGAGTCATTTATATATAAAATGCACTCATATCGTAAAGCTGAAACCGCTCTCGTGACACTTATTCTATGTTTACAGACTTAACTGGATCGCAAGATGGATCGGTTTCCTTGTGGGAATGGAGTCACCAATCAGCCGTGGCAACCCCCAGGCTACCGGGCACTTTTGCCAAGGTGACCCGTGTACGTTTCTCTCAACACGGCAATAAATTCGGCGTCGCTGATTCTGATGGACATCTAAGTCTCTTTCAAGTAGCCTGCCGAGAGGGTACAACGAGACCTTTCTTCGTGAGTATTCTTGCTTTAGTTCAGAATTATTGTCATCTTTCCATTAGTTTCAGTTTTTATGATGATATTTTTTTCCTCGCAGAACTATCAATGCCACAGCAAAGTAACATCTGACTTCGTTTTTTTGGGAGCTTGCAGTTTGGTGGCTACTGCTGGACATGGACCTGAGAGCCGCAACGTGGCTCTATGGGATACCTTACTACCTCAAAACAAATCTCTTGTAGCAGGTACTTAAAAATAATCCACCAAGAATAATTTTTTTTCTTTCAATATGACTCATTTTATTTAACTCTTACTACAGGTTTTACATGTCACGAACAAGGATCTAGTTCGGTCATTTTAGCGCCGCAGCATCAACTGCTAATAAGTGGTGGCAAAAAGGGTGACATAAACATCTTCGATGTACGTCAACGTCAACAACGTCATCGTTTCCAGGGGCACGAGTCTGCCATTAAGTGTCTTGCTCTCGATCCACATGAGGAATTCTTCGTCAGCGGCGCCGGAGACGGGGACATCAAGGTCTGGGGTTTAACCGTCCATTCGCTTCTCTATACCTTCCCAGCTGAACATCCTAGATCGAGCTTTTTCAAGAATATCGGACAAGTAAGTCAACTCTTCTCATTAAATTTAATCCCGATCGATCAAGTTTATTAACAATATTTTTTCTGCAGGGAGTCACTCAACTGCACGTTGATGCATCAGGACGATTATTCTCTTGTGGAGCTGATGGCTCGATGAAAGTTCGTCAACTGCCCGAACGAGACTGTGTTGTTCACGCAATATATTAAGGTAAATCAATTATTTTTTATATAGTTATACAATTAAATACAAAGACTTATTTTGATTCACAGCTGGTCGATGAAATTCAATACTGGTACTTTAATGACAACAGACTCCTTTGTAAAAAAGAAGAAATAAGTAAGCTGAATTTTTCAACTGACACTCATTAATTATGATCACAAAACTAATTGTCGTATTTCCTTTAAAATCTATTATTCAATAATGATGCTCTGTTTTTCGAAAGTAAACTGAATCTTAATGTCTCTCGAGTTCAAACAATTCTGTGCTGTCTCAATTTTATTCAATCAGATCAATGTTTACTAGACTGATTTTATTGGACTCGTTAAAAAATATTGAGAAAAAGAAAGAAAATATTTACTATGTACTTGCGATTACTACGTCACAAGATATACGTACTAGATTTTTATCGATTTTTGGCAAGTGTACTTGGCATATTTCATTGGCTAAAAATAGTCGTTCATGTATTTCCAATTCGATTCTTGCTATTTGAAAATATTTACGATTTTTGAAATGTGTGAATTATTAAGGTATTGTACACAATTAATATACAACAGTGCCATAGATTAAAGGTAAAAGGAAGTATCTAGGTATATAAAGAAAGTATGTAGATCGGCGCTATATGGTCGTGCAAAAAACGATGTTAATATCCGTTTGTAAATGTTTGCTACGGATTGTTTGGAGTCCCACACAAATTTATAATTTATCGGAAAAAGTAAAAAAATTTATAAAAGCTTTTTCTATATTTATTGTGGGGTGAATAATTAATGTTTATTGTTCCAGTTCTAATGAACTTTGTTGCTATATGAAGTAATTTTTAAAGAATTTACAGATTGTATAACTAATTTATTCGACGCCAATGCTCGTAATCAAATTTTTTAAAATAAATAATTGGTTATTTTTTTTGTTGATTGGAAAAGTGCAAAGTGTTTGTTCGAGTTCAGCATATCCATATCCAATAAGCTATTACTCTGTGTGGCTATTTATCTATATTTTTAACTCAAAAAATTCATGTACAAAGCCCAATCGATTATATTAATTTTATTTTTAGACTACGTTTGAAGAGAATTTGCCAATTATTTACTTTTTGTTGTAAGCATGTATTATGGCGCATAAAATAAAAATCATGCGTATTCATGCAACGTATACTATCTAGAAAAGTGTGTATGCCGAGGTTTGAGTAACATGCTCTGTTGCCTTAATTATGACAAATCGCTTGTTAAAAATTAGCATAGAATATTGACTCTCAACTGGACACACATAAAATGTATAACTTGTAATATATGTAGCTACAAACGCCTTGTTTCGTATATCATGTGTGGATTAATATGAGATGAAAAAACTGTTACGATACAATACTGTTGAAATTATATAAAAAAATACATATGTGTGTGCTGCCTAGTTTCAATGATTGACCGCGATATTCATCTTCAGCCAACTCTTTCAAATAGTTTGTACAAGCTAAAAACTTTGAGTTTAATCCTTTTGGAAAAAATATCGATTCTTACAAACTATCTGAAAGGGGGATGAAAAAAGCTAAATATACATTATTATAAAATAAAGTAAATATATCTGAAGGTATGGAAGTTGTTTTCAAGATATTCTGTTAGAAATGAGAAATCAGATTTTTGTTTGGATTATCTTGTGCTTCATAAGTCAATAATGTTAATCTAATATTGATTAATAACTTCAGTGATTAAAAACACATGCAAATGCATCAGGCTTTGTATGTAAATACAACATATACAGATTAAAAAACGAAAAAATTACGTTGGCTGAAGCCATATAATTTCAGAGTATTATTAGTTACCTCAGATTGATTTTTAGTTTTTAAAATAAAATAAAATGTAATTAATAAATTGTTGATTTTCAAAAAAAAGAATAGTTATTTTATATCGTTTTCTAGTTTTTATTCAATTGGTCCAAAATGTCAGTTTTTATTAAGGGTTATTACTGTTGTAATAATGAAACCTAATGCATTATACCTACATTTAGTTTATTCATGTGTGAACAAAAACATATTCATGGAAAAATTTTTTATGGCCGACAACGTTCCAAAAATCTTGGGTACAAGCATACTTCACGAATGTGATATCTGTTGAGAAGCCAACAAATGAATCTCTCTAATCCAAGACCATAACCGCCGTGAGGGCATGTTCCGTATCTCCTCTGAAAATTTTTTTTTTGTAATAACCAATGGTTTAAATATTTTTGAATTGAGAAAAATATTTATTTACCTGATCAGTGTACCAATAATAAGGAGTTGGATCGATGTTGGCACTTTTATATCCTTCAAGTAAGGCATCATGATCCCAGATACGCATAGATCCTCCAACTATTTCACCAACGTTTGGCAGTAATACATCAACAGATTCTGTCAACCGATTATCTTCGGGACACCGTTGCATGTAAAATGATTTTATCTCTGCTGGGAATCGGCAAAGCATGATTGGTTCGTTTATTTTATCGGTCATTTTCCTTTCTGGCATTTCGGGAATGTCCTGAAAAATTTTCAAGTAAAATTTGATACTATAATTGTATTATTTTATGATAATATTTTTATTAAATCACCTCTCCAAATTCATAAAAGCTTCCATCTTCTTTAGTGATGTTGTTTTCTTTCAAATACTCAATAGCTTCGGAATAGTTCATTCTTCTAAAAGGTCTTTTAGGTACTTCGAAATCAGGGTTGAGTTCCTTAACAAGAGGTCCCATAGGAGACTTGAGAACTCTATCAACAACGTCACAAATCAAATCTTCCAATCGATCTAATAAATCATCGAAAGTTATAAAAGGACATTCAGCTTCAACATGAGAGTATTCTGCAAGATGTCTCCTAGTTCGAGATTGTTCAGCACGATACGATTGGGCTATACAATAAACATCACCCATAGCAGGAATGCAAGTTTCTAAATAAAGCTGGGAGCTTTGAGTTAGAAAAGCCTCCTCTCTAAAAAAATATCATAGTATAAATATACTTATGGTAAATTTTATTCAGCCATTTTAAATATTTACCCAAAGTAATCCAATTTGAATAAAGTAGAACCACCCTCTACTTGAGTCTGTACAAGAGTTGGTGGAGTTACTTCACAATACCCTCTATCTCTATAATGATCTCTGAAAGCTTGTGTGAGAATAGATCTCATAATCAGAATACGCGATGTCTGAAATTTTTCAATGATGAGTTATTATTTCATATGTTTAAAGTATGATAGTAAAAATCTATTTACATTTTCTCCTCTTATCATAATGTGTCTATTATCAAGTTGCACATCAGGATGAGCTTCTTCGTTAAGAATTGCATCAGCACCACCAGGAGGAGAATTGCCAATAAGCTTCCAAAAGTCCACTAAAAGTTCAAGTCCACCAGGAGCAGTTTTCCCTTCAGGAACAGGCTTCAATGTACCATATAAATGTACAGAAGCCTCTGTATTGAGAACTAAGGCATCATAAGTTTGACACAATTTATCATTCAATACACATTGGAGAAATCCAGTTCCATCTCTTAATGTAATAAACATTAAAGATTTGCCTAAAATATAAAAAAGATTGATTTTTGATACCTTCTGGCAAGAATTATATTCTTGAACTAAAATTAATAAATTGTATCTACCTTGTCGCCGTAATCTATGTACCCAGCCAAAAACTCTTACTCTCTCTTCTTTATGTTTACTTGCTCTATCAATTTTAATAAGCACAGCTTCAGGCAAACTTTTATCTTCTTCTATCATAACAGATTTGGCATCTTCCAAATTTTTTAATCTTTTTTCCTCATCTTCTTGCAATTTCTTTTGCTTATCTTCATTTTTGTATTGTTCTCTTACCCATATTTTTTGAACTTTTTTAAGTTGCGACTTAGCAGCAAGTTCATATTTCTTTCCTTCTTCTTTTGAATCTTGATAAATTTCTGGAAAAGGTTCTTTGCCAGCATGTCTCATAGCTTGCAAAATAGTTTTAAATGGTTTACTTTCGGAACCATTGCCATTATCATCGCTCCCTGTTTTTTCCGATGTATAAATAGGGGCTAAAAAATTATTCAGAAATTCAGTTATGATTTTATACATACTTTATATTAAACTATACTAATGAACAATTTAGTCTGACTCACCCAAAATTGTTTTAGCCTCGGTCTCTGGCATTATGCTTTTTCAAATTTTATTTTATCTAGAAAAAAATTAATTTATTTTTTATCAATTGACATATGTTTTTCATTATCATATATGTACTACTATAGTAGAAAAAATAATGAGATATAAAAACACCTACAAAAAACGCAAAAAAGTTGTACTATTTTCGTGATTCAATGCAATTAATTGACATAGAAAGCATAAAAAATATTAAAATTTAGTTCTTTTTTAAAATTGTAACTGTCAGAATTCTGATGACTAAGAGTCAATCATAAATTCTCCTTGATTCATTCAAGATTCCTACTAAAATTAGATAATCGTAATGATTCAAAAATATTAAAGTAGCTACCCTAATTATTAATTAATAAAAAGCTCAGATCACACGAGGATATTTTAATTCTACTAGTAGGTTGTTTATCTGATGCAATTTGCAAAATATTTTACCTCCTATTGTCGTATTAAACTTGTGAGCCGAACACGGTACAATAATACTATTTATTGAGATATTCGGATAACTTCACACCGTTCCGCTTTGCGTAACCTTAGTTTTCTAAATTCTTTCCCGGTTCTGCTGTGGCTGTGCAATTCGTTCAGTCCACGTGCTCATAATTTTGCTCCCGCAGACCACTTTTAATATTCCATTCCAAGCGAACAAGCGAATTGAAGTGAGCGCTTTCAAGACACGGCCATTACTTATTTGAATAATTTTTTCATTATCTTTTTTATAATTGTAACTATTCGAAAAGTTTTAATATTGAGAGACCACTTTATATTATAGCTTCTAAATTTATAATTCGAATAGTCCTTTGCAATTATCAAAAATTATATATTGTTTCTTAAGGCTCTACTGGAACATTCAATTAGTTTTATAAACAAATATTAAAATAAATTTTAATATATCATAATATCATTTTTATTTATAGGCAAAAAGTGTCATTCTAATAAAACCATACCTATATGAAAATCAGGTATGAACAAATTCAATGCAAAATTCTAAAAAAGAGAAACAATGTAACATTTGCGACCCAGCATTCCTTAAGTGCTTCTCAATTTTCAAATTTAGTACTCCTTGTATTAGTAATAAAACATCTTACGTCCTCGTTGATTTTCGATCGATCCACGGGGACTTTTGCACAAATCCTCGTTGGTTTTCGATCGATCCACGGGGATTGCGCGGAAATCCTTGTTGATTTTCGATCGATCCACGGGGATTTTTGCGCAAATCCTCGTTGATTTTCGATCGATCCACGGGGATTTTTGCGCAAATCCTCGTTGATTTTCGATCGATCCACGGGGATTGCGCGGAAATCCTTGTTGATTTTCGATCGATCCACGGGGATTTTTGCGCAAATCCTCGTTGATTTTCGATCGATCCACGGGGATTTTTGCGCAAATCCTCGTTGATTTTCGATCGATCCACGGGGATTGCGCGGAAATCCTTGTTGATTTTCGATCGATCCACGGGGATTTTTGCGCAAATCCTCGTTGATTTTCGATCGATCCACGGGGATTTTGGCGCAAATCCTCGTTGATTTTCGATCGATCCACGGGGATTGCGCGGAAATCCTTGTTGATTTTCGAGCGCGTGCTCGCGAACAAGTTCCACATCCACGAGGATTGAAAAAAAATCAGCGTGGATCAGTAGAATATCCGTGGTGATTGCATTTTTTTCAGCCCATGATCGATCCACGAGGAATCCCTGTATGATCCACGTGGAATCCCTGTACGATCCACATGGAATCCCTGTATGGTCCACGAGGATTACTAATCCTCGTGGATTTCCACGTGGATATCCATGCAATTTTTTTCAACTGGGTTCAAACAAGTATCGCGCTTTTTGTAAAATTGTGAGGGTATAAATTTCAAGGTGAGGAATTCTCATCTAGCGACCCAAAAATGACGTGAATTTCGAGATTTTTTTTCTCATGGAAAGAAGTAAATAAAGAAGTCAAATTTTTTGGTACTTATTACACATGTTATTAACTACTTTTACAAATTTTTTTAAAGAAAAGTACCGAATAGTTTCATAGTAATATGCATTGAGACATAGTGATGAAAAAAAGGCACCTCCATAAGCGCCAACTCAGCCAATTTTTGTCCGAAATCAAAAAAGCAAATTTTGTTATAAACTAGAAGACATTTGTTGGATCTTGGACTATAATCACGAAGAAAAGTTAAAAATTCATAAAATGGTGGACTTTCTTTTTTTTGCTCTAAAAAGTGCTGTAACAATAAAAATAATGATTGTAAAATTATGATTACAGTCCAAGATCCAGCAAATTTAATTGCCTTGAAATTTAAAAAAATCATCTTGATATCTATAATAGTTTTTGAGATATCTTGATATCGAGAAAAACGCGTTTAAATTTGTTAACTGCCATTGAGTGCCGTATAAGCGCTTACTCTCAATCCTGAGTTTGACCGACTAAAAATTCGAATTTGCTTATGAAATTTTAGCCAGGTATTCTTGAAAGCATAATCAATTCGAAAATACAACAAAAAAATTGATTTTTTAGTCAAGTTTGATGAGAACCTCCCCTTAAGGATAAACCTTTGAATTTGGTGCAACTGGAAATTACTTTCTAGTTATCTTAATGATTGCCTATTAGAATGCATGTATTTGAAAGATATATTATTTATTTTTTTTTAATTACTTATGAATATAATTCAATGAAAATAAATTATAAAATTTACAGTAAAATTTAAAATATAGAGTGACCAACTTTTTGTACATTATTATAAAATTTACAATTGTTTAATCTGATAATTTCAAAGATTTTCAATATAGACTGATGCTAGCCATCTGCGATGTCTATAACGTCTCCATCAACAACTACAAGATTTTCTACTCCATAATTGAGAATATTCATAACAATTTCATTGTTATCACCCTCATCATCATCGTCATTGACATCATCGATATCATCATCGTCATCATCATCATCATCATCATCGTCGTCATCGACATCCTCATAATCATCGATATGATCATTTCTTTCAACACCATGAAACAATAAGTTGAAACATGGGGACTTCTCATCTCGATAATGAGCATATGGAAATCTCTTGTCCAATATGCGCAAACATATCCAACAAAAATAGCAACTACATTTCCAGCAAGACATTTTATTACAGCCGTCTGATTTCTGTAAAATAAATAAGCAAATAGCAATTCAATTTTTGATTCAAGACAATTAATGTTCGAAATTAAAGTAAGTTTTCTAGCAATCAGCCGATCCTTATAAAATTTTACACACTTCTTTATTAACATATATGACAAGGTAATATACCAGAAAATTACAGAAAAAAGAAAAATTGTAATGAGTATTTTTCTATTTATTGCCATTTAAAACCATTTAAAATGTCGAAAATTAAGTATGAGATGATAAAGGATCTAAAAAAGGGTTATTTGGAAAAAAAATTTCCGACTTCCACCATTTCAATATTGAAATATCACTTTTTAGGAAGATGATGCGATTCCGAGAAAAAATATTTAAAAAACTCGTTAGAAATGTTTTTGAATACTTTTTTACCCTTAACACCGAGCAAGAAATAGGATGTAAATATATAATAAACGAGCAGAGAAAAAAATGATCAAAATAGATTTTCTCATTTTTTTCCAACCGGTAATAGTCCCTTAAAAATTACTACCAACCCCTTTTTATAAGTCTCTTAAAAACGAATCATTTCGTTTTCTTTAATTGTTAAGTTTATTGAGTACTAAAAAGTACTATTTTTAAGCAGTAAATTAACTAAATTTCGTTTTCAATAAAATTTAAGTTAAGTATATTATATTTTTGGTGCTATAAAAAAGTTTTATGAGTTGAAGAGATTATTTGAATTGAGGAGTTATTAGATAAACAATTTTAATAACTTAAAAGCCTACCTCTATTGAAGTTGAACATTTTGGACAATCTTTACTATTTTCACGCAACCATTGTTCCGATAAATAAGAATCTAAAAGTGTTTGCAATTGTTTTTTTCCATATTGCATTTCAAGTTTAGCTTTTTCTTCTGGGGAGCCATTTTTATATTCCTCTAAAATTTTCAATTTTTCTTCTGAAAAATAAATTAGTGCACTGAATAATTGTGGCAATGGATTATAAATAACAATACAATAGAGTGAAATGATCATACCTGGGATTGTTTTGCAAGGATTAATACCATGATATACACTCTTGCAAAATGTACAAAAACTGTAAAAACAATTAGGACAAGTTGCCATATTTTCAGTGCTTTCTTTGCTAGCTGGATACTGACAAACTTTTCTCGGGCAATAAATTGTATCTGTCATTGTATCTAATGCCGTTGACAAAAGTAAGGAATCATATTTGGAAAATAATTCATTTGATACTAAATCTTTTACTTGAATTGAAGAAACCTCTGATGAGCAATTATCTTCTGGGCACAATATATTGCTTACTTCACCTTCTTTGATTTTAATTTCCAAGTAACCCGCAATGCAATCTTTACAAAAAATATGTTCACAAGGTAAAAATTGCGTGCAGTTCTCACCGACCTTATCAGAAAAACATATTTTACAAGAGTGAAAATTTTTCCTGAATATAATTTTTTTTCTAACAGAGTTATAATCTATAAGCATTTGAACTGGGTCACAGTCATTTAATTTATCCAATATTGCTCTTTTGTCAAGTGAGCATTGATTTTTGGCAAAATGTTTAATTTTTGGTTTACTTTGTTCTGGTGCATCTATTTTAGGTAAAACAAAGGAATTATAAAGATGATCTATGTTATAACTATCATGTATTTTTAAGATTTCTAAAGTTTCATTTTGCAAAAAGCAGATCCAAGAAAATAAAATTTCTTGATTTGGGTTTTTTTTCCATATGTTATCTAAATTTTGACATAATTTGGTAGATGATTTTTTATCTAACCATGATGATCTTAAAATAAATTTTGGTGGAGCTTTAGAAGGATAATTTGATGGTAATGTAATCAACAAAGTTAATGGTGGTAAGTGAGAAATGATAATTTTTCTGTTCTCTTCTCCTTTTTCGATATTAATCTTATAATTCAGTGAAAAATTGTCCGGCAACAAAATGAATATTTTTAGTGTTACTTGATATAAGTCATTTTCAATATGATACGAAAACTCTTCATCCTGATAAATACTTTCTAAAGCATTGATTTCATCTTTTTGTTGTTCACTATCCATTATCTGCAGAAATCAAAATAAATAAATTTTTTACGGATTTAAATAAAATCTAGTAAATATGATTCATGTTTTTTAATATATTATATTTTTTTAAAATAAAGATTAAAAGAGCCAATCAAGTGAAATATTTTCACATAGCATAATAATAGTGTAATAATAGCAGACTATTTCATTCCCAATTAATATAAAAATACTTCAAAATCAACGTTTATTTTCAATATTTTATTAAAAAATAAGAATGTACTCAGTTGAAATAGACTAAATTGAAAAAAAGATGCTTTTAATGTAAATTTACCATTACAGATTTGAAGATAGATTTATCTTTTTAATATAATAAAATTATAAACGATTTAGAAGTCACTTATTTTTAACCTATAAAGAGTTAATCTTGCTATTCAAGCTCCTGAGAAAATTATTTAACTCATAACCACTTACTAATGAAATTTAGTGTTTAACCGTAGATGACTGTACCACGTAATATTTGCGTTATAGGCTTTTATTGATTAACATTTCGGACAATATTACTATTGCGACAAACGAGACAACAAAGTGAATATAAAACGGTATAAGATACTATAATTCAAACTCGAAGAACATGTCACGAACTGCAAATGCACTGCTATGTTTACATGCGTACACTTCGGTCTGCTAGAAAAGATTGAGTGACACCTGCTTATATACAGGAGACTGTATGTTGTACGTACACTATATACCAATTTAAATGTTCAATTTAGCTTTACATTTAAACTTTTTTTTGAAGTTTCTGAGTTGAATTGCTGAAGTTCTGGAAGTAAAGGTGAATTTCCTCACAACTTTAAGTGTAGTTTACAAGTTATTGGTAATCATCCTATATATGCACCAATGCCTATTACTAAAAATTTGAGTGCGTAAGAAAAAGAGATACTGAAAAATATTTGATGGAAACTCTATAGTGGTTCTATGTAAAATTTAGTCATTTCACTATATGCGTCAGTAAACAGAATTAATTTTGTGTTTTCCATGATAATAAAAACAACTAATATTTCTTTTTATGTAAGTATTTATTTACTTATACTCAATTTCTAATTGCTACTTTATTTACATTTGCTAAATAATTCTAGCTAAAATGGATTCCATTGTATTAATACAATAAGCTTAGTTATATTCTAAAACAATGCTTAGCTTACAAAATATTTACAGAAAATCAATTAATGATACAAGTTTGATTTTTATACATCATCAATTTCATCAAGATGATTTAGTTTCAATAAATTCTTTTTATCAATTTGTACATTTGACTTTTTTGTTGTCTTTTTTTTATCAATTTTTCTAGTGCCCACTTCATACTCGGGCATTATAACTTTTGATTTTCTAAATTCAGGACGAATTTCTGGCTTATTGTTCTCAACCTTTTTCTTTGGTTTTTTAAACGTTATTATACCTGAATTTGTATCCTCTTGAACACTATCGTTGTCAACTTCCATATTCAATATAGACACTTCATTCAAAGGTGCAGATTTAAGCTTTTTTCTACCATTGTCGTTTGAACTGTGAGCATTATTTTTTCTATTCTTCAATTCACTCAAGAAAGAAAAGGCTGCAGCACGATTACTGTCATTAGATATATCTGATACATCATTCAAGCTGTAACATGTCCATTTATCTGGATTAATGCGATAGTCTGGGATTGTTCTTATATTAGCACGAGGAGCGGGTCCCTCAGGACGGTTATATATGCTCTGACGACCTCGATAGCCATGAATTCTATTCTTTCCACCATTACTAATTTCTACATTATTACCAGAAATTTTAAGCTGTTCAATTTTTGGTACTCTCGAGTTTGTATGATTGTTGTGTTTATTCAGTGACTTTTCTGCATCGTGTAGAACATCAAATAATTTTTTCTTCCGTTCGATGAAAGCTGCTGGCGTTGAATCAGTTAGCTTTTTGTCCGGACCCATCTTTGTAATTTCTGAAACGATTTGTTCTACGAGAGAAGTTTAATCAATAAAGTTTGAAAAGTCAAAACAATCGAGTACATACGTTGTAGATCGTAGGTTAGTTTTATAGTTTTAACAATGTAAACATTGAAATTATCGTCTGCGCAGTTGCGACGCAAGATTCGACAGTCGATACAATTGAGATTTAAGTCAAATGTATAATATTAGAACGTCATTTTTGCAAAGTGCGGAGTACGGAGTGGGGCACTGATACTGCCCAGTGGCTCCACTCAGTAATGCAATCTTTCGGATTATTTAGATACTATTGTAGGCGTCGTAAAAAATTTAAAAAGAAAAGCTTGATCATATTTTTATATTGTAATTTAATGTAGGTAAGTGATGTTAATGTACATGTAATGTGATAGAAGAATGGATATAACCTGCTTTAAGTACTATTTAACTCACTTTCCCTCCCAAAGTTGACTTACGCAGTATTCACAAGAGGTATGTTACCATAAATAAAGTAGATAGAAAAAGATTACAAACTAATGAAGTTTAATTTGACACACATGGATAAAAGTATACTTCAGTTTTATGTCAGGATGTTTACATTTTAATTGGATTTTTAGGGTTACAGAACGTTGTTATCAAAATAATAGACAAATGGCTAACTATTCACATTACAGTCTAAGTTACTTAAATGCAAGCAATATTGTACAAAATAATAAAATATACATTAATTAATTATTCTAGGCATTCTCGTGAGCAAGACCATTGTCAATGTATCTTTTGAGACAAAAATGAATTATTCAACATTTAACTTGAGATTAATTTACAAGTATATTGCATACGTTTTTAAAAAACAATTTATTGAAAATTATTGAAGTATGTTACGAGCCTGTGCGAAGAATAAATGATAGAGTGTGATGTACAATTTCATGAATTTTATAAATGACTAGTCGATGAAAGCGTTGTTTTATCTATCCATATTACACGATAACTTGAATCGTATTGAGTTAAATTTCAGCAGTAAATTATTGCTAATTTTTCAAATAAAATATTCAATCGATGGCAAAGGGTGCAACATATTTGGTCGTCAAATAATACTTTCCTCGTAGCCTGTATGACAAGAAATATTTCAAATTTAAATTATTCGTGTGGAATCGATGGTGTTGCATGTTTATACTTACGACGTTGATGCGTATTCACCCATAAGGACGATGGGATTACGATCACACAGCCCCTCTTTGTATTTTTCCCAACTTTCACAATTTCTCGATTTAAATCCAGAAGTACTGCCGATGCTCTCTGTCATTAGTTGGTAAGCTCGTGTATGACTGCAGTAAGCTAAGTATATGAAAAAAAAAAAAAAAAAATTAAATTGACCGCTGCGTTCGCAATTTTTTTAAATAAAATTTTCTGCTATTTCACGCATGCAAATAAATCGACAACTTTTTCTGGACACTCACTGTTTGTTGGAGCGAAATTACAACCAGGTTGAGGAAATTTTCCACTATTGGGATAGAAATCGACGTGACCTATTGGTGCTAAAAATCCAAAAGCTGTACCGCTAGTATGTATCACATCGACAAACTGAGCATCTGTTGGATCGAGACGAAAATCGGGATCGACACCACCGGATGGAGTTTCAAAAAGCGGACTCGCCGGATCAAGACCTTTGAAAGTGAGAGTAATTAAAATTTTTACCTCTCTTGATTAAAAAATTGAGAAAAAAAAGTACCCGTTATCCTTCCTATTCTTCCGTCGAGTAATGCGCCCGTGAACCCAGCCACATGACAGCCAAGACTATGACCACAGATGTGTACATCTTTGTAATCTAGATTGGACTCGCGACTTAGAAATTCAAGAAATACTCCAAGATATTCACCGATTCGGCGAGTATTATTTGCTGCTGTAGGGTAAGGATCAGCAGCTAATACACCCCAACCGACTACTATTACATTTACATCTTGGTATTTGAGATAAGCTATAAAAAAATAATTTGATTAATTTTGAATGAAGTCATGATTTTTGATTTTAAAAAAGAAATAATGAATCAGCAATGATATGTTAAGATTCACATGGCTAACGTTGATTGCGATTCATGTAATTGCAAACATCTCATAATATAATCATAAGATTGATTAAATTTTTTTAAATGTACCAATATTAAAATTAATAGTTTTTCTTTTCCATGTCTACCATAAAGTCCTTTTATAATCATTAGGTTCTTGTTCAATTATATACTATTTCATAAAATCAAAGAAAATAGTTGAAAAAGTAATTATAAAAGACCATAATTTCGATTTATCAACAAATCAAGAAGGAATACGTAATGACACTAGGATCAACTTTTAAAGAAAATATTTTATTTCATTTCCTACCGTCAACTAAATTTCTGATCCATGCCTCTTTTCCAGTATCGCTAAAGCCATGTATCAATAGTTTTGTTGGCCTGCTTTCGTTGAAATGTGATGCATAGAGAACTTCTGTATTGTTAAGAAGCAATTGTTCTTCTCCAAAAGGATTTTCCCTGCAATAATAGTATTATAAATATTAAACTTAACATTTTTCACTAAACTTATTGTACTTATATAAAATAAAATACATTAATAATTTTAATTGCAATAATTAAAATTTTCTCTTTCAAATATTAAATCAAATGTGAACTTTGAGAAATGCAAAATGCCACTTTCCAAATAAGTATATAAATGCGAAGTATATTTATGATACCGGCATATCATGATTCACGGCGAACTTGATATTGACCTGAATTTTCAATGTTAAGCTCAATAAATGTTGTCCAACACGCAAGTTTTATGTCAAACTAATGTCGAATCTTTGAATTTGCAAAATTTCATAAAAAATGATTATTTATTAGCATAAGAACATTAACGGCGTTTGTCATTCACCGATAAAAGAATTTTGCGCTATAAAAAAGTATCTTGTGCAAATATTTTATTCACGCGACTCGTCGAAACGGAGCACGTCACCGCTGAGAATAGAAGTGTTATACAAAAGCTTTGGTGATACGAAATAATACGAATTGTTCAAATTCTTTTGATTCAAAAAAAAATGAACTAGAGATTCACATGGAATTCAAAATATATCAAATGATTTTCCAGTGCGACAATGATGAAAATAAAATTATTTACCTCGTGTAAAGTTTAAAAGTAGCTGGTTCATTTATAAGCTTTATGGCTTTATTAATGATTGTTTCAACTTCATTCAATAAAGTATTTTGAGGCAGAATCTCCTTTGAATTGGTGATATCTATGAACCCTGAAATATTTGTCAGCGTAGTGAGAATGATTAGTTATTTTTCTTAGTAAAAAAATCAATATCAGGAAAACTAACGAATATATTGAATAATTTCATAAAGTACTCACGCTCAAATTCCATCTTTAATATAATAGATCAAGAGATGAAAAGGTCAAAAGTTAATAAATGCATTATTCCAAAGAATATTATTATTATTTTATTTAAAATTTAAGATGATAGTTATCCAAGGCCAAGGAAAAGTCACGAACGTAATGCTTATTATTAAAAACGATTTTCTAAGCACAGCGTACGAATAAAAAAAAAGTGCAAAGATTGTTTTGCATCGATTCGGTTTTATTGGTTTCTAAACGATGGGGTTTGATTTTACTTGAATGGGTATGGGAAAATTTGTCGACGATTGATTCGTAAGGTCAAACTAATATCGGAAAGCTAGAAAAGTAGATTAATCAGAATTTGCGTAATATTAGTTAGAAAACTAGTACGAGATTAGGTATTTTTATCGTGGAGTAATTGAATAAAAATCGTCCAGTCGAGGAAGGTTCAGTGTAAAAAGTCGAACGATGAGGTATAAGAAATTTACTCACCGGAAAAGCTGAAAAAGCCAATGTAAATGGTGCAGCAAAGCCACTTGTTCATAGTGGCGAGTCGGCGGATTCTCGAGGAGGACAAAGGGTGCAACAGAGGACGCAGCTGCCTCGGCTCGGAAGGATCACGTGGGCGGTACTGAGCTTTGATGGGCTTTCGGGAGGCGCAAGCTCGAGATTCGACGGTCGCGAGTAGACAGTAAGGCTCGGATGGAAGTTAATCATCGAAGCGCAGAAACGAAACTAAAGTCGGCTCATATTTATATGTGCAGCGATCGATTTCGCGTCGTTAGTGGATGCTGGACTGGTGCGCGTCGGTGCGTGCGAATACACTTTAGCTGAGAGTCGGGTAGGCATATTATGCTCTCTGCGGTGGCGACTCTCGTCTCTCGATCTCTTCCCGATAACAGGCGCCACACGCAGCAACGAGTGCCGCGGCGTCGCGCCATACGGCCACTTTCTCGTCTCGCTCTCGGCTCGCACGAGTAGCGACCGCAAGTGCATCGCAGCGACCCGACTCAGCCGACCACGACAAGACTTAACGCCGAGAAAAAGAAGCAGCGAGATTAAAACTGATCAAACTCGACGCGCCGCTATGCAAATATTTTAGCATGCAATTATAGGATGTAGCGCCGGCCGTCGTAGCTATATATAGGTGTCGTCCAGTCTCTACGCTACTCTCTACATGCATGTGCATTTATAAATATACGACGGCCGAGCTCGTATAATATATTATTATGAATGTGCGCAATTATTATTATGAGCTCGTGCAGATGGTGTGGCGATGATAGTTTCGATGACGTAGTAATTGTCAAGAATCTGCGACTCGCTCGAAAAATTCACGAGAGTCTCGAGCGAGAGAAAGAGAGACGCTTCTCGCGTACGCCCAAGGCGAAAAGGCCTTTTTCATAAATGAGAATTATCTGGCGCTTGCTTTATTGCGCGTGGCGCCGAATATTTATAAGCGCCTATATATACATGTGCACGCGCGCCGCAACTGCAGCATACATTAGCCAGCATAGCTCTCGAATCCGGATGTGTAGATTCGACTTGATAAATTGTGCAACCACTGGCGGCGATCGGCGATGATTGATTCGCGCGACGATCTCCAAGCATTCGTATATTGTGCAGTTCGTCTATGCGTAGCATCTGCAAACGAGTAACTCACGCTCTTTTTTATTTTCCAATAATTCCTCAATGCTCATTTGCATCATTTTACCATTCTGCAGCTCATATTTTAGCATCGGGCTCGAATTTTTCATTTAAAATCATTTGAATCTCTACAAAATTTCAAAGCATATATGATATATATTGATAGGACATCTGATCTTACAAGTTTTAAGTATTTTCGTAAATCTATGAATTAAGCTTTGTAACTTTCTTCCATTGACGTTTTGTGAGCTTGCATTTGCAGTTGTCGATTCATCGAATTATCCAAGTTTTATCGTGTGTTTTATTAACAATTGGCGTCATAATATAGATACTTTCAGTTTCCGGTATGAGAGAGTTGCCGAAAATAAACTCAATCAAATTTTTTTCTCCGAAAAATATTTGAGATTACTTTTCTATGTATATTTCAACACTAAATGCAAGTTCGGACAAAGAATGTGAAAATAAAATCAATCAAAATAATTTCGTAAAACGTGAAATAATTCTGAATCGCTTCGCCACAGTTCCATGGCAAATTGCGAATTAGAGTGTTGAAGTGCTTAGTTCATAAATATCATTATTCATCAAATTTTAGATGATTGCAGGTTTTGGTTCAACGTATTATCATTACGCGCCAGCTGCCGATAATATGCAAATCGCGTCATGTGTTGCTAAATTTCTAAATGCGTAGTAGAAATCGATAAATGCGTTTGCAGTCTGAGCAATCGCTCTCCAAATAATGTGATTATCTCGTTTCTAATAGAACGAAACAACTCAACTTCATTATCAGCGGATGTTCAGATTTCAAACATTTTTATGCAGTGCTTTATTTTCGTCTAACGATCATAAAACCAAATAAATATAATTAAGGACGTACCGATCAAACCAGCTAGATAGAAATAACAAAATGTATTTTTCTAAAGAGCTACAGGAATGTCTGTATTTTGTTGATTTCTAAACATTCGCATAAATATTTAAAAATATATTCAATGGAATTTTCGGAAAAAACGTTTGACATTTTTCATTTCTTCGCTGGCTTCGGTATATCCTTATTTAAAAAAATGTACTGATTAATGATCATGATCATGTCGTGCGACCTGCAAATCTATTTTTCAGGGGTATTAATATTAAGTTTAGAAAAATGATGAATATTTTCCATTTGGATTGACTCAATTATAAGTTATTAGTAAAAGTGAAAATAGCACTTACCTGGCGACATTATTTATAAATTGCAATTTAAAAAAAATAAAATCTTGTAAATTATTACCAAAAGTACATATTCATGAATTTTTCGCTCAAAATTTATTTGCAACGACTTTGTTGTTTATTTGTTACTGAACATAATGAAAATAAATGGAGGTTTTATCATTTGACAAAGGTTATTTTAATTTAAAAATGATAACTATTTTCAGAGTAAAAATCATAATTAAGATACAGTTATGACGAATAGTTTGATATCGTTGAATCAGTTCATTTTTGGATCATTATATTAAATGCTTCGACCTTCTCATTAGATATAAGCGACTTTTTATTTAAATACCGTCAATGATACATCGTGCATTTGAAAGCAGACCATTAGCACCTGCAATGCGATGAAAGACCCAGAAAGTAGTTATTTGAATTGTCGTATCTGCTCTCAAAATAGGCCCATAATCAGTCTACTAAGGTCTATTAACGAAATCATAATAACAATTATCGACGCGTCATCAGATGGATACTTAATCAGTCACGCGTCGCAAACTTCCAACTCGACGTAGTAAAGTGTTGTCCGCTACACAGGGCATGCACACCGAGTAGTATTATATACGTCATCGCCACAGCATCGCATTCAGGATGCAGATCCTGATACTCCTCGCACTCGGCCTCGTCAGCTTCGTTTCTGCCACTGACGAGATCCTTGGCTGCGGCGGTTTTGTTAAAAGCCATGCCGACATTGATTTTAGCCGTATCACTGTCAAATTGTAAGCTCATTATTTTACTGTGACCTAACCTTTCCGGCGTTTTATAGTCTGTTCACTAAAATTGATTGTTTGAATAAATTATTTATGCTAAAAATTATAAATGACAAAGAGAAATGAAAGAAAACATCAAAGGAAGTTTCTTTGCTTCAACTGAAACTATGAATATCTCCTTTAAATATAGCACTAAATGTAACAACCAGTTGAAATTGAATACATTTTTAACAGTCTGTTGATTTAACATAACATAAAATATTTGTTAAATAATTTTCTGAACTGCAGATTATAAATTATTAAAGTTCTTGATAATTTCTTCCCTTCTAAATTCATCAATCAAGACAAATCATATTTCAATACCAGGGAGAGTTGTAAATAAATGTCATTCAAGCTATGTAATAGTTGCATATTTGTCTTATCTTAGAGATTTACTTATTATTTTTAATTTATTTTCAGATTTACCAAATCAGGAAGTTTAAAAGATCACACAGAGTGTGCTCCTAATACTGGTTATTACTTCCTTCCAATTTATGATAAAGGAGAATATTATTTGAAATTGGAACCTCCAACCGGCTGGAGTTTTGAACCTACAGAAGTTATATTAAATATTGATGGTTCAGGTGAAGATTTGTGCAGTCAAGGAAGTGATATAAATTTTGTCTTCAAAGGTTTTGGTATAACTGGCAAGGTTGTCACATCCAAAACAAAATCTGGACCAAAAGGAATATCTGTTTCCTTATATGACGAGCATAATACAACACTTTTGGGATCTACTTCAACTTCAGATAATGGAATTTTTTCCTTTACTCCAGTTCAGCCTGGAAAATATATTTTGGTAGCTAGTCATCCAATGTAAGAATTATTTTAATATTTTCGTAAAAAGTTTTGAACTTTCAAATATTTCAGTTTAATTTTACTTTTTTACTTATTGAACATTTTTATAATAAAACATATTGAGTTTAGATGGCACATGGAAAAACACTCTACTAGTGTCATTGTTAAAGAAGGAAATACTGAAATTAAAGATGGTGACTTGAGTGTATTTGGTTTTGATGTTGGTGGAAGAGTAACTACCACTGAAGGAGAACCAGTTGGGAAAGTAACATTTTTACTGTATGGTGTAAGTAAAAGCTAATCCTTATTGTTATTTTTATATAACTTGGCTTCATGATTAAACAATATACATTGAAAAAATTGTTGTAGAATGGCCAAGCAAAATATTGTGCCACTAAACCAGTTGAGGGTTTTGATTCAAAAAAGAAGCCTTTGTGTCACATTCTCTCTGATGAAAATGGTAGATTTTCATTCCCTGCTTTATCTCCAGGAGAATATACTCTTATTCCTCATTATGCTGGGTCAAAAACGAAATTTGATGTCAAACCTTCAGAACTTCCATTTTCTGTTGTTCAAGACAGTTTAATTTTATCTCAGGAGTTCAAAGTAACTGGTTTTACGATCAGTGGAAAAGTCATGGCATCCATAAAACCAGCAATTCCTTTAGCTGGGGCAAAAGTATTTTTATCAAAAAAGCAAATTGCTGTTACCGATAAAAATGGAGCTTATAAGACTGATAATATCAAGGCCAAACAATACATACTCTATGCTGAAGCAAGTAAGTATTATAGGAATTTTCGAAGTTTAATTTTCATAATTATATTTCAAATAAAGTAAGTAAGCATAATTTTCTTTTCATTATACAATATTTCAAAATTTTTTTTCTATTCCTGCAGATGATATGCTTTTTGAAGAAATGCCTGTTAAAGTAATGCCAAGCAATCCTGAATTACCAATCATTACTCCGAAATCATATAAAGTATCAGGAAAAATTTCATCAACAACAAAAATTAGTTTAGAAAATAGGAAAATGCTTGTTAAATCGAAAGATTCAACTAAAATGCAAGAAATTGAAATTAATCCAAATACCGGTGAGTGGTCTGTGTATCTTACTCCAGACACCTATCACCTCAGTGTTATTGTTGATGAACATGAAAAGTCTAAAGGTTTACAGTAAGTGTTAAACATAATTCAATATACTTTGACAATATTGATTGGATAAGAATTTGAAAAAAATTTTCTTTATTCCAGGTTCTTCCCTGTCAATCGTGTCATAGATGTAGTTGCATCACCAATCAAAGATGTTAACTTCTTGCAACTCAAAGCCACTCTGAAAGGCTCTATTGTTTGTTTACCTGATAAAGATTCTAAAGAGACATGTGGACAAACACAAATAACTTTAAGAATGGTAGATAATTTAGTTGAAAGCAAAACAGTCAAAGCTAAAGGTAAATACGATTTTATTTAACAGTTTAATTATTCTAAAGTATGGCAAATAATGCTCTAAAATTTTTTAGATGGAGAGTACATCTTTGAAGATGTACTGCCTGGACAATATGAAGTTATAATAGACTCAGATACTTTCTGCTGGGATAGTTCAAACCACTTTGTAACAATTGTTTCGGAAAAACCTCCAAACGTACCACCTTTCCGCCAAACAGGATACTCTGTTACATTTATATCATCTCATAATACTAAAGTTGAATATGCAGTACCTTCTCAGCAAAATAAAAAAATGTACTTGCAACTTTTGAAAGGAAGCACTAGGCACTGCATAACTATGCCAGGAAAATATGAATTTTTCCCAAAAGGCTGTCATACTTATGCTAAAGATTCATTTTCATGGAATACAAATGAACAAACTCCGATCATTTTATCTTCTTCTGAACACACTCAAACTGGAAAAATAATTAGTGCTGTATCTGTGGAGGGTGTATCTGTAAAAATTGAGGGAGAGTCTGACGGTCAATCTCCAATTATGTATGTAATATTAACACATTCATTATGACTGATAACTTATAATATTAATAAAAATTTTTTTTTATAGCCAAAAAAATCTCAAAGCAGTTAAAGATGGGGATAAATATAAGTATATGTTTTCTTTTGAGGCAGTTACTGGAGAAACGTACGTTATTTCTCCATCATCTGAAGCTTTACTTTTTGATCCTCCATCTATAAAAGTCACAGGTCCAGAAGATTGTAATGATGATGTAGCTATATTCCGTGCAGAGCAAGGAAAAGTAAATATATTTCAAATTATTTATTAATCAGGACTATTTATCTCCAATAATGAATCTAAACAACAAAATTATTATTATTTTCAACAGATCATTATCGGTTCTATATCCCCACCCCTAGAAGGAGTGTCAGTTCAAATTTTTGGAGTAGACAAAGAAGTCCCTGTACATACATTAATGACACAAAAAGATGGATCATTCAAAATTGGACCTCTTGATGCTAGTATTGAATATAGTATAGAAGCCAAAAAAGAGGGCTATGTTTTGAAACACGACGATGGCTCATCAGGCTATAAATTTCTTGCTCGTAAATTAGCTGAAATCAACGTTCAAGCTATTGACGTTGCAGGCTCCGTTCCACTTCAAGTATGTTAATTGTAATTCATATCATAATGATTTTTTGTAACGAGTCTAAAAGCATACTTTTCTTGCAGGGTGTGTTGATTTCTTTATCAGGTAGTAACGGTGGGACTCATAGCTACCGTAAAAACCTCGTAACAATGGAGGACGGTAGTTTAACCTTCCACTCTTTGTCACCGGGTGAATACTATCTTCGACCAACAATGAAAGAATATCGTTTTGAACCCGCTTCAAAAATGATCAAGGTTGAAGAGGGAAAAAGCGTTAAAGTATCTCTGCAAGGTCGACGAGTAGCTTTCAGTGCCTATGGTACTGTCAGCTGTTTGAATGGTGAACCAGAAGCAGGATTAGTGGTAGAAGCAAAAGGTCAAGCGGAATGTTCTCATTTACAAGAGGAAGTTGTTACTAAAGCTGATGGAAGCTGGAGAATCAGAGGACTCGAGCCTAAAGTATTATTGATTTTTAAATCCATCCACTTGAATATCTTATCACTTTTGAATAATGACTTTTATTAACTTTTCTTTAGTGCATGTACACAATTAGGGTAAAACTGGAAGATACCAATATTCGTGGTCTCAGAGCGATTCCGAGTTCTATTGCCGTTCAAGCAACGCAAGACGTTTATGACATTAAACTTATGGCTCTACAGCCAGTATCTCGTACCGATGTGTCTGTAAGAGTTATTTCGACTCATCCAGAAAACTACCGTACTCTCAAGGTATTTGAAAAATTTATGATCAATTTTTAAAATTATCCGAGCTCAAATTTTCCACAAATACTGATTAAAAACTAATTTAATTTTTAGGTAAAACTTTGTCGCGAAGATCAGGCAGATTCGCCCATTCACGTTTTGAGATTAGATAATAACAATCACATGAAATCAACCAATAGTGGAGTAATTTTGCATTTTCCGCCTCTTCAAATAGATGGCAAAAAATACTTTGTTCAACTTGAAACTACTTTGTCAAGAGCAACGCATAAGTACGATATAAAGCCATTTTACTTTACAGCTAATAGCTCTTTCAAATATGCGGAACTTCATTTCAATGGAGAACGCCATCACGATCATGGAGATGGCGGTCAAATAACTTATTTACCACTGCCGCTTATTCTGATTGTTACCATTGCTTTTTATAACCGTGAGGCTCTCTCAGCCTGGCTTAACACTACTGTTGAAAAATGGTCGAGAAAATCGACAACAAAAAGTTCTCAAAATCAACAAAATCTTTTGGCTTCGAGTGACCCTCGATTAGAAGAACAGCTTATTGCTGAGCAGCTTAAGAATATTAATGCTAAAAGCATTAGCAAAAAAGTAAAGCCGAGGAAGGCCTAGCAGTACGATTAATTTGACGATTAATCATTTGAGTTTTACAATTTCAAAAAAGTAATCTAGGTATGATGTATCAATTTCTTACTATTTCGTTAACGAAGTCAGTAGTTTTGTGATTTTTTTCGAGTAGGTAAGAATATGCAGTTAAATTTGTGTTCATTTATTGTTAAATATAATCGTGATTGTTCACATTTGTATTTTTTTTATGTAAATATTTACTTAAGTAAAATGAATATGATTCATTAAAATGTATGCACGTAAAATAGATCTTGTCTTGAACTTTTTGTAAAGACATTTTGGTAAAAACAATCATTTAATAAATGTACTGAATTAATAACGGACTGTATATAAACTAACTATTAATAAAATATTATGATGAACGGAAAATGCTCTTATTATAAAGCTCGTTTCTTCTGTGAGCTGACACGAAAAAAATTATGAAAACGATTTTTTATTATAAGCACAATGAAATGTCTAGAATAAAAACTATGTTACCATACGTTCTAAAAAATTTACTTGTAATTTCGACTATTTAAAATGAATTTTGCATTTGTGTAATATTCATCATGAATTTGTGTCCATTCCAAAATAATATTGAACTTAATCGACTGAGTTTCAGATTTGTTTTATGTACTCTTATAATCGAATTAGATTGTTAATATTAAATAGGGGCTGTAAATTCTTTCACAACCCATGGAGAAAATATTGAATAAAATGAAGAATTTATGAAAATTATAAAAGTTTTTTCCTGCCCTCCTCCACAATTGTCGTTAAAAAAGAAAATAATCTGAAAAAATCCCACAAACATCATTTCAAGTTATAATAAATCAACAATATTTATGTAAGTCCTATTTGAAGATTAGACTATCTTTATCTCTTTAAAGTTTAAATAGAAACAAAGATACATTGGATGCTGTCGCAAGAGCAGAAGATATTTGAATGTGTGCAGGGAATCCCTGTAGAATTGAATACAATCAAGCACTTAATAACCGTATCGTATTATCAAGCAGTCGCACAGCGTCTGCTTGACTGCAGACTTATAATATGAGTGTGTTACATTACTTTCCGTTTCTTTTGTTGTTATTTGCTGGGAAATGTACGAGCAAAAATATAGTTCTAATCGTTGCCGACGATTTGGACTCTGTCCTCGATGGGATGGTTCGTAATGTGTAATCAAAATTAACTCGTGTACGTAAAAAAATTGTAAGTTCGTAAGGTTGTTTTAGGAACCATTGGCAAATACGCGAAAATTCATCGGAGAAGAAGGAGTGACCTTTGATAAAGCGGTAAAAGCATTATATTCCGAAATTTATTGAGCTACACCACGATATCGCGATATTTACAGTTTGCAGCTTCACCAATATGCTGTCCGAATCGCGCCTCTATCCTAACGGGCAAGTATCAACATAATCACGGTACCTACGACAACTCATTGGCCGGTGGCTGCAACGGAAAGCAATGGCAAGTCGAACACGAAAATAATACCTTCGCTGCTATTCTCAAACGCCAGCAAAATTACAAGACATTTTACGCTGGCAAATATTTGAATAAGGTAAAGTCGAGTTCTGCAAACAGTCAATTTTGAGATCTAAAATATTATCATGTTTATAATAGTATTAATTGTATAATTGGTGCTTATTATCGCTTTAGTATGGAAACGAAAAAGCCGGAGGAGTGTCACGTGTCCCAGCAGGTTGGGATGCTTGGTACGGCTTGGTTGGAAATTCCAAGTATTATTCTTATTCTTTATCCATCAATGGCAAGGAAAGAAAGTATGGGACTTCGCCGAATGATTACCTGACCGACGTAATTGTGAGTACTAAGTACCAATAGCAGTCAATTTTATGAATTTTACCAAATAAAAAATACTTGTTCAATGAATTTTCAGAAAGGTTTTGGCCTGAACTTTTTGAGACAGCAAAAAGCCGAGGAACCATTTTTAATGGTACTGGCTCCACCGGCTCCTCACGAACCCTTCACTCCGGCTCCTCGTCACAACGACAAGTACAAAGGTAAAACAGCCAAACGGACCCCTAACTTCAACACTATATCTCAAAAGGTCAGTCGCCTGTAAAGTCGAATTTTATCCTCGCGTCCAAGTGACCGCTCAAAAGTAATTATCTATACGGATGAAATTTCGCAGGACAAACATTGGCTTGTACGAATGGGTCCTTCGCCACTGCCTTCGAACGTCGTCAAGAAACTAGACGAAATCTATCGTAGGCGCTGGGAGACCCTCGTAGCGGTAGACGAACTCGTTGAAGCTGTGTATTCTCAATTGTCGTCGCAAGGACTTCTAAACGAGACTTATATCATTTTCACGTCCGATAACGGTTATCATATAGGTAATTTTAATTAAAATGTTTAGCAGATTTTTTTTACTACATCTTGGAAATTGTTGAAGGCCAATTCAGCCAACCCTACGACAAACGACAGCCCTACGAAACAGACATTCGTGTGCCTCTGCTTATTCGAGGGCCAGGTATCGATCGAGCGACTCGTGTCAATTCGACGGTTAGCAGCGTCGATCTGTTTGCTACGATTCTTGATATCGCAGGAATCGAGGTGCCTTCCGATGGAATGTCGCTACTCAATTACACTGTTCAGGATCGTACAGTTCTGGTGGAGTACAAGGGAGAAAAATCTGAATCTAAGCAAAGCACTGGTTGTCCAAGTGATAACGACATCAATCTTAGCGTATGTATATTATAAATTCATTGAAGCCACGCTAATAAGTACTTACAAATTATTCCTCTACTTGATGTGCAATTTTTACGTGATTAACAGCATTGTAGCAAAGATTATTCTTGCAAATGCCAAGATGTCGCCAACAACACCTACAGTTGCGTGCGAAGAGTTACCAAAGATGAAGACAATGTTTTTTGTGTCTTCAAAGATAACGAGGTACATTTTGTTTCTTTATAAGACCCACTTATAACATTCAAAGGGTGAAAATTAACGTTGAAAATTAATTTTTCGCATGCTTTTAATGACATTTGGAAATTCTAATTACCTACAATTGATATAAAGCTATTTAATCGAACTTTCATTTTTCAATTGTATGAAAAGTTTTTATTTGCAATGGTAGATAGAGAAATTATTTTTCAAACAATGCAAGTCCCTTTGAGCTCTCAAACAACTGATTTTTATTGATACTGATCGTTCGTACCTGTTATAATTTTAGGACTTTGTTGAGTTTTATGACATGCTTAAGGATGAATTTCAAATGAACAATATGAGGGTTTCAATGGGTTCACGAAAACGACATCGTTTCCGTAATCGTTTAAAAAAAATGGATACCTGTCATGGCAGGACGTGCATTGCAACTAATCCACCGTTAAATATAAAAAAAACCTAATCAGTAAGATTAAACAGACTTTATGAATATTTTTTGTTAATGGAAAAAGTTATTTTAAATAAAACATTGATAATTTATATTGGTAGAAAATATTGAATACAATTCTACTTCGATGCCTCAAAATCCTGAACATTTTCAGATGACTGTGCCCGCAGATATTCTAATAAATAAATCAATAAAAGGTATGTCGTGAAAAAAATAAAGAATTATTTGAATTGAAAAAGTAGCGCATTGATGATTTTCAAATATGTTTTGATATAGATACGTAGAAAGGTCGCGGATTCGATGTGGAGTATGTTATATGGGAGTGCGTTTAAAAACCAGTAAGCAAATAATAAAAGGATGTTCTTGCATTAGACGTGAACTAACCGGGCTGGAGCTATCTTGAAAAGTTAAAATCTGCTCGATGGACCGAGCGCACCCCATAGCGGTATTTAAAGGGCTCGCGTCGTCGCGACACTGCACACGCGCTACGAGATTGTTATCTGAGAAAATATTTTCGCTCGGGTCGGCTGGCCCGCGCGCTGGGCTTCTCTGACACGCGTCATTTGAATATCATCTGAATAATAATTCAAACAGTACCGTCTGTTGACGCGAACGCAGATACTATACATCCGCGTGTGTATGTAGTCATACTGCTCGATGTAGAGAGATAATCGATTGAGCGCCTGAGCGCTTGGCGTGAAAAACAGATTTTTAATCGATCGAATTTTTCAATGTTCAAGCAAAAACAATCGCACCGAGGAGTGTGCTGGACGTTTTTTTCAATCCGTTCTAAGTCGCCACATCTTTGGATCGGAGTCTGCAAGAGGTATTCGAGTAGCGAGCTGGAACTCGTGCATACATCTGCGCAAACGATTGAGCGACTGGCTGCATTTTAGCTTGAAAAAACTAGACCAAAGCGCAAACACGAGCTGGTAGACGTAGCGTCGATTTGAGCTGTGGGCATCAAAAAGAGCGCCTCGTTGAAGTACATGTTTTAAGTACACAGCAGATTTTGGAGGCTGCTTTCAAAAATTTGAAAGTATCAAGAAGGGAGTAAGAGCGAGCCGCCAGTCACGCGTATGTTTATAACGTATCGACTAATTTTCTACAGATTTTTGAGTGCCGAAACAATTGAAGTTGAAAGGTATGGATTGTTCGGCCTTGTACATGATTATTAACTGTTATTACAGTGGCTCTCGCACTTCCGATTATCAAAGAGTACCGAAAGCTGGTTTTAATGAAAATATTATCCCATCGGAAAAATCACGCCTTCCTTTCCACACATTCGTGTAAAGCAGTAAAATCGATCGCTCGATACACGAAGCTCAAAAAATTAATGTAATCTTCGTAAGAAGTAGATCGTTAAATTCGCTCGGTCAGTTTCAATTTCTTTTTAAGGCTAAGTAAAAAACACCTTTATCTGTATTACATGCCTTGGGCCGCCGAATGCAGGTCGAACGTGTGCAGGGCCAGGACAAAAGTATAAGACGCTCGTGCGCACGTACAGATGCGTATTATAAAAGTATAAAACGCGTGTGTACACAAGACGATGATTGTAAGAGTTGGCACGCTCGATCGATCTCAGCACTCGATTGTGCGCGAGGATTACGGTTTCGCGGTGCAGCCTCAAAGTCGCAATTGCCCAGCCAGTCGTGAGATCGGTCCAAGTTTCGAATAAGTTTTCGTCCCTCCGGCTTTTCCACTAGGACGAGAACTCGGAAAGCGATTGGCTTTGCGCTTCATCGACGCGATTATTCACCGACATTATGGACTAAGTTTCTTCGTACCTCTGCCTAATTCCTTTCTTCCACGAGCGCATCTACTCAAGTTCTCTCCCATTGTCGCGCGGAAAGCACACGGTGAAAAAAAATACAATTGTCGAAAGCGCATACCAAGTGTTTGACGAAAATTTACTTGCTTATTTGTACATTTCGTCATGATTTCTATCGTCTTTGCGCAGCTTGATCGACGTTCCTAATTCACTATTTATTCGCTCGATTACACTAAATAAATACTGTCTCGTTCGTAACGAGGCTTTTTCCACGCGAGTGTGAGGCGTGATTCAAAGGTGTTAAAATTACTACTTAGCTTTGAACACTTCATACCCCTTGCACGGAGAAATCGGCCACGCTCCGGTCTTTGATCGTACTATCGATCAGTGGAGAGCAGCTCAAAAGCTTGAAAACATGTATGGGTGAACAAAATTATAGTGTTACGCTAAAATCTATTAAAGAGAGAGAGAGAGAGAGAGAGTGAAAAAATAAAAATAAAAATCTCCTGAAGTAGAAAATGAAATGACAAATCAAGAAGCTGAGACTAGTTGGAGCTGATGAAAAGCAGTAATGTGCGACGTTATTATATGCATAGTTGTTGACCCAGTTAATAGGCTAATGTTTGATTTGACTACCGTTGTTTTATGTGCGTAGAGCTGCTGCTCCCACTGCTATTATTCTACTACACACAAGCTAAATGTATATTATTATATTGTATAATACTAGAGAGTCAATAGCGTAACACAAGTCGAGCTCGTTGCTTAAATAATGTTGTGCGGGCGTATAAGGACAGCAGTCCGACGCGTGTTTCGCATTTCTCTCTTTCTCCGTCTCATAATTAGTGGATAAATAAGAAGTTTATTTTGCGAGGCGTGCGACTCGAGACCTTCGCGCCAATATGAATAAAGGATATCGAGGCGCCACTTTGGGTCAATTTTATGTCGCTTGAGCGCAGCAGCAGACTCGGCTCTTATTTACTCTCCGCGCAAATAACTCGATGCGTTCACTTTTATGAATTTTAATAGTAGCTCATGAAAACGACTGTACTTGCTGCAGTATAATTCTTTAATGTATTGACCTATTGGTTCATTCGCCGTATATATTCAATGCTAGTAGTGATTTTTTATTACAACGAAAATCATGAATTTAATGTAAAATCTGAATCAATATAATCGTGACTGATTCAGAGTTACGCTAGCGCAGAACAGCGAAAACGATAACAACAAGCTCTCGTTCAAAGCAAATATTATATATTACGGAGCTTTTTATACAGCAACTAAACTGGCTCGGGGCGCGTTACAATTTACCATTTCTCTCTCTCTCTCTCGTTCTAAATTCAGCATAGCATGAAACATCAAATAAGGCAAGCATGGAGTATTCGAGCTGTTATATAGCTCGGCCGGTTATAACGATAATTTGCACTTTTTACGCCAGCAAGAGAGAGAGAGAGAGAGAGAGAAAAGTTGAGTATAGACGTTGCTGTGCGCTTGCCGAGGCTTTTCATTAAAACCTCTAGCGACGCAATTATAATGCGCCAAGGCGAAGCTGCTGCCACTGCCCCGTGTTAATTAATTATTTCACGCGACAAATGCCGTACGCGAGGCGTATAATGTACACTGGTTTTGCGTTTGCGTAAGCATTGTCGACTATTTATATACATATATTCTTGCAAGCGTACAGCTTTGATTTTGCTTAAATTGTACCTACCATTTATTCTTATTAAGCTACGCTTCCATGCTGCACTTCTTACGATTTCCGATCGACAGATTTATATCTGCTTGATTATGGAAAGTAGGTATCCTGAAAAAACACGATTCGTGACCACTCTAATCTAGTTTATATTTAAAATAACAATGTTCCAATTTATTTGTCATGTTTTGCGATAAAAATTTGTCTATCTACTTGAGTATCATCAATAAAATTTCAAACATAATAAAAATACATAATTTAAAGACAATCCTTTCAAATAAATAACTCTTGCAATTTAAAAAAATTAAAGAAAGAAAATAAATTCTCAGGTCATTATACCATCAAGAACATTATGTTGACAAAAGGCAGCAAAGCTCAATATAAGCGATGATACTTTTATGTTGTATTTGATGATGAAATACAAATTAGCACACCCTTGCAGGGACAGCTATATACGTGTAGATCCACATGAACTGGCGTAAACTCGTCACCTTAAAACTTCCGGGCCATTAGCAGGTATTATTTCAGGCTTGATCCACCCCGCGCGCTCCCAAAGACGGGATACGTCTAATGCTCTTTTATGTCACAATGTTGATGATAGAGCTTTAAGTGAAATTGCACTTATATTGTTGGGGTTGCTATGGACATATATAATATCGTTCACGGCACCCGTGACGCCAAGCCCAACTTGGATCTATTTCTCTCTCACTCGCTCGTAGGCCCTTTTTTTTCTCTTTCAACTATGATAGTACTTTTAGCCCCGAGGCGCAGACGCATAATTATCTTGAGCTTCATTGTACGCATAGTTATGAAATATTACGTAAGCTCGATGAGCTCGCGTTATCACGACGAAATCCCTTTTTCTCATTTATCGCGCGTACTTCTCCCTAGCTTTCGCAAATTTTCAAGAAAAATAAAACCAACTACTTGTGCCTCGCTAAGATTATTATATTTTTCTCTCGATACTTTTTTTCGTTGTCCTTAAGGACTCAAAGGGGGCTTAAAATCGAAAAAAAATTTATTTTATTTTCGAGTAGGATTTTTTGTCTCCTTTCCATTGCATTTTTTGAAACTTCAAAATTTTGATCATTCACTGAGATACTGCTGTTTCCTTAAGCCATTTTCGTATGGTTACGGTCACAACCTCGGGCGAGGTGATCGAACTCATAAGTCACTTTCAATCAGTAGATTCATGATGGAGGTCACAAAAAAAACATAAAATGAAAAAAAATTGTGCTCCAGTGTTTGTGCTGGGTGACTTAAGGGTCGGATTGGTACGCCCAAGGTGGCGACCGTAATCATTGATGTTCTGAAGAAGTGTACACGACCCTGAGGTGCACTTTTTAAAAACGTAAGCGCCAGAAAAGGCAAAAGAAGAAAAAATTTAACACGCAAAGTATACGAAAATGGCTCACGAAAACAGCTGTATCTCAGTGAGTGATCAAAATTTTGAAATTTTAAAAAATGTAATGGAAAGGTGACAAAAAATCCTACTTGAAAATGAAATAAATTTTTTTTCGATTTTAAGCCCCCTTTGAGCCCTTAATGATTGAATAATTGAATACTCGAATCAATGATTGATTATTCGGTGGTATTTATAATCTGGATTTCTCCTCTCCGGACTCAATATTCGTTCGAATCTCTCGTTAGTAGTCGCAGGTCCATTTACCCTAAAAATAAT